TCGAAAGGAATTGTAAATATGAGCGCTTCTACGAGCCGTCATTGGCGCCCGTTGTTCTGGCGGTGAATCGCATCAGAACCCACGCAAGACTTTTAACCCATGCATTAAAACGAGCGCGTCGACGCGACTGAAGAAAAGCCGCGGCTGCAGTTGCAGAAGGAAGCCAGCGCCTTGAGGGTTGTGATTTAAAGAAATCCTTTGTCAACAACGCACATCCTTACATACAAAACAATGCAATGAAGAAACCCACCACACACACGCACGCGTACGGCACCTCAGCAGTCGTAGAGAGTAAAATACACCCAACAAATCACCTGGAACTGTTTTCATAAAAGGGGGAGTAACATTTACCTTTTTTGTAGGTTTAGGAGCAACAGAGAACTACCAAATCCTAAATTAGGTGAACAATCTGTGTTTACTGCTCCTCTCACATGTGTACATGACGGAGATCCTCTACCAGCTAAGAACAAGCACACATATGATCAGATTACTGCCCCGCAAACCTTCCAGGAAGAGACGTGATACTACGAGGAATTAGTTTCATCTCCACGGCCCCCCCTCTCCCAAAAACCAAGACCACGGCCCAGTTTGGTCCTCAGACCCCTGCATGTGTCCCACCTGAGGGTCCTCATTGATGCTACAGGACCCGTCACGAGTGAGCGCTTTCGATGTTTGTGGTGAACTGAAGGAGGAAGGATGTTCCTTGGTGGGAGAAGACGACTCTGCTAAATGAACTAGTTAAAAGGCCTCAGGTGGCTGGTTTTAACCGGTAAACTGGACGTTAAGGTCTGTTTCAAACAAGACGCACACGCTCTGCTCTAAAACCTTCCAACCAACTTTTCAGATTTGACAGAATGTGACCCAACAAAGGAGGATTGGTGTTTTATTTTAGCCGTGGTGCTGATCCAGCAGAGAGGAGCCGACGTCCTCAGAACACGTTTGAATACATTTAAATGTGAATTACTTTACTACTCTATAATAATAACATACTTATTTATTACTTGATAGTATTATCTTTTAACACAGTCTTTAACCCAATGGGAGGGATACATGTATTATTAAATGATTAACAGTAAAACCTACATGAAGTAGAACTATAAAGTTCCAGAAGATGGAGGACTTGGAAAATGGAACACTTTTTAATGCTTAATCATCTGATTTGCGTGTTGGCCGTGCAGGTTTCACTACATGCACATACTACATGTGTGTGCTTTCTCCACTCAGACAAATATAGCGTAGTAACATCCTATTATAAAAAGATGAACTAATGAAAGTAAGACTTTGGTTTTACTTTAAGAACTATATTTTGCAAACATTCATTTCAGATATTTTATGATCAGATTGTTTGGAAACCTGTATTTGTGATGTGGATCATTCATTGCATCTGATTCTTGTGTTTTGCCGTTTATACACTGACTAGAGTCGAGCTCTTTGCACTAACATTAATAGTCTCTCTCTCTTTGTTCCACAGCACACTGATAAAATGTACAAATCCTCCTGCTGCGGATCGTAGAAACACTTTCCCCATACCTGGCTATTAAACAGATAATTCATTTAGCCGGACATCCATCTGTAGTCAGAGCTCTTCCCCCGATGGATATTTAGAACACTGCTACTGACGAACGCTTAAAAGTCCAAAAAAGCACCTGGAATAAAGCCTGAAACGTGGGTATTAATGTATTCTACTTCCACTCTATGTGAATCACACCCATATGTACAGAATCACAGCGTGGATGAAGCCTTATAAAAGCCTCTAGGAGAGGATGTAAAAATGTAAATAATTCAATAAATATGGCATGTTGATTTAATATCTTTAATGGGAGCGTGACACATTTTTGTAAAATATATTATAAAGAAAATTTAACTTTTTTAAATGTATGATTTCTGGCATGTTGAGGAAGTATTTCTGCACAAAAGACAGTTTTGAGTTATTTATACCTTTACCATTAATTGTTCTGTTACCATAGAGGAGCCGACAGGGTGTATTGAAGGGAATTAAAAGGCCACGAAGAGCAAAATGTGAAGATATCCCTTTAACCCTCGTAGCCCCTTCGGGGGCCGGATGACAACTAAATCAACAGAAATCAACTTGAAGATGCTTGAAAAAAGAATTAATCACAGTGAATAACGCACTCTTCATCAACAGATCTCACAGTGCGACAGAGATGGTAAAACAGCTAAAATAAAGTAAAAGCAAGCAAAAACATACGAGGAAAAGAAGCTTTTGACCTGCAGCCAATGAAAAACGTGGCTTTGGTCTTTTTGTTTCCACTGAGAGCTTAAAATATTACAGTGATTCATATATCAAAGACACAACACATCTGGAAAGTTTTTCCCACTAATGTTGCCGTGTCCATATTTAGGAATAAGGAAGTGTGAGAATACAGCCCCAGCAGCCATAAATGCCCCCCCCCCCACCGCTACTCTTTGATCAGCCGAGCCCGATGCTTCCCGTGGCTTCTGCTGCACAGCCTGTGGCGGATTGCTGGTGCGTCCGCAGGTTGCAGATCCAAGCGAACCGCTTCCCGCACTGGGCGCAGCGGAAGGGCTTCTCCCCGGTGTGAACTCTCTGGTGCTTCTTCAGGTTGCCGGCCTCGGAAAAGTTCTTCCCGCAGGTGCCGCAGCGGAAAGGCTTCTCCCCCGTGTGCACCCTTTCGTGGGCCTCCAGGTTGGACAGGCCGGAGAAGGCCTTCCCGCAGGCGCGGCACATGTAGCTCCTCCTGCGCCGCTCGCAGGCCGCGACGCTGTCGGCTCGGTGTCGTGCGGCGAGGGCCCCCTCCGCGCCGGCCGGGGCCGCTGTGGGTCCCCCGAACGACGGAGCCGCCGTGGAGCTCAGGGCCTTTGAACTGTCACCTCTGTGCGTGTTGCTCGCGGGGGGAGAGGGGGCCGGCGGGGCGCTCGGCGCAGAGGGAGAGACCCTGTTCCTGATGCGACGTTGCTGCTGCAGCTGAGCCTGTGCACTTCGGATCAGGGCGGCGTGTTTGCTCCAGGGGGGCTGCGCAGACGGAGGGTGCATCGATACAGGTGTTGGCATAGAAGTCCCGGCACCCAGACAGAGAGAAACAAAGGGGGAGGGGGGGGGGGGGGGGACATGTCAGTGAGACATGTCGCCAAAGCAACTGTCAACAAAACGGATGCTCTTTGATGCGAGTGCCACGATACAGAAGGCAGCCATCTCTACTGCACTCACATCTCAAACACTCTACAGTCCACATGGATGAATTGGACTATTAGACGTTCGTAGGAAAAAAAAAGAAAGGCAGCGTTACGCTCTAATGGAATATTTGCATATATGTTGTAACTCCAAGTGCACAAACGAAACCGAATCCTGGAAGAAAAAATCATCCCGGCTCAACTTGTCTTCCAACTCGATCACATGCAGGCCAGCTCACAAACCGGGCAGAAGAACTTCTAATACCGTAACTTATTATACTCATAAGCATGTTCCCTGCAGCATTGTGAGATCTCTACTGTTAATTCATCTAAGTGAAGATGGAGCAGAACATCACCATCTGCAGAACTTGCCACAGTTGTATATTTTGCCACCTTTGTGTGTAATCATTTTAAATGTACATTCTCACTGCTCAGAGTTCCTTGGTCTGCCTCTAGTCTGTAAATACTCCAAAATGTGAACAGACACATCTCCTGTTGCTCTGTGAGTAAATCAGAGGGTTGAAAGTAACTACTAACGTTTATTCTTGCAACAAAGTATTTATGACTTATTCATTTTATATGTATAAATATATAAAATACTCCATCACATATGACTCCATTTGTATGGCGCCTTTCATAAAAACATTGAATCTCCACATGATAAAAATATATAAAGCGTCTTTGATAGTTGCGTCCTTGTGTCCCTTCCTTGCCTCCTTGGCATCTCCTCTAGCGGGACTAAGGTGGAAGGCCTTACACTCCGTGAGTCACACCCACAATACCTGTGACATCCGACCCGGGGGATCATCGCTCAGAGCATCTAACTGTAAAGCAACGTGAGACACATCGATCATAAGTGGGAAAAGTGTTGGGCGCCAAAAGCGGCACTTCACAGGTCCGCCATCTCCGGGGGGGGGAAGTCCTCCGCCAATCAAAGGCCGTCATTTATGCTGTGGTTGATTTGGTTTTCAGTCATCGGTACCTGACATGATCGTTTCTGCGCCGGGATGAAACCGAAAGCACAACAAGCAGAGACAGAGAACAGGAGACCTCTGACCTCGTGACACGGTCTGCTGGATGGCGCCGGGGGAGTGACTCCGCCTTCTGCTCAGCCTCCCCGCCGCGGAAACGGACCCTTGTGGCGGCCGAAGGCCGGATTGAGGTTCGGCGTCCACAAGAATTACTCGGCGCGCGTCGCGTCCGGCCGAGTTCCCGGCGGCGAGAGGACACGGAGGACACGGAGGGCCGCCGCGGGCCGCCGCAGGGTCGCTGTCGGGAGCCCAGCGGGTGAAGAACGTCTCCAGTTCAAACAGCGAGTACTCCGAGTGCTCGGCGCCGCTGCCACTGGACCTCTGCCGGCCTGTTTTGGGGTTGGCGGGCGCGTCGGTCTGCGTGCTGCCGGGGTCCTGTGACATCACGGTGGTCGACTGAGGTGCTGCAGACTGGGGAGGGAAGGAGGCGCAAATGAGACCAGCTCCTAATGACGGGTAAATTCTACCACCACGTTACAGCTTACCGGCACCTCCTGCACGGCCCTCATTCTTATAGGCACGGATAAATATATACGTACATATTTATTCAAAAAAACTCAAATAAGACATTTAAGTTGAACCGAATATTCATGTGTGTGAAGCCAGAAGGGCTCTTAATTCCCAAGCTTGACCGCGGTTTTGCCAACGGACGTTCAAACTACAACCAAAGGCACAATGCAAAAAGACCAATGGGATAATTACAGAGAATAAAGGCTGCGAGACCCCCGTGAGGGTGAAAGCGCACAACCGCTCCGGAATTCCAATAAAAGAATGCATGTGCCTCATTTGATGAGATAGAATTCCGGATGGAGGCACGAGCTGATCTGTACGTACGGTTAATATGAATTAGAATGTGAGTAAGTGCGTTTACAAGAATATTGTGTCACAATTTTGCAATGCATTATTTCATAATAAAAAGACAAATTCACATGTTGAGTTGTTTAAAAAAGGAAGTTTAATGATTAACAAAACAAACTGTGGACATTAATCAGAAATTCCAAAATTGTGACACAATTGAAAAAGCTACATGAACAGTGTTTATGCTACAATGGCTTGTTTTTTTTACATGACACACTTTAAAAGGACACATTCTCCAAGACGATCGCACTGAATTATTCTTGTAGAAAAGAGAAAGGGAAACTTGGTGTAATAAGTCATAACATCCTGGATGTATTTCCACTGCAAGACTTTGATTAAAAGGCAACTTAGAAGATGCTCACAATAAATAAATAAAGCAAATGCATTGATAAGCTGCTGAGAGGACATTTCTCCCACCCACCGTCCCGCCGGTCTCATTGTCTCAGGCAGTTGTTGTTTGGCTCTTTTTGTAGATTAGTATCTATGACAACCATAGATACAAATCCACAGAGAGAGACCGGCCACATTGAAAACGCCTCAGCAACTCAGACATGACTAGAGACGTAAAAGTAAATTCACCTCCACTGTAGAGAACTAAACATGAATCTACAAAGCTTTATTGCTCATTTATATATTATCATATACATACGATAAAGACCGGGTCAATACCCTCACCCCTGCTGCTGGGAGTTTTATGCACTAATTATTTCTAATGCCTTCTACATCAGCTTTTTTCTCTTTAAACCCCGTCTTTCAATGACACCACCGTTTCACATTAAAAGCCTCCTCAGCAGCTCAGCTTTGCTCCCACTCGACTCCCGTAACGGTTTCTAGGGACCAGCCTTAACTTCTTTGTGACGAAAGCGGCGTGATCATTTACAAATGTTGAGTTACGTATAAATCCATGCTGGAAATTTAAAATTGTTCTGATTCTGCACCTACATCAGGGATTGGGAGGATAAGTAGAAACAGAAGACTTGGGCTCCGGGACAGATGTGGTCTTTATCTTACTGCCGTCATAACAGCAGCACATTCAGCCTCTCTAAGTCGTCCCTGACTGCAAGTAGTGTGTCTGTGTGTGGTGTCTCTTTTGGTGTTTTTTCAGGTTACTGGGGTCAGAGAACCTCTCGGGGCATAGCGGGCACTTGTATGGTCTCTCTCCGGTGTGGATGTTCTTGTGGATCTTCAGGTTCCAAAACTGGGAGAATTTTTTGCCGCAGATGCTGCAGCCGAAGGGCTTCTCCCCCGTGTGAGTCCTGAGGTGGGATTCTAAATTTGCCGGCGAGGTGAATCCCTTACCGCAGAAGCTACAGATGCTAGCCCTCCTCCTCGCGCCCCGGAGAGTGTCCCGGGCCTGACCTGGACCCGGGTCCACCAACTGCCGGGGTCCCTGTCGGCTTCCTAACACCTGAATGGGCTCCGGCTCCTCCGACAGATCAATAACGGCCGCGTGCTGCTGAAAGGACGGCGCGGTGCGGGAGCCCCTCTCAAGCGCCGACCCCTTTCCTGTCGGAGCCTCAACAGCCGACCCCCTCCCGGAACCCGCAGGCTCTCTGGGCGGGTACGAGAGCGGGCCGCACCGCGAGGACGGCCCCGGCAGGCCGTCGCCATGACAATGACTACCTCCCCCATCGGTCCACAGTGAAGAATGCCCATAGCTGACCTCTGACAAGCCTGGCCCGGACTCCTGCAGGTCACACAGCTGATTGGTGGACATTAGTGTCACTTCATCGAACGGGAGAACTGCTCGGTAGTCATCGGTGCTCGACTCCACCAACCCTGGAGTCAAAGATAATGACACGTGTTCCTTCAGCCCCACAGTCGGAGAAATGTCCATCATTTAGTCCTCTGCAATCATCTTTGAGTGCAGCATTTCATTTATATATGAAATGCAAAATTTAATCAATTTTGCTTTTCCACTGCACAGGATGAGGGCATTTTATTTTGAAATTGATGAATAATCAATGAATAACTATACTGGGTTTTAAATGTTGCAGCTCCGGTGTGATGTCAGAGACGTGTCCACTCACCCTCCTGCACGCTGAGGCCTGACTGGCTCCTCGTCGCTGGCTCCAGCTCTTCTAGCTTCACCAGCACGACAACCGGCTTCTCCTCCTAAAGGCAAACGTTTGGGATGATTTTAAGCTTTGTTTCAGCGCTTTGCTTCTGAAGGAAGAGTTTCTCACACATGCGTTCAGGGAGCGACAGACAGAAGCAAACCTGACGATAATTTGTCCTTTGCAGCTGCGCAGAGACTTGCTTTTAAATATCACAGACTGGTTGTGGGCTTCAGAGAGACAAACATCTGCATCGGACCAATTCATCCACAGACCTTTATGGTCCAAAGACGAATATCTAGTTTCAAAACACTTAGATGTAGGATGTGCATATCATTCAACATTGTCAAAACAAAAAGACGATAAATATAACAAGCAAAAAAGAGACGCTGTCTAAAGGAGACACGCGGTCTTCCGAGTGGCCGAATGCGCTCAGACAGCAAGTAAGTCAGCCATGATTACGGCTCGATTACACTTCTCATTTGCTTTATTTCATACAGAAAACAATCATTTCTAATGGAAATGGCTGCAAAGTAATGAAATATAAAATATACGAGTGAAAGCAGACTATTGGAACACGACTCCTACGACAGTCTGGAGCTAAAGGGGGAATTCAAATTCCCCCAAAAGGACTTTTTAGAACAAGTTACTTCAAATGGTTTGTTTAGGTCAAGATTTCAAATGAGACACGAGGGACATTTTGCGGTTTCTGTCCAGTCATTTGACAACTATTTATTTTGCCCAGCTGGTGTTGCGGGTTGGATGTCGGTTTTCATGGTTCACGGTAAAACAAACCCTTGTTGTAGAGTTACATGTTTTCCCATAATCATCTCTAATGGTACGGTTACATTAGCCACCGCTCATTTTTAGTGTGTCATCTTCTGTAGGAAATGCTGATAAGCTATCCTTGGTGTTGCATCCTTTTATGTCCTGCCCACATTGGCCACATCTGTACTGTTTAGTCTTTATTTGGGGAGAAAAGCTGCACTTCAGCTCCCGGATAAAACAAATTCAAAGGACTGTCTTTTCTCACCGTGGTTATATGTTAAATATCAAGCCCAAATATTTATGCATTTGATACTTCTAGAGTAGATTACTGCAATAATTTAAAATACAGCTTCTCTAAGTCTCTCGAGTTGATTCTGAACGCTGCAGCAGGTGATTAACAAGAACTAAGAGGAGGAATCATATTACTGTACCAGCTTCTCTGCACCGGCTCCCTGTTAAATGAAGCATAAACCTGCAAGGTACTTCTTCCTTATAAGGTCTGGTCTTATCTTTAGTAGCTTATAGTACCTCACGTGAATGCTGGGTTACTGGAGGTTCCTGAGTCTTAATGGAGACACATCATGCTCATTTCAACTCATCCTTTAACACCTTCATATGCTTTGAGGTTTTAAAAAAAAAAAAGCATACCATCTTTCTCACATTGTGTCTGAAAGGTTCCGTTACAGCGCCGGTCTCTTTAATAAATGTGATGCTTGCAGGGGCCAAGTATTGCTCCGAGTGTGTGACTAATAACAATAAAAGAAGATAATAACAATTCAACGTCCACAAGGGTATTTTAATAAATAACATGAATTGAAATTCATTCTAATAAAAACGACAGGCCTTGTGCAAGCAAGTTTTTTTAAAGTGATTCTTTTTTTTACTAATACAGACTTTTCCTGTAAAATGTTTTTGGAAAACGTCCCCATGAAACGCAGAATGTCCACTGCAGCAGAAAAGCTGGTAAATGTGAGTAGAGCATCACCCTGGTTGGACATTATTAAACATTTAAAGTCTATATGCTACTTAAAAAATCTCTACGGGTTTAAAAAAAAGTTTCTAGAGAGATGCTTAACTGTTTCACCCTGAGGGAATCTCCAAAAGCTGTAAACCACGAGGAGACACTGAGCTTATCGCTGTTTCTCTCTTTAAAAATAAAAAATAAAAAAAAGACAAATAAAAGTGTCACATTAACATATAAAAAATGCATTTTAAAAAAAAAGGTGCTCATCACAAAATGGTCTCATTCTGTTGAGCAGAGTCATTTTTTACAGCTGGACTGCGACATTCTACAGTTCAGACCTCGTCCCGGGTCTCCTCTTCATTGGAGTTTCAGTGGTTCTTTCGCTGGTGTGATTTCAGGTTTCTTATCCAGGCAAATCCCTTCCCACAAATACCACAACAATAGGGCTTCTCCCCCGTGTGAACCCTCTGGTGTTTCCTCAAGTTCCCGGCCTCCGAGAACATCTTCCCACACGTGGCGCAGCTGAAAGGTCTCTCCCCCGTGTGGACGCGCTGGTGGATCTCCACCTTCTTGGGGCGGTTGAAAGCCTTGCCGCAGTAGCTGCAAACAAACAGCCGTTCCTTGGCGCCCGTTTGGCGGTTCACTCCGCCGCCGCCGACAGGCTGGGACGGGGGAAGCGCAGGGCCGGAGCGATACTGGCCGTTATAACCGGAAGCCGCCGATGGAAAATCAGCCTCCGCCAACGAGTACGAACAAGACGCCATGATTCCTTCCACTCCAACCGCAGAGAACTTGTCGAAACCCTCCGCGACCAACGCGCCTTTACCGTTGTCACACAACGCGTCAAACTGTGAATCGCCGCAGTCGCCACCGATATACTGGTGAGGGTTTGATATTTCCTGCACCGAGTCTCTGCCCTTAACAAAGGCACCGCGTTCACATTTAAGGAGAGGAGAGGAGTCACTGACCTCCACTCCTCTGCTGCTGCCGGTACGCCGGGTCCTGTTGCTCTGGATCTGGGAGTGGGATTGACTGGAAGTGGACTGCGTGTCTTGAAGTTCAAGGCTGGGTCTCGGTCCTGCAGGTCCTCGAGGGAGACACTCCGCCACTCCTATAGAGGATCAAAATAATACAGTGGCTATGGTTGAAGGGATTTTAGGAGATTCCTTTAAGATGACATTACAGGTCATTTAGCTGACGCTTTTATCCAGAGCGACTTACAATGAGTGCATTTCAACCGCAATCAAATGACACCTCCGATGTGGTTATGTCGGGCAAAAGCACTCATTTATGCACGAGAAGTTTAAAACATTATAGTGTTAAAAAGCACGCCATGTTTTTAATGAATACATGTCATGCATCATCCTCGGAGGAAGCAAAGGGAATCTGGCTAGCGGACTAGCTTCAACGTCAATTCGTAGCGCTCCGTAGTTTTCCTTGCTTCAGACACGGGGCTCAGTAATGGAAAAGGTATTGATTTGTAATACTCGGGCCGACACACAGGGTAATGTTGGATGCACAAGCAGCAGTAATTACCGTCATCTCCTATAATCTGCACGTTTTCCACTGATTCTTCAACTGCTGACATGCTTGCCTCCACCATCTCTTCCTTCACCAGCACTACCTCCGGCTCCACCAGCTCCACATCTGGAGACTGCACAAAGAGGCAGGTTTGTCCCTCAGTCAGAAGACCATTGTTTTACATTCATGCAGCCACGGTTCACCGAGAAAAGCTCAGTACAACCGCGCGTTGCAGGGGAAGTTGCTGTGTGACGGCTCAGCAGCCGTCCTGTCCCTTCGGGGTGCTCGCTGAGGGCTTACCGTACTCTGGATGCGGTCAGAACGGGTCGGCTTGCTCCCCGCGGCCCCTGCAGCAGCTTGACTGGACCACAGAGCCACGGCCATCCGTTGTTCAAAGACACCAACTGCACAAAAGAGAGGACACAAGTGCGCATGGTCATTATCAACAGTGTTACTACAACAACAGACAACACAACAGTTGCCTTTAAAGAAGCTGTTGCATTTTGTTCCTATGTAACGTTGCTACGCCACAGACATGTTTTGTCACTTCAAAAGAAAACCAGAAACGTTTTGAAATGACTTTATTGCTTAAAAGCTGATAACCTCCAATAAGCTGCAGTGTACCAACACCAACACATTGTTGCTAGTGCGCTCACCTGTGTGTGTGTGTGCGTGAGTGGCGGGCGTGGTACTGCGAGCAGAGCACTAAACGTGTAAACGTGTCCTCACGTTTGTTTAATAAAAGAAGGAGGACACCTGTTCTATAGGAAGGGCGACCTTAAAAGCACCTGTGATGGCATCTTGCTCTGAATAAAATTAAACAAAATTACTTCATGTGGAGCAAAGCAATTATTCCAATGAACATTACTCTTACTGCAAAAAGGGAAGCAAATGGAGAAAAGTGAGTAAGAAACGCATGTTATAACATAGTTATTACCAGGTCGTAGTAGTTTAAATACTAGGCATGAGATAAACCAGCACATGGCAGATGAACAATAACGTTTGATCTCCACCAGGACCACACACACACACACACACACACACACACACACACACACACACACACACACACACACACACAGCAGGTTCTTTGACAGGGTCAAAGTTACACACAGCGACCGAATCCAAACGAAAGACTTTCCGCCATCGTGATGCGAAGACGTATCGATTAGTGGCGACGCCCCCAGATGAACCGCAGATTAATGACCCGTCCTAACGTAACTTGATTTACGCCGTGGTTGGTTTCTGCTTCAGTATTCAGTGATCAGGACACCATTGACCTTCTTCTAGTCTCCAATCTCGTGATCACGTGACAAACAACCAGCGAGCCTTCGATCAATGGAAGAGCTACGCTACGTTAGCAGCCCCGCTAACGGCAGTCCAATAACCTCATCGTGATGTCGTCACGCTTCGTCTGTAAAATGTAGTTTGGTGGGAAAGGTGAATAAATCGCCGTTTCTTTGATTGGCAGGTTACCGGAAGAAGGCGAGGGCTCTCGCAGCCTGTCGCTGCCGTGGATCTGCACCCTCGCTCGGCCACCGTTCGCGGCGCTTTCCCGCAGCCTCCGCTCGGCGTTTCCACGGGCCATCTTCAGCTCCAGCAAGTGCAGCTTCCTCTTCAGGGCTTTGTTCTCTCTCTGGCACTGAGACATCTGGAGACTCACCACCGCGTAGTCGTCGTCCACAAGCTTGCATATCTCCGCCACTGCGGCGTTAGCCAGAACCTCCATGATGGAGGCCAGCTGGGTCTGGAAGGCCAGGCGGCTGGACATTGTTGCCGCACTCGGTGGCTTGCTGGCCGCTTCGTCGTTTAGAAAATACCGGTATCCTTCTGCGGGGCTACGGGAGGTGGAGGTTTGGTCAAACCATCACAGCTATAGGAGCTCTAGCCGATTAAAGGAGGAGTAGGTGACAAAAGGCTAAGCTATACTAGCTTCTCCTCGGTCCGCAAACAACGATGACAGACGAACTGCGTCACTTCCGGCTATAGAACCACATCCGGTGCGCTCGAATTGTTGCTGCCATTATATATATATATATATATATATATATATATATATATATAGGCCACATTGACAAGGTTAGAAATAACGATTTTTTTAACGAAATTTTATTAATTTATTTTAAATTAATATTCATTTTGTTCTTTAAACTTAGCATTACAGATTTGGATTGGCTTGATAGGCTCTTTTACATTACATGTCATTTATCTGACACTTTTATCCAAAGCAACTTACAATAAGTGCATTTCAACCACAAGGATACAAACTCAAGAAAACAAGAAACAAGAGTGCAATTTCATCAAATAAGCCGATTTACAACTTGCTATAGATAAGAGCCATTATAAGTACAATTTAAGTGCTACAGTTTGTTTAGTGCTTTTTAGTGGAGGTAGAGTCTGAAGAGGTGTGTCTTCAGTCTGAAGATGTGAAGGCTCTCTGTGGTCCTGGTGTCTTCAGAGAGCTTTCACCATTTAGGGGCAGGACAGCAAAGAGTGGTGATCTAGTGGAGTGTTTTGCTCTCAGTGAGGGAGGAACGAGCAGTTTATCAGGTGCAGAGCGGAGAGTGCAGGTTGGGATGTCGGGTTTGACCATGTCCTGGATGTAAGCTGGACCCGATCCATTCACAGCATGGTCCTTCACCATGCTTGACAGATGGCGTCTCTTCCAGCATCTTTTCACCTGTTCTGCGTCTCACAAATGTTCTTCTGTGTGATCCAAACACCTCAAACTTGACTTGATTGATTTGTCTGCCCATAACACTTTTTTTCCCAATCTTCCTCTGTCCAATGTCCGTGTTCTTTCGCCCATATCAATCTTTTCGTTGTTGGGCCAGTCTCAGATACCGTATGGCTTTTTTTTTTGTGCCACTCAGCATCCTGGAGTCGCCCCTTCACCGTAGACGTTGACACTGGCATTTTGCTGGTACCATTTAAAGAAGCTGCTAGTAGAGGACCTGTGAGGCGTCTATTTCTAGAGACCCTGGTACACTTGTCTTCTTGCTGAGTTCTGCACTTCTCTTTCTACTCAGAGCCCGTTTGTGCTGTTCTCTCAAGGGAGGAATTCACACCGTTGTAGGAAATGTCTTTCTGCGCAGTTTCTCGTATGGAATAGCCCTCATTTCTAAGAACAACAATAGACTGACGAGTTTCACATGAAAGTTCTCTTTTTCTGGCCATTTTGAGAGTATAATCGAACCCACAAATGCTCCAGATACCCAACTAGCTCAAAGGAAGGCCACTTCTATAGCTTCTCTCAGCAGCATGGCAGTTTTCAGCTGTGCTAACATAACGGCACAAGGGTTTTCTAATCATTAGTCTTCTCAGGCGATTAGCAAACACAATGCACCATTAGAACACTGGGTATTTAATTAAAAACCAGACGTTTCCACCTAGAATAGTCACATACCACATTAACAATGTATAATGTATTTCTGATTAATTGATTCATTTAAAAGAACAGTAGTGTATACATATACAATTTATTTCTTTTAAGAGCAACAAAAGCTGAAATTGTTAGGAAATTTGAATCCAGCATAATAAATCACAGTAGGTCAAGCTAAATGTATATTAAGCCACTTTTATAATTCACCTTATTATTCTCATTTTACACTTCCGTGCCACCTCGAATCCTAGACGTTGTTCAGAGAGCGAGGAGTTTGTGCACCCGTAAACAGATGAAAATAGGCACGACACGCAGATGTTATGATGCCAAACCACAGGGACAAATGTTACGACGCTCAGATGCGTGATTATAGACTTTGTGGTGTTCACAGTTCATGTGGCTCCTCAAAAAGACTTTCTCCGCTTTCCTTAATGACTTTCAGCGTACACTAACATTGTATACTGAATGTAGGATGGATGATATTTACAAATTATTATGTCTGCATGTTTCGTGTTGTCTTATGTTTGTGTGTGTATATAATGTACATCAATAATTCATATATATTACACACTTTATTTGTACAGTACTGTTGATACAAACGTTTCTAGTGCTTCACACAATAACATACATAGTCTATAATGTGTGTGTTAAATAAAAAAATGCATGACATCCAAATATTCTTGTCATATTATCCCGAGCTGTGAATTGGATTACTAGAGATGACAAAATACAGTGGTATACTTAGAAAATGGACAGCTGATGCAGCATATTATAATTGTTTAAATGACAACGTGATGGATTAAGTGCTCTAGACTCTGTCTCGGACCCTCTTTTACAATCCGCTCTGTGATCTTCTGTCAGGTTGAAACAAAGAGTCAGTAACGACTGCGAAGGCTTTAGTAAACATCTTTTGTGTGCGTTCAAGACAGATTCAATGCGATGGTCAGGGACAAACGTCAACTGCACTTGTTATGACATCACAGGACGAGTCCTCGCCTACACGCGGTTCTGGTATCCTGTCGCCCATTTCACCTCTCAGAGGCCAAGCCAAGTCTACAGGCCACACTGGGACTGCTGCCGGTGTCGGCGGACGCTACACATCTGGCTGAAGGACTGTCCGCAGCGCGAGCAGCTGTAGGGCTTCTCCTGCGTGTGGACCGTGCGGTGCCTCTTCAGGTGGCTGGACGAGATGAAGCTCTTCCCGCACAGCGCGCACCGGTAGCGCCGCTCCCCGGTGTGGATGAGCAGGTGAACCCGGAGGTTGTTGGGCTGAGCGAAGCCCTTGCCGCACTGGGGGCAGATGTAGGGCTTCTCCCCGGCGTGCGCCCGCCGGTGCAGCTCCAAGGCGGCCGCGCTGGGGAAGACGCGCCCGCACACGCCGCACGCCGCCGGCTCTTTGGGGGCGCCGGTCCTGTAGAGCCTCCTCTGGCCGGGCGCGGCGGCAGGAGGAGCCGCGGGGGGGAGAGGCGGAGGAGGCAGAGGGGCCGGTGGCGGAGGAGCGGCGGACGCGGCAGCGGCCACGTCGAAGGACGCGGCGAAAGCCGCCATCTCGTGGGTGCCGCCTGTGAACAGCATGGTCGGAGGGCCATCCGGACTGTCTCCTCCCTGAGAGGAGAAGGGGGCGGAGGGGTGGCCGCTGTCTGCGTTGCCCAGACCCAGCTGTGCCACAGCGTAGGCCGCGCCCAGATGGCCGACCCGCTCCTGCATCCAGGCCAGGTCCAGGCCCAGGCCGCTGAGGCCGTCGCCGCTCGGCTCATCCGAGGCTACCTGTGTAGGATCGTCTATCTGGATCTCCGGCTTCACGGCGCCGTCCGTCAGGTCCCTGCGCACGCCCCCGTGGGCCGTGACCCCCCCGCTGCCAGCTGTCAAGCCGTTGCCCAGCGGCATGGTGGCTTCACTTTTCTCGCGAGGCCTGCACGTCCGGTCCATCGTGGAATCAGTAGGCAAAGAGGAGGGCTGGCTGGTGCGTGGAGTGTTGTTGAGACTGCTGTCGGGACCAACTTCGCACGGGGGGGGGTCCTCAGTGGGTTCCATGGCTGAAGATGAGCAGAGCGCCACAGGAGAACAGGCTGGGTGGAGATTAAAGAAAGAAGAAAGAAATTCAAAGGTTAAAGAAAACAGTGATTTGCTTCCGCACAGAGGAGGCTGGTGACGGGGCGACGGGAACAGTAGGAATCAGACTTAAAACACACAATATTCTTCACAGTTGTTAATGAATAAAAAACAACAACAAAATGTTTTCCAATTAACAAAAGCAAATTAGGAAATCCAGATGCGTGTACTGGAATCACCAAAATCCTTAATTGATTCCATTCAAAGCTTTAAACCAAAGCCGTGGCGTCGTTATGGTCACTGTGCCTGTGTTACACTGATCGTCCACTAGATGGCACAGCGGCGCCAATGAAGCGCCATGAAGCTTTGGCCCTTGAGTGAAGCGTCGGGACGCAAAGCCTCACTGCTTCATGGGGCTTCATCTCGCCATCACTGAGGATGTCTGAGTCAAACCTGGGGAGATTGACAGGACATTTTTAAGAGATTAAAACTGTCCATGAGGAGTCATTTCTGCTTTTCCATTAATATCCTTTCTTCCTCAGCAGCTCCCGTTTCCATCATTTTACAAACACTTCTCGGTCTTGCTTTAGCAACAACTCGTGTGCATGGTCTACTCGAAAAAGACATTTCTTTAGTCCGTATTTCCTGTGGTGTAATTTTAGAGGAGACCTTGTTGGCCCATATATGTGAGATTTACCAGTTCACATTAAATCGCCCATAAGAATGAATTATTTGTCTAGATTGCAGTTACAGTTTTGTGAGTTGATCAGAAAAAGTGTTATCTGCAGCAGGGGGCTTACAAACCGCGTTTAAGTTAACCAGAGTCTCAAGTCCGTATTTGAGTCGGAGAGATGACGAGATCGCGATTTGCTGCTTTTGACGTTGAACTGGCCACCAGCCCCTTAAGACTTTTGCACGATTGAGTTCGGGAAGTCAGGAGTCACCTCTGCAGGGTGTCGACACACAGCGCGCGTCCACAGCAGGTCGTCGCGAGAAAGACAGCGGACCTGAAAAGGTCGCCCGCAGTGTCTATTAAGACATCGCGCCGGTGGCAAAGGCTTGTTATGCTCAACTCGGGCTGCTTTAGGAATATGACTCATGACTGCGTGACAGTCTCCGCTCTGCACACTGGGGTCGGAATTGCTCCCCGGGCAAAATGTAAAAGCCACGGGTTGAAAATGTAAAGTCGCTTTGGATGAATGATAAATGATGATAATAATACTGTATCGTCCCTGTAGAATGAACCATAAGAGAGTAAATAAAGTTGTTTTCAATGCCAATTCTGCCCAATGCATGAAGCAATGCCCAACCCGTGAGCGCTTTCATGTAGGAGCCGTCCCATGATGCATTGCGGTGGCCATACTGCTCCTTTCCAAATCAGGTAGTGAATTGTGATGGTTATCCGTGACTCAATGAGCAGACAAGAAAGAGCTGGACGTTTATTAAAGGCCGAGAGGCAATTTGTCTCCCTTCTCTTCAACTTTCAGACAGACAGCAGCTTAAGTTTTATTTCTCCTATTTGATTTTAATTGACATTGATTCTGCTGTGAATAGTTCCTCCGCTGCGAAGAGGCCAGAATGAGCGGAGGGGTTTTTTTCCGAGTGACTTTGTTTACAAAAGTTAGAGGACATGAGGACTGATTGTTCCGGACATGGATGCCCCACTTGCCCCTCCGCCCCCTCAAAGCACAAAGTGCTGACCCAATTTCAGCCAATCTCCTTCTCACTTCTAGAAACCACTGTCTCTCAGATTAAATCACCTCCCCAGCTCAGTACTGCTCCCTCCTAACTTGTAAAAGACGTCCTGCGCACTGTCAGGCCGTGCTTTTTTTTTAATTCATTTTTTTTATCAATGGCAGCTTATGGCGTCCCCTCCCTCTGCGGCGCCTCGAGACCCGTGCGTCAACCCGCCGAGCTCCTCTCTGAGGGAACCGCTTCTCTCGTTCCCACCGTCACTCACGGTCGTCTTAAGACCTCCGGTCCAACGCGGCCTTCCGTTTATCCGCTGGGTCAGGCCATTAAAGCGTCCTCACACCTCAAGATGACGTCCGGTGGACTGTGCCACACCCGGTCCCGGGTTTGGGTCGGACCCGTTGAGTTTCATTTGGCGTTGGCCAGCACAGGGACGCGACCCTACACTTTCCATCGGTTAAACATTCAAATCATTGATTGATTAATAAAACCATTGAATGGTCACTGGCAGAGTCACACTCACCGGTGGACAGGTCACACTCCGCCCTAATGTTGACCTCCACCTTCAGGTCCAGATTGCAGTCCACCTTCTCCTGCTTCACCAGCGGCAACGACTCCTCCTGCTGTGACACGGTGAAAAGCCGCCATTGAGGTTACAAAAAGGCCACGAGGGACTTTGTTAGTGTGAAATGTTCAACCTGAGCAGGAGATGGAGGAGGATACGCGTTGTGCACCACGTCTGGCAGTCAGGAGGGATGAAATCGATCAACCGGTGTTGACGTATGCTGATGTTCCCAGTAGGGCTGCGCCGCACGGCCCAAAGTCCGTATCACGCCATTACCGAGGATCGGGACGGCATCCCGGTATGTGACGCTGTTGCTTTCGTTGACCCCGGAAAAGGACCGGCAGGCTACGCGAGGCCAACTTGCTCGCAACTGGCCGGCGAGTTAGCTTGTTAGCTCGTTAGCGTTTTAGCGAAACAAACAAAAAAACTGAAACAGACACCGCTCCTCTGTTGGGCACAAGTTGTGTGGGTGCAGCTCTGGTCTCTCGTTGTTGTTCCGCCTGTATCCCTCGCGAGTTACTTCTTGCTGTGAGCTGTACCCAGCATGCAATTCGGCGGGGTAATGTTTATAAATGTACAATTATTAGTGACGCTGTTGTGTCGTGGTGTTTTACCCTGTTACAAGGGGTTTGTTGTGGGTTATTCGTTGATGTTCTAAAGTTAGAACCATGACTCAAATCTCAACACACGTAAGACGAGTAGCTCCGACGCTCCTCCATGACGAGTAAAGATCATTTCCGCCGTACCGCCCGTCCCTGGTTTCCAGGTCACCAATAAGTGTGTTTCTTCTCTTCTGCCTTCGGTCGTGTGTTCTGGGGTAGAACAGATGTCTTACACCATGTGTTGAAACTGAAAGTCCTTCGGTGGATTTACCTTTGACACGTGAAGGCAGGTTGCGTCTGGAGAAGGCGCAGGAAGAGGCGGCACCACCGGCTGATGGATGTCAGCTCCTGGAAGGATCGCACAGAACACACAGCTATTGTCCATCCTCATCACCAGTTACCATTGTTCAACCTCTGTTCTCTTCAAAAGACATTTCTTAGCTTCTGAAGCAGTGAAGTATTTGGAACTGTTCAGCCAATAGGACTAAAAGCTGCTGATGATCGCTCATGGTAGTCACTGTAAGGCTCCTCTTGTATCTCCATGAAGCTGTGAAAGGAGCACCTCATTTAAATGTCCCCAACAAATAACAGAATTAGTGTATGGAGATGTGGAATGAGGCAGGATATCAACCATATACGATAAAATAAAATCTTGAGTTACACTCAAGTGGGTCCAGTTCTTTTTCATCTCTATTCATTACAATTGACCCTTTCATTTCCAACGCAAACGGACTGATCTTCATTGAGCATCAAGCGGCTGCAGGCCAGGGAGCTCTGCACACTTCAGGGCTGCTGGCAGGACGCACAACTGGGATGTTATTTCCCGCATGGAATATATGCCACTTGAAGTGACGCGTTCAAGTTTTTCAGTGAAAAAAAAAATGGTAAACATCACATCAACCTGATTCAAAAGAGAATTGGATAAACCCGCTGAGAGGAGTTCTAAGGAGTTTGCATAAAATACTGTACATAAGAATGGACAGTCGTCCTGCCTTCATCCACTGGTTTATGGACTAAGGTTTTGAATCCTTGAGCTCAGCCTTTTGTCTGTTACTATTGACCCTCCCCATTGGACCACCAAGGGGAGGTGCTGTGTAGGCCTTCAGTAGCTCCCTGTGCCTCACAAAGCAAACCGGTTTGCGGTCAACGTCCTTTTCCCGTGAGGCGGTATCGGAGTCGTTTTTACAAGTTCATGGCGCACAGAATGGGACCACTAACCCAATACTGGTATGGATACTGGTTATTCCCACATGCGGGTGGCACTCAGCAGAAGCCTCACTCAAGTCTCCACCTGACGAGTCTACAGTCACTCTATTGTGTCTACGAAGCACAGAAAAAGGAGCCCTTCAGCCTGGCGGCTCAATTGTTGGAGCACTTTTTTTTCCTCTTTCAATGACGTGCATGCATGCAGCGGGTTAATGGGGGGGAACCACTGCTGCTTCCAGGGAGGCTGATCGGAGCCATGAGGTCCAGACGGATTTTGGCCACATGGTCAAAGACTCACATTAGCTCCGGATGTGTTAAGGTTGCTCAGGTCTTTCTGCACATACTTTAGCAGATGACACAATGAGAACATTTGCTTTAAAGGGTGATCGCGCTGTATTTCTTTTTTTATTTGAACATAGAAGAATCCTAACAAAGCTCAAACTCAGGTGCCCCGGCGTGGGATCTAAGGGCCCCTAATGGTGCTGAAGTCAGCTGTAGTGCAGGGGCCACAGGGCGGGTGCGCGCGCGCGCGCGCGTGTGCGTGTGTGAGACCGGTGTAGACATCAGAGCGGGGTGAAGCTGAGATCAGAGACATGGCGCGTGTGGACGCCGGAGGGCCCTGGTGCTCCTTCACATGTCAACACGCACCTTCGGACGGCCCGAAACGAGCGGCGGGGGCTTCCTCTCTCCGACCCCGTCTCCTCATCTTCCTCTCGTAGCCGCGCATCTTCATGTCGGTGTCCCGCAGCTTGGCGCGCAGCGCGTCGTTCTCGCGCGCGCTCTTCTCCCGCTCCCGCTCCATCTGGGAGCGCAGCGCCGCGTAGCCGTCGTCCACCAGCTTGCAGATCTCCGCCACGGCGGAGTTGGCCAGGATCTCGATGATGGAGGCGATTTGCGCCTGGAAGCCGACGCAGTCCTCCTCCGCCATCATCATCATCATGGTCGTCGTCGTCGTCGTCGTCGTCGCCGCCGGGCCCGTCCGTCTCGGCTCCTGCGCGGACAGACAGACGCGCGCGGCAGACGGCTGCAGCCGCGGCGCACGTGCATGAACAGACCCACGCGCCGGCGTGCGAGCGGTGACGCTTTGGCCCACTCGGTCCCCCCTTATGGTTGACGTCCTCTAGAATGTGTCGGGCTCGTCGGGGTGGGAGAGTCGCATTCTGATGATGTCAGTTTGTTGTTCGGCGTATTACTTCACGGGCGGCGGTGTGCACGGGCGCGTCCGCTAATAAGCCGCTCACTTTGCGCCTTTTACGCAAGGAAACGTCGTAAGGAGGAAATGAGGAAAGGTGTTTTTTGTTTTTTTTTAGACAAACGACACGCCTCCTGTTCTCTTAGCGTCACGTGAAGCGACGTCTGGTTCTGATGACGGAGGACGATCGCAGCTGGATCAGCTGGAGTGCGTGAATGCGCACGTGCGGGCCGCGCGCATAATAAAGGCGCAGTTATCGATAACGCGCAGGTCAGCAGGGAGATCTCTCTGCACACCTGATGAGAGGCGCAGGATATATTTGTATCTGCAGATCGAGTGTTTATATTCATTCTTTATCATTGTGACAGTGAACGCATCATTTGATGGTTTCACTGTGTTGTGCACGCTGGAAGTGATTGATTAGGATGAATGCTCAGGCATAAATCAAGCATGTAATATGAATAAATACTAAATTCATTCATTGTTCCCTCATTTATTCGATTTATAAACCTATTTATAAATCTTGTATTCTGGATTAATAGGCTCATGCATAATGTGTTTAATGATTGCAATTTATTATTTTACTAATGTGATATACACAAAGAATCAGCATGATCATTAACAATAGTAGTGCAAACAACTAAATCGATTTACCAATGACACAGTGAGTGAGTGATGACCACTTCAAAGTTTAATTTGAAATTATTTTCGGGACTTTAGGTTTACAAATACGTGATTCCTGTAACCCAAGATTCAAAACTCTTAAAAAAGAAATTTTACCCAATGTTCTATAAATATTCATTTAAACAAATTTATTGATTTGAGACATAAACAAAAAAATACTAATCATCAAATAATACATAAAATGTACATTTAATAAACCACCGGACACAGGAAGAATTTGCTCAGGCCATATTCTGATGAACACTTAACCAGTCAGACATGTATATAAATATCTATATATATATAGATATAAATATATAAATACTCTTGGATAAACCAACATTGCCCCGGTAGCATTTTCAAACGCCTTCCTTCTTTGGGTTCTACAACTCCGGAGTAGTAGTTTTAAAACACATAGTGTGGGTGTTGCCCTTGTGTGGCTCCGAGCCTCCAGATGTGTCCTTTGTGTGGAGGTTGTACCCCGATGCAGGGAGGCCCAATGCTTAGACTTATTGTTATTAAAAAGAAACAGTTCTTTAGTTAAAAGAAATGGCCCCTGCTGACCCCGATGAACTCAGTGCTCCCACTAATCTGCCGCCCGTTGCACCGTCTCAACCTTTCAACAGCTGGATGAGGCCTTGTTTACTTCACTGTTTTACTAAAAGTTGCTTAACTGGCTACAAGGTTATGTGAATCTGCTGTAATTATAAACCCTGAGAAAACCTTCAGTGGAAAAAATATATATATATATATATTATTTTTTAGTGTCTCTAAAATGATTGTCAAAAAGTTACATAGATTATTTGTGTATTTTTATGGAAATTGCAAAGAGAAGTGTAATGTCAAGCACCTATTACATAATGTTTATGTTATTATCCTTATTGCCTGCCTACTTGTGCATGAATGGTATTCGGTTAGTTTAGTTTAGTTACTCGTGGAGACCATTGAACTACTGAAGTGTGACTCGTGCCTGAATAATACTAGTTAATAAATCCTATTTAAAAAGAACAGTGACATCAAATATTGCGCTTCAGAAAAGGGCTTCATGCAATTCATCAGCTTCAGGATTCAAACCTTTTTTTTTTTTAGATGTGTTATTTGCAGAAGAAAAATGCTTCATGAAAATACAATACCAAAGTCAGTCACTTTTGTTTAGAATCCGTGTTCCAATCTCTGCATTGACGTCAACTCTGAAGCATTTTAGTGCAAAGGAATTCACTGAGCGAAAGTATCACTTCAAAAATACCTCAAATAGGTCAATTAGATTCAATTAGATTTAATCATTTACAGTCGCTTCCCATTATGTGCGTCCACAGAACGTCCTGCGCAGCTAGCAGCCCAAGAAATGATCCCATCAGCTGTCGGTGTGTAAACCGAGGGCAGAGCGGCAAAAGGAGAAGATGGACGAGTCTCTGAACGCACACCGTGGTCACATTATGATGCAGTTGGGGGATCCAGTGTGACCCGCGTGCGACACGCCTGCAGATATGTGAGGTGATCCTTGCGTTTGTATTGATGAAACAAAGTCCTGATGAAACAAAGTCCAGAGAGTCCTGCTGTGAAAGCTCGGGGGAATCTTCCTCTGACACGTCCTCGATGAGGGGTCAGAATGGTCAACGCGCCGGCGTTGGTGGCTTCGCTGTCCCATCGTTCCTCTCCTGGCTCGTTGGGTTTGGGTTGGATTGTCGTGTCACGGCATCATGTCGACTAGCTGGTTTTGCCGTGACCAGGTAGAGAGGAGTGACCAGTGAGCCGTCAGCATGTCGTCTCTGGGTTTCTCTTGGACTCTTCTGACTCACAAGCCCACATCGCGCTCCCTGACCAAGGAACTGTGCGGCCTTTAAAATCTACTCCGTGGTTGAATAAATGTGAGGTTTGATTGCATCATTATTTTATAAAATGTATATTTTAGCACTCTACAATGAACTGTTGGTGTTGGTGATTGTTTTAGTGCCACGTTTGACTGTGAAAGAATATATATATACATATATATATATATATATATATATATATATATATATATATATATATATATATATATATATCAGCTGGGTCCAGATTTCCACCAAACACCCACTGACCAGTGACTCCCTGAATGATCAGGAATTAGATGTGTGTTATCAAACATATACAAATCAAATCATTATATGTAAAAATACATGCATTAATGTACATATAAATCATTTTTGAATAATTTACTTTACACTTAATTAATAACCTAATTAACTATTGACAACTCCAAAATAATTGCTCCGTAGTTGAAATAGGGAATTGTTGTATATAAAATAGGAAAATGAAATAATAAATAAAACATGTAGATTTTGTTGTGTATTAATATAGTGAACAATGTTTTATTCATTTTAAATTAAATATTGACGCGCACTTATTATTAAGTGTTTCAAATGAATTCCACGACTTCTCATTTGTAGCTTTCCTCATCCCACTGATGACGGTATTTAAACATATTTTGAGCCAATCGGTCAGCATCTTTATGAATAGTCTCGTCATTCCACCGCTGCACAGGCTGCACTCCGAAATTGGCTTTACGTTTCCTGTGTTTCCTTCATTATTGGTGAGAGCGGATGAGCTGACGAGCTTTATGTCTACAGAATCCTGGCCCGGGATGCGGGGGAAGGGAAATGAAAGTGTCCTGGTATGAATAGTGGCACGGAGATGTATAAATAACGTCTTCCCTCTTTCTCTACCGCATGTGGACATCTTCCCGCCGCAGTATCTTATAAAGAACCCAGTAGAATATATTGAAGAACAGAAAGGCCAGAGGGAAGCCGGCCCTCGACACCGTGTCGATCTTTTTGGCCCTGTCGATGAACAGCTTCCTCATCTCTTCGACGCTTTTAGCTCCTCCCCCTGCGGCCTTCTGGCCGGGGTTTGCGGCGGCCCCCGGCGCGTTGGGTCCGGTTACGGTACTGTTGGCGAGGCCCTTCGCCTCCTTGCTGCTCCTCGGAGTGGAGGTCACAGCAGCGGTGGAGGTCCGCCGGTTGTCGTCTACTTCCCCTTCCTGGGGGTGAGACGGCGAAGGAGAGGGAGCGCTCTCGCGTCACATTATCGCGCACATTTCTGATTTCACCGACTACGCGTGCCGCTGCCGCCTTTGAGCCAGGCACTGAATAAGGGTTGGACTGATTGCCTGCGTTGTATATATAATATAGTTTGGGATTAGTTAGTGATGAAAAGACTAATCTCACAAATTATGAAAGAAAATGTCAAGTTTCAATTTGCTTTGCTTCTGCAAATGCAGATGATTTGATACAGAAATGAGTTGCCATTAGTCATTTTTTCCGTGGTTTGCTTTAAATGTTAAAGGCTTTCTTAGAGACACTGTCCTGAAGATGTAACCTTTCTCAGAGTAAGTAAATCATGGCAGTTTTGGGACATAAACGCCTGTAATCCTCAGCAGCAGACTGACGTGGATGCGGTTGGAACGTGCAGGTGAAACACAAATACACATGCAAACATGCACAGACAGCCACACAGACCCACACGCGTGCACTGTGCCATTACCCTGCTGGTGAAGACGTTGGTCATAGATCCATAAAGAGGGCCTGCTGGTTGGAGGCCGTTGTGAACACTGACGCGACGGAGGGAATAAGCTAGCTCCTCTGGGTCAACAGCGCCTCCACTGATCTACACGTCGACAGCATGCACACCAGCGAGACACCATCAGAAACCAGACGGACCACAGCTTCAAACTGCCAATCATTAAATGTTAAAAGCTGCCAAAAACATTTAGTCAGTGTCATTCTATTGTTGCTTCTTACCTCAAACACACGTTTTCTTTTTAGTTTTCCTTCATCAAATGACCAAACCGTTTCCCAGGTGTGTTTTTTGTGATTTTCCTACTCGTCTACTAACAATCCATGTGATAAAAGAGCATCAGACTTTTGGGGGGGGGGGGGGTTATAGTCCCATAACCATTTCTGGATTCTATAATAATTCCAATAAACACTATTTGTGTAAGAGAGCTGGATAAATGTACCACAGAAAATTCAGTCCTGCTCCGACATAGAAAACAATCTGTTTGGACGGGCTTCTGACTGCCAAAATAAGACACCCGGGAAACACCCCCGGAGAGGCCACTGCTCTCGTATCTTGGACCCCGGGGAGAGTTTGGGGGACTCAAACATCTCAGGAGAAGCCGGCCGAGCCCCCCCTTCCTCTTTTGCTCTAATGCGATTACTCCGAAAGCATGCCGGCGTTTGGGTGCTGGTGCACATCTGTGCGACCTGCATGGGAGGCGTCAGCGCGTGGAAGGTTCCCGTACCTTGCTCTTGCTCTTGGGAGGCCGTCTGAAGCGCAGCAGGTCTTTGTGTTGCCTCGACACAAAGTTGACGGCGGCGTACTCCAAGAGCGCAGAGAAGACGAAAAGAAGACACACCGCCATCCAGATGTCTATGGCCTTGACGTAGGAGACCTTTGAACGCACACACACACACACACACACACACACACAGAAGGGGAGTTGTCCATCGGCGGACGGTCACTTCCCAAAAAGTGTTTGTTTTCACCACTAGTAAACCTCGAGGCCGACTTCAGGACGCAGCAGTCCACCACGTTGGGAAAACTTAACTGATGTTTTATTTTACCATTTCTGCTTTAGGTATATACAATTTTTTTATTTTTTTATGGGAAAGTTAATAATTCAAATAAACCTCCTGATTTTATCATTACTGACATTGCTTTGGGGCCGTAGCTGCTGCCCTTTGCACACAAACTCCAACTCCACACACACACACACAGGGTTGTGTATTAATGACTTTTGTCGGTAAAACACAATGCTTGCGGTGTCAAAATGGTGCAACATTTCTTTATGATATAATGACTTATTCAAACATGTGCTACAAACTTGAGTGCAAATTTCTGTTCAGTAGTGGAAACATGAGAAACCTCCTAACCTCAAACCACCACCCCTACACACACACACACACACACACACACAACGTATGTGTGATGGAGATGGGGAGCTAAAAAGGGTTTTGCAAATATCAGGAATCAGCTGTCAGTATGTTAGACATACAAGGAATTTGACATGGCGGTTGGTGCCTAACAGAGGACAGTGAGACAGTGAGACAATGGACGACAGTGCACGGGGGAACCGGCTGTATTGTGAGTGTGAAGGGGAGTCAGTCAGCGGGGGGGCCGGGCCCTTCTGTGGGAAATAGGGAAGGCAGTTTAAAGAGCCATCATTTCAAAAAAGGACAGAAAAAGAACAGTGAGTGAGGACTGCAACGAATAAATCAAACAACTCAAAAGGATTAATGCACGTAACCTACTCTCTTACATATGCACATCGTTCTCTGTCCCAACTTATAACTCTTCTTCATGTACCCATATGTGTGTTATCAAAGGCATGTGGACGGGATGAACTGATACATTTGAAATTGTCCCTCGAACCTGTAGGTAGCGTCCAATGCCAAATCGAATCCATCCCGTCTCACTCTGTGATAGAGGTACAACAAGCGTCTACGAGAACAACTTGGATCCTTTTATTCCCCAAACTATATGTTCGTAGGGGGAAAACTAGAACATACTGGTACACAGATTTAGCTGACGACACAATCCACACACAGACACATAATATATGCAACTGAGACGGCGGTTGTGTGAATTTCTGCTCAATATGTAATTGGCCCATTTAGTCCGGATTTCCCTCAGAAATGAGTTTTGTATCCCGGTGGGCTTTCTGATTAAAGGTGACGTTTAAAAGATAGGCAAATGAAAAAAATAATTGGAAAAAGACCTTAGGCAGTGAAGTGCGGGAGCCTGAACTCTGTGTGGTCATTGTGAGCACAGTGGTGATGCCCAGGGCCACTCTGGCTGGAGCCGCGTCCATGTTGATCCAGAAGGAGACCCAGGAGAGAATGACGATGAGCAGAGAGGGGATGTACATCTGGATCAGGTAGTAGCCCATTTGACGCTCCAGGTGGAACCGCACTTCGATACAAGTAAATTTACCTGCAACGGAGCAGAGACACGCTTAAAATAATATTTGCATATTTGTAATTACATGTGTTAGTGAAGCGCGGTGATCGGCAAGCAAGATGGGGCACAGGTGCTTGTCTGACTTCTATACATTTTTACAGAGAAAATATTTGTTTGCTGCTATAGCAATTCTCCAAATGTCATATATTTATCGTTTGATGATCAATCTGGAGTAATATTGTCAGCCATGTTCATGTTAATAACTGCCATTGTCCTGTTTGTCCCATTGAATTATTCGCTCGCACTTGATTCCGGCTGCACACGATTGATACCTTTTCGCTTGCGGTGTGCGCTTCACCTGTGTTGTAGTGCTTGGTGCAGTATCTGAGATCTGACTCGTCTTTGAGGAGAAACTGTGGCAACGTGAGGCCTTCGGCCACTTGGACGGATCCATTCTCCTGCCACTCGAAGATCAGGTCATTCATGGTGTAGCCAACTGAAAGAAGTGAACCACAGCATCGTTTGATTATCACATTATAACAAGAGATTGTGCAAGATGAAGGTCAGGTAGAAGGTACGCAGTTTACTTACTGTGAAGTAAGGAAGTAGGAAGTGTATGACTGAACTGTACTTACAGCTCTCCAACTGCATGATACATGTCTGAACATCCATGGGGAAGTTCTTAAGATCCATGGGACATGAGAGCGTTAATGTTAATCTGAGAGCACAGAGAGCAGAGACATCAGGTGAGTCACATGGAGCGACATGGTGAGGCGTCATACAAATATACTGCATCAAAGCACTTTCTGCTATACGCAGATATCTGAACGAGCTCTCCACAATATACAAGAAACAACCACTTTTGTGCCGTTTTTCCTTTCTAACACTGTGATTGCAACTTTACTTTTTACAGGGAAATAAATAAATGTAATGTTAGCAGTTATAAAATCCACATCATCCTGGATTGAATAATCCAAAGTGAATGACGTCAGGAGTAGGCAATCTGATTATCCAAAAATAATGTCACCAGATATATCAAATGGCCTCCCTCCCCCTCACCTTATCGAGTACAAAACATTCCCATTCTTAAATATCCTGAGCAGCTTGTTATCGGTAGTGACTTCGTGGAAGTGGGCCCCTTTCTCGTTGGCAAAGAAGAGGTCTGGCTTCCAGATGGAGTCCAACATAGAGGGGTCCAGGTCCAGAGAATCATCTGGGTATTCAGCGTAGGCGAGTCGGGGGTCGTTCCACTGCTGCCGGAGGAAGATGTTCACGCGGTAGTCCTGCAGACGCAAAGATGGCATGAGAGCGTCACCAACAATCACACGCGTTATTAAATATAAGTTCATGGTGACGGGACATTTATTCCTCAAAAAAATGATCTGTAGAAATGAAGAAAGACCTAAACTGACATATTTCACAGATTCATCAACTGACCGACAATAAATAAGGGGTGACATTACCGTACTGTGTGGGGGAAACGTTTAAGCCAATAGCGTTCAGCACCAAGCAATGCGTTTACAATCTTGGGTTCTCCTGCTGTGTTCGACCCGTCTGCCAGTAAACTGCATAACATGCAACATATAACTATGGTCGAATGCACTTATTGTAAGTCGCTTCGGATAAAATGTCATGTAATGTAACCACGTTATCTAATATATGTTGTGATAAATAAACAACTAAACAATACGAGAGAAGAATATAGACTATTTTGGAGGCAGTCGATGGATTTTCAGCTAATTTATTCATGTAAAAGGAGAGTGACAGCACTTTTAGTTGGGTGGTAAGAAAGAGGTAAAGAAGTTCACAGTCTGTTCCATTGCCCTCAAACTCACAGTATAAATAAATCAATAATGCAACTGCACACGGACCAACGTGATAAGAATGAAAACGGCTCAAATTTAAACAGTTTAGTTTTATGTGTCGATAGAATGTCTCTGCGTGCAGAACCCGGCCGATGGAGAAAGGATCAGGAGGGATGGAGAGATTCAGTGAACAAATGAAAAACAAGTAGTTCATGTGTTTAACATGGAAAGTGTGTAAAAAATAAGCCTACGTGGCTTTGAGCCCTGTGTGTGAGTGCGTGTGCGTTTGATTCGTGTGTGTGTGCTACATGTGACGTTGGGGAGGATTTCCTCCTGTCGCTTTCTCTCGTCTCTTTCGATGACGTATTGTTAAAATAACCAAGGCGCACACTTGTCACAAAACAATAACCAATACATACTACTAATCAAACTAAGCACTATTGCTATCACAGCTTATTCAATTGTTTGAAACAATTGAATAAGTTGTGAGAGGCAGGAAGCGAATAAGAAAAGATGAATGCAGGGATCAGAACGCGGCTCCGTCTCTGCTCACAAGCGTTTCATTGAGGTCATTCTGAGAATCAACTGAAGATTTGGGATTATTGGCCGTTTAATGAAAATATATGGTGGGAAAGATCTGCAGCAACAGTTATTTTGAGTTGAGAAGCTCCATTAATCGGCATGACGGCAAGTTAATACCCGCCGGGGTCGCCGACCTGCCGTGAGCCGCCCGGAGACCCGCGTCATCGACGAGAGGCTTTTATCCCCCTGCTGAGGGACGGTGTGGGAACCACACGTGTCCAATGCAAAATAGATGGTGGCCGCTTGTTATCGGCCGTTCAGAGTTCCCACTCACTCAACAACTGGCTACCGAAGAGACGGGACAGATACGAAACATGAGCGGGGCTTAAAATGAGTTTACACCGACTACAACTTATACGCTCCACATGTTGTACGACTTTTGGATCTATTCTGCTCCCTGTTGGAATTGTTTGCCTCCCGACCTTCTGCCCCGTGACCCGTGTTTCCTCTGCTGCTCCGTCTCTGCTCGACCCAGAACCGTTACACAAGTGTGTGCTGAGAGCTTGTTACTGCAAGATCACATTTGATCCTGTATACATCACAGCTTGGTCTGGTATTTAAACAACTCACAGTTGTTCAATGTACTAATTGCCAATTGTCACGTCGCTACAACCTAGTGTAAATGTGTTATTTATGTGCGTAGGGATATTTGATGGCGCTCTCTTGTGATGGTAGATGAGACAACAGATGGTGAGAAGAGAGAAAGGTCTTAATCCTCATGTGACATATGGTGTGTACATGCAGATCTATGTACTCCAAGCTCCCAGACTAGTGCCGTACACACATGTCTGATATGACTGTACGCTAGGACAATATAACATGTGTGTTATATATATATGGTATATATATATATATATATATATATATATATATATATATATATATATATATACTTTTTGAACATATATTTATATTGTATAGTTGTTAAATACTTTTAATTTGCTTATATCTTTTTCTTGTTTTTATTCTTGTACACATTCCCCTTTGTTCATTTCTTTTATATATTCCTTGTAATTGTATGTACTGTGTGTTTGTAATCTAATCTATGTATGCATAAGCATCCTTTGCGAATAAAGCTGATTCTGATATCATAACAGAAGGTCCTTCTGTTTGTCTGTAAATACCAACATTTGGACAGTTTGTGTTTGGCAGACCAACACACACACATACAAATGTCATATCCGTTAGAACCACTCCTCCCAGTGGTGCGGAGAGCACTTAGACCATGTCGCTTCAGTCATCCATCCACTTCTCCATCCAGCCGTCTTTAGAGAAGGCTTCACTGATCACAACCACTTCTGCTCCGCTGGCTAATTACGCAAGACAGAAAGTGAAGTGGTGTTGGAGACTAGTGAGGCGTCACTGATATGTTTGTTCCTTTCCGACTAGGGGTGTAACGATTCATCCACTGAATCGATTAATCGATTTATGTTCCCGCGATCCAACTGAATCGATCTGTGCTCCACAAATCGGCATTCCGGACGACATATATCGATTACAAATCGATTGAAATGGTACATAATCGATTGTATCGATACTTACGGTTGGAACGGCGTGGATGTGTGTTTGTTTGTTAGATTTTTAGCACTTTAGACACGTTAGACGTTACTCAATTTAGTCTGCCTGTCTGTGACGTCATCAGCACGGAGCGGCAGCCGCGCGAAACAACAACAAAACACATCGTGGAGGAGACGACTGTGAGCAAGACATTTACAAACCAACTTATCGATCCAGCGTGTGGAAACATTTTGGCTTTTGCAAACACTGAGCCAGTAAACACATATTTACTTACCATGGTGGTTTCAGCAATGGACCCAAAGCTGTTGATGAAAATGTTACAGGAAACATTGACTGGAGGACCTGCAGAGTGACAGATAGAAACAATGAAGACAGTAAATGGAGATAATTACTCTAATTGGTCAGGCAAAATCTTCTGGCACTAATAGTACCATACTACCCTACTAGAGAGCTCCTTAAATGCAAGGTTACTGCTAAAAAGTACGATGAGAACCAGGGCCTTCAGTTATCAAGCTCCTCTTTTGTTCAACCAGCTTCCACTTGCAGTCCGGGGGGCAGACACGGTCACTTTCCCCTTTGCTTATATTTAGGGCTGGCTCAGGTTACTAGTGAGGGCTGGCTCAGGTTAACCGTTATGGCTGGCTCAGGTTATTAATTAGGGCTGGCTCAGGTTAATAGTTAGGGCTGGCTTAGGTTAATAATTAGGGCTGGCTCACGTTAATAATTAGGGCTGGCTCAGGTTATTAGTTAGGGCTGGCTTAGGTTAATAGTTAGGGCTGGCTCCGGTTACTAGTGAGGGCTGGCTCAGGTTACTAGTGAGGGCGGCCTCAGGTTAATAGTTAGGGCTGGCTCAGGTTACTAGTGAGGGCTGGCTCAGGTTAACCGTTAGGGCTGGCTCACGTTAATAATTAGGGCTGGCTCAGGTTAATAGTTAGGGCTGGCTTAGGTTAATAATTAGGGCTGGCTCACGTTAATAATTAGGGCTGGCTCAGGTTAATAGTTAGGGCTGGCTTAGGTTAATAATTAGGGCTGGCTCTGGTTACTAGTGAGGGCTGGCTCAGGTTACTAGTGAGGGCTGGCTCAGGTTAACCGTTAGGGCTGGCTCACGTTAATAATTAGGGCTGGCTCAGGTTAATAGTTAGGGCTGGCTTAGGTTAATAATTAGGGCTGGCTCTGGTTACTAGTGAGGGCTGGCTCAAGTTAATAGTGAGGGCTGGCTCAGGTTACTAGTGAGGGCTGGCTCAAGTTAATAGTGAGGGCTGGCTCAGGTTAATAGTGAGGGCTGGCTCAGGTTACTAGTGAGGGCTGGCTCAGGTTAATAGTGAGGGCTGGCTCAGGTTAATAGTGAGGGCTGGCTCAGGTTAATAGTGAGTGCTGGCTCAGGTTAATAGTGAGGGCTGGCTCAGGTTACTAGTGAGGGCTGGCTCAGGTTAATAGTGAGGGCTGGCTCAGGTTACTAGTGAGGGCTGGCTCAGGTTAATAATGAGTGCTGGCTCAGGTTAATAGTGAGGGCTGGCTCAGGTTAATAGTGAGTGCTGGCTCAGGTTAATAGTGAGGACTGGCTCAGGTTAATAGTGAGTGCTGGCTCAGGTTAATAGTGAGTGCTGGCTCAGGTTAATAGTGAGGGCTGGCTCTGGTTAATAGCTTCTTCCTGCTGAGTGTGTGCTTCACAGGCTTCTCCTCACAGGGTTTGCATGGAAGGTGGTCCATCTTACTGCCACGGCCCTGCTCACACTCCCTGCTATTATCATTTTAAGTAGTTGCATTTCTATTGCCGATACCAATATTGTTTTTTATCATTGATATTTGACTATATCCACTAATGATTTTATTATTATTAGTTCTAATAATTTCAGGATTTTTCCGCTTTTTACTTTTTAACTGTTACGTTGGTAATTCTGCACACATGACCTCTTTCACAGTCCTGTCCCTCCTGATAGAGGAGGATCCCTCTGTTGCTCCCTCAGGACTCTCAAGATGTCTCATGTGTACCGATTAAAAATACACCATTTCAAGCTCTCACAGCATCTCACACTCAACCCTTGACGATGACGTCAGTCCCTGAGAGTTCACTTGACAGCTCGCTCGACCTTCGCTCCTCTTTCTCATTCTCGCTTGCTCGTTGAGCAAAACTTTGGTTTTACAAACAGCAACCGACAAATGTGACTTTTATTTTTTTAAACCGTTACTCCTGACATCTGGAAAAAAATCTCTCTCTCTCTCTCTCTTTCTCTCTCGTTCCCTCTCTTTCTCTCTCTCGTCACAGTTTTTGCCTACAGTAAAATGACTCAGCTGTTTAGCATTTTAGGCCATGATTAAGCCACAATATGAGAAAAAGTTAGGAACAGCTTATAAAAAAAATAAAATCTTAATCTAAGTATGTTGTTGTGATGAAGAGAAATGTGCTTTGCAGAAGTGAACACCTCGAGTTGTAAAGAATCCAGCTCAGAGGAGGCTGACGGCAGTTTTTTTCTCATGTGGTGACTTTTACATGATGTCTCTACTCTATTCTCCCACACTCCTCCGCTCCCTTCACTGGCTACCGGTGGCTGCCCGCATCCAGTTCTAAACATTGGTGCTCACGTACCATGCTGTGAATGGATCGGGTCCAGCTTACATCCAGGACACGGTCAAACCCGACATCCCGACCCGCACTCTCCGCTCTGCATCTGATAAACTGCTCGTTCCTCCCTCACTGAGAGCAAAACACTCAACTAGATCACGACTCTTTGCTGTCCTGCTCCTAAATGGTGGAACGAGGTCTCTGAAGACATCAGGACCGCAGAGATCCTTCACATCTTCAGACTAAAGACACACCTCTTCAGACTCGACCTCCACTAAAACACTAACAAACTGTAGCACTTAAATTGTACTTCACTCATCTATAGCAAATTGTAAATTGGCTTATTTGAGGAAATTGCACTTTCTTGTTTCTTGTTCTTCTGAGTTTGTACCCTATGGTTGAATGTACCTATTGTAAGTCGCTTTGGATAAAAGCTGTCACGGTGTGGTTCACTTCCTGTTGTATTTTGTAGTTTTCTGCCACTCGTGTCCCCGGGTAACTTCACTTCCTGCCTTGTCCCGTCATCCCCTGTGATCGTCTAGTTTCCACCTGTGTCCAATCACCTGCACCTCCCTTGTGTATTTAAGCCGTGTGTCTCTTGTGTCACTTGTCGCGGCATTGTCTATCGTCGTGGATGTTCATAGTTTCATGCCTGCTGTTTTCCCCCCCTGGTTCCTGTGTGATTTTGCCCCTTGGCCTTTGATTTTGCCTTTTTGACAATTAAAGTCTTTTGTTTTCTGAGAAGTCTGCGTCTGAGTCCTGCCTCCCCCACGCATCCTTGACAAAAAGCGTCAGCTAAATGACACGTAATGTCATGTATACAACTTACCAACCTTAATAGCCATGAGCAAAACAGCAGAGGTTTAGAGGTTTTCATTCATCTTTGGGAAAGATGTTTGCACAGATTTCTATCCTAGATATCGGTAGGAAACGTGTCTCTACTGCAAAATCAAAAATATCAGACTAACTGAGATAAGACCAAATTTCAGCACATTTCTCTAATGAGGTGTGAAGGAAATGGTACTTGTTTGTTTCGTCTCTGTATACCCTTATGCACCGTGACAACATTAACTCTGGTATTATATTATTATTATTATATAAGTCTGAGTCTGCAAACTAAAGAATATTTAACTACAAACCTTTTCCCTTTTTCTTTTCAAGGCATTTCACCTCCTTGTCCGTCACTAAGCAATTTACTTGGCACATGTGATTGATACCGATATACTTTATATTTTCACAGGCTCTTATAATAATGAAACAATCACACCTTCACTAACGTTTTATGTTGAGATTCGCAGGCATCCTTTACCCGCTGACCCTGTTATATGAAAACCAGCAGACGGACATAGACAGCCAGGTACCTTTGAAGTTCGGTCTGATCCTGGCGTCGTATCCCGACGTCCTGCCCATCAGTTTGTCCAGAAAGTCCGAGGGAGACATCGGCGCTTGACGCGTCCTGCCAACATGGTCCGCCTCCTTGCACTGTCCCACCCTGTGATGGAGACAAAACGCAGATAATGCACAGGGCACAGAGCGACATGCATATCAGGGAAACCAAAGCTATTTGCTAACTAATAGTTATGACAGTGGTAAATTATTGTCATGTGTTTATCTTGTAAAATCCATTTTTGATGAGAAAAGCTTAATGAATCATTTCTTAAGCATCAAATAACCATTGTGGATTACAATGGTAAAAGGATAACATTTAGAACTGTGGTGGGTTTACAATGACTTTGCGACTCACTGTTTCCCCTCCCATTCTAACAAGGGGGTGCCCGTCCCCTGTAAAAGTGTGCAATATATATATATATTTTTTCAAAGTTAAAATTGTTATAGTTGAATGCGTGAAAGTAGGAACTCTGATTTCCATTTCTGACGACACATTCACTCGAAGCTAAACTACGACAGACATATTTCAATTAATGAAACATTTACATGACAAGAAAGAACAAATAGCCACTTTGACCAAGAGCGAGCTGTCTTTGCTCTGCGAACCTCTGTGGGAATAAGAAATGAGTCCAAAATGTGTGAGTTCTCTGCTGCTCCTGCTTCCCTTTTTCCTTGTAAAATAAATATTGTATCCTTTTGAAAAGGTAAACAAAGAGAAACACATTCAATTTAATGGAATCCTTCTTTCCCAGACCATAAACAAACAGAGGCATAGTTTGGAGCGTGGGGGGAAGCCGGGAAGGAGCTTCTAAACAATGAGGTAAAGCTTGTGTGTGTTTGTGCGTCTGGAATCAAAACCTCCCAAAATAGCTGTTAACTGCACACACACACACACACACACACACACACACACACACACACACACACACACACACACACACATCCAAGTGTAGTCTCAGGCTCATCAACCTTTACTTTGACATTTGGGAGCAGCTACCGTTGACCGCCGGCAGTGAATAACCTTATACAGCCCTGAGACCAGAGCGAGTGTGTTCACCATCAGCTGTCTCCTCATTTAACCTCCTCTAGACGCACGCTGGCGCTGGCGGCGATATCACACAAGTAGGCCTGCACTCATTAGCATGCATTAATATTTGGGAGAAAGGGGGCGTGACAGAGAGCAGAGACGCAGCTGGAGGAGCTGCTTAAAATAAAAAGCCCCTCGACTGGGGCCACTACTGCTCCGGCGATTCCCATCGAATGCAAGGTAAGACAAACTAAGGAGGAGGGAATCATGGGGTATAGCCTGGGGAATGAATGTGTCAGGCAGCATCATCAGCTCGGGGCTGAGTACATCCTTCCGTCCCGCTGCTGGGAGCCGAGTGGCGAGCTGCTTCCTGGTTGACGCATGGGTTCGGCTCCCTGTGCACGCGCGGGCTCATGCTCAACATCATGTACGCCTGCATTTATTATCACTTGTGCTGGGAAACAATGCATTAATTCAATTATGAATTGAATGAGTTGACGACTCGGGTGGGATGTAAGTATCGCAGTTAATGCCGATGTGGCTGAGAACGTGGAACTGCACCTCACGCTTATTCCGCTCACAAATCATCCCCATGCAACTGTCATGAAACATCAATGCGAGGTATTACAATGAATGAATTAGTTATGCTACAGATGACCCCCCCAGAGACACCAGCAAACCAGTTAATATGTCAGCCATCCATTTTGTTTCCGCCTCTCCGTGGAACAGATTCTTTCTTTGCGGAGCGCAGTGACCAGTCGAGCTCACACAACATTGTCAGCCCCCGAGCATCTCCAATCAGCTGCTAAGCTGCTTATGTTGCTGCTGATTTCTCATGCTCTCTCTCTCTGTCCTCCCCCTGCATGTTTCCACCTCTTCTGATTCCTTCCCTTGTTTCCATGCTGTGCCCTCATCCTCTAAAACCTCCGAGAGCAACTGTTAAGTAGCGCAGCGAGACGCGACATAACATCTGATCAATAATGGATTGGCTTTTGACCTAGAACTGCTGTCTCTCTCCACAAAAAAAACAGATAGGTGTCTTGAAGATCTCACGATAACAACCACAGCGGAAACAATTGTTTAAAGCACAGTGCACGTTGGAAGGCGAAGCAACGCCACTTAATGCCACAGTGTTGTGATCATACATTTTTAAGGAAGTAAGCCTCTAAATATATCACAGTGTAAACCCACATCCATTTGTTGAAGACACTCAAACGGCCCATTGCATTCTTAAATGAGGACCAGAGCGACAGCGGCTGTGTTTCTGTGGGTCTTTCCGCCTGCGCCGGCACATTAGCGATGATGAGTGCGTTGTCCAGAGACAGATGTGTCATGCTTAGTTCTTTGTTTTACGGGTGATTGTGTGCGCGCGCAGTAAATCTTTGTCGATGCTTCGATGGCTGATCGGTTTTGGGACCAAATGTCCGTCCGATCTCTTCACACCTGAACTGGCGACGTGGCCGTGACATTGAGCCGGGCTCACAGCCGGGAGACGCTTATCTGAAGTCATTCTGTGTTATATTATTGCGTTTTGAACGTAGGGTGGCTCAGCACATCTCATTGGAAATGACTCCACCATCAGGAGACCCAGAGGCACACAACCACAATCCGCACACCTCGTAAGCGCAATTTAAATTTAACAGCAAGAGAGGAAGACAGGAAGTAGGCCAATGTGGAACATTTCAAAGCGTTTTGGCCAATTTACATCTCAGACATAAAAGCTCTTCCTGCAAATCTCACCAACACCAAATTCAGACCTTTTCTCTGAGCTGCGGAGCAGAATGAAAAAACAAGCTGAAAGTTTTGGTCTTGAACAAGGAAAAATACAACAATGTATACCAAATAAAAAGTGAATGAAAAGTATTTTGGATTGAATCTGCAACCGGAAAATATTTGTGTACAGCAAATATTTAAAAAAATAGTCTGAATGAAAAAAACACACGAACTGAGTCGAAACTATATTCAACCCCAAAATACTTTTCGCCCACTTATTCTATACAGCATTATTGTATATTTTTCCCGAGTTAGATATTTGAGTATCTCTTTCATCAAAAATGAGTTCATTGAATGATTAAGACTTTTCTTAATTCTTAAACACATCCACTGTCTCACTTCTTTCTTTGCCTGTCAGCCGCCTGCTGAATAGATCAATAAATTAAACTTGATCACTTAGCTGACTGTTAAGCTTCTAATGTATTTAAAAATTTGGGAATTTTTTATATAGCTGTGCAAGGAGGACTTGTTTATATACACAAAATATAAAGCAATGTCTTTTCTTACAAAAAAAACGATAAGAGAATCTTTAGGGAACGTAACTAATAAGCAGAATCAACAACTAACATACAATCCCAACGATACCCAGCCCTAATGCCAGCTGCTATTACACAACAAAACAACAAAAAACATCTGCATCAGTCTTTTTTGCTCATTGTTCTTTTAGGTTATATGTGCTCATTGATGAAAAGTGATCCAATACGCCTCTAACAAATGAATGAATGAATAAAAGAATGTGCAGCAGCGGGTTAGTTGTGTAGGTAAGAATATAAAACCTTTATGATGAAAGTCATGTGATTCCATATTGAGCATTACCACATCTGGAACAGTAAAACGGAAACATGCAGTCTAAAAGAGCATCATTTGGGGAATTTTGTACTTTTTACATACAGATTATTAAAATGAAAAACATAAATGAGCTAGTAATCTATGAGGTGCAGTAGATTGCGTTCTCGCTAGGTCACATAGTTTGAATGAGCTTCACTCTCGTAACGTCTTTTTACTCTTGCACTGTAATTACAAACCCATCGGTTTATATGAATGGCGGCAACAAGGACAGAAAGGCAGCGCGCGGTGAACTAGTCGGGGTCTGTTTCAAGACACCAGCCATGACCCTGATCGTTGAACGATACGGAGCAACTGCGTTCGGAGGGTGGAAGTCGATTTAAATATATTTTGTTCTTTTAAAAGTAAACTAACATAAATCTTTGAGGCCCGTTTGACCCGATGAACGTTTACAAGGAGTTACAGTAAGTTAATATTCAAAAATAAATAAAGATAAATAAAGAAATCAATTTTTGTTGTAAAGAACCGTAAGATTTGGTCCCAGCGTTCTTGCCATAGACCATATGAGAGAGGGGAGAGAGCGGGGGGTCGGGGGTCCTGGCCTCGCGCGCCCACTTACCCGTAGAACAGCATGAGCGTCCAGGCGAGGAGAGAGCGCGTGGCGGACGCCCCCTTGCTGCCCATCTCTCTCCGGGGGGGGGGGCTCCGGGACCTCGTCAAGCTCTGCGCGCCTCAAACATGCCGCGGCGACCGGGACCCCAAAGAACTCATCCCCCAAAAGTACGGCGACAAACAACAGGGGGCGTCGAGACGGACAGAGCAGCGAGAAGCGGAGGACAGCTGTTCGGACTCCATCTGTGAGCTCGTGCCGCGCGCTCGTTCAGCGCGCGCGTGGAGCGACGACCCGCCCCGCGCGCCGGGTCGGTGAGACCGGCAGCGCTTCTCAGCCAATCAGCAGCGTCCTTGCTAATTCTTCCACTCGAGTCGCGTCTGGAATTAGAAGCCCAGCGAGCTGGATGTGATTTAACACCCACCCATGCATTATTACGCGCGCGCGCGCGTGTGCGTGTGTGTGTGTGTGTGTGTGTGTGTGTGTGCGTGTGTGCGTGTGTGTCCCTGTAGCTCAGCATCCTGTCAACCTTTCACATTTTCTTTGCCTTCTTCTCCGTTTCTTCCTCCATCTGTCTCACACTTTCTATGTTGTTGTGCTCTGGAAGGCAGGATTTGCACAGTCGGATGCGTTTGTGATTCCTGGATGTCGATGACAGTCATATGTGGCTGAAGAAGCCGTGCAAAGAGATGATCCAAGTACAGATTTACATCAGGGATGGATGAAGACAGGATGAGCCCTCATGTTACTGTTCCCTTCTTGTTTTGAGATGTTTCTTCTCTCATAGAGATCATTGATGAACGATGCTAAAGCCTGATCCCTCTCAAAGCCCCGTTTATTATATAATGAGAATAGTAACAAAAAGGTGATTCAGTGCTACCACACACAAACAGGCAAGCATTGAGGAGCGGCGTTCAGTACCTTTGCTGAACCTTATTGCACTCTTTAGTCTGAAGGCACGAGTCCAGACTGTGGTGATGTCGTTGGTCTGCCATCCACATTGTGGTTGTGGCTTCTTTCCATCACTGACATATTTATATGAGGAACAGTGTAATATTGGTTGAATTTATAATAAAAGATTTGAAGCTCATATTTTGGATGTAAAGAACTGGAGCAGAGCCAGCGTTGGAAATACACGAGGGCAAAGGGCAAAATGATGTAATAAATAGTATGTAAATGTCTTACCCTGAGCACAGCAATAACCACTGTTTTACGTATACGCTGAACAAAACCATGTGATATTTACAGAACTTTGTGTGTATTTATGTGCATAAATCAGTAGCAAGAATTACCAATTTTATATAATTTGTTTTTGTGATTTCTACAACATTGCTGCTGATTTAGTTGTTGGCTCAATTAGCAGAACCTTTGAGAGATTGTTAAAGTAATAATGTATCAGTAGGCAAAGACGTGGTTCTGAACTGAATAGTGATGCCGACGTTCCTCCTTTCTAACAACCAGCTCGGCCGACTGGCAGCAAAGACAAATAAATGTTTGTGAAAATAACCAAACCTCCTCTCCTGAGGGAAAACAGAGCCACTCTTTCAGGTCAACCTCCTCTGCTTGTAGAAGAAGGTTTCTATCAGGTTTGTACATAAGAAACCACTTTTGATCTCCGTAGCTCATATTCCCATTCATGACCACTGTGTGTGTGGGACGGGGGGGCGTTTTACTTCACTCGCATGGTTAAAATATATTCCGGCTTCAAATTAAGGTTTGCATTGAGTTGCAGGGTATATTGGACACTTTCTGCTCTGCTGCCTTACAGTTCCATCAACAATCCACCTCTTTTCCCACTTCGATCAAGCCGGGAATTTGGCTGTTTAAGATGACGACAGTCGGTGACCCCCCCCTCGGTGACGTCACAGAGGTCCATACCGTCAGTGGCTTTGAAGAGGATATAAGAACAGTCTGACACGTGTCCATGACCTTGTTAGGTTCTCTGTAATGCTGATTGCTCCACAGGGGGGGGGGCTCTGAGCCCCAATTTGTACGATTGTTGATTTCCTCTCAGTACTAAGTGTCATGATTCTTTGTAATCCGGCTGGTGACGGAACATGAGGAGAGCTGTCGCCTGCAGACGCACACAAAGGTTGACGTACACACAGAGAGCGAGGCAGAGGAGTGAGAGGCTGCAGGCAGCTTCCTCTCACTAATGTGCTATGAATTAGGCATCAGGTTCTGGGTAGTACAGTCGGATTCTCTGCCTGGATTCAGCGGAGTGCAGGAAGGGCTCAGTGTCAGAAGGAGGATGTTGCGTTATTGCTTGTTTTTAATTCCAGACTTTTTCAGGGGGGGACGGGGACGTGTTTGCTCACATGTCGTGTCCCAACACGCGAGCAAATATGTCCGTGTATGGACGCACGTCGCGCTCGCACTAGCTGACAGACTACTACAAGACCCATTGTCTGTTTAAAGAGGAACTTACTCATAAACTGAGGCCAAGCTGTCCAAATATCTGGATTAAAGCAACATCCCGATAATAAAGTGTATACATTAATCACACTACCAATTGAACTACCTTTACAATGGCAAACAGACCGGTTCTCAAGTACTGTTTTGTGGTTCTATACCCTGGCTAACTCTACGGACATCTAGAGCGTGCTCTACTCAGACTCTAAAAAATGTCACCGTAAATTAACGGTATTTTACTGTGAGCAAGGACGCCAGGAATTTACCGCTATTTTACGGTATAATACCGTAAATGTTTTTTACACTATGTTGCCGTAAAATTGATTATTGTATGTTACCGTAAACTTGAACAAATTTTACTGTCTCCCCTCACTCCCTGAAGCATTGTGCTGACCAGCTGTCTCCGGTGTTCACCGACATCTTCAACACCTCCCTGAAGACATGCCACGTACCAGCCTGCTTCAAGGCCTCCACCATCATCCCTGTCCCCAAGAAGCCCAGGATCACAGGACTCAATGACTACAGGCCCGTCGCCCTGACCTCTGTAGTCATGAAGTCTTTTGAACGGCTAGTCCTGACCCACCTGAAGTCCCTCACCGACCCCCTCCTGGACCCCCTGCAGTTCGCCTACAGAGCCAACAGGTCTGTGGACGATGCTGTCAACATGGCCCTCCACTACATCCTCCAGCATCTGGACTCCCCAGGAACCTACGCCAGGATCCTGTTTGTGGACTTCAGCTCTGCTTTCAACACTATCATCCCGTCTCTGCTGCAGGACAAACTCTCCCAGCTGCACGTGCCCGACTCCACCTGCAAGTGGATCACAGACTTCCTGTCAGACAGGAAGCAGCACGTGAAGCTGGGGAAACATGTCTCAGCCTCTCGGACCATCAGCACCGGTTCCCCCCAAGGCTGCGTTCTTTCCCCTCTGCTCTTCTCCCTGTACACCAACAGCTGCACCTCCAGTCATCAGTCCGTCAAGCTCCTGAAGTTTGCAGATGACACCACCCTCATTGGACTAATCTCTGGTGGGGACGAGTCCGCCTACAGGTGGGAGTCTGACCATCTGGTGTCGTGGTGCAGCCAGAACAACCTGGAGCTTAACCCTCTAAAGACAGTGGAGATGGTTGTGGATTTCCGGCGGAACAGAGCCCCACCCTCCCCCATCACGCTGTGTGACTCCCCCGTCACTATTGTGGATTCCTTCCGTTTCCTGGGCTCCATCATCACCCAGGACCTCAAGTGGGAGCTGAACATCAGCTCCATCACCAAGAAGGCTCAGCAGAGGTTGTTCTTCCTGAGGCAGCTGAAGAAATTCAACCTGCCAAAGACGATGATGGTCCACTTCTACACGGCCATCATGGAGTTCATCCTCTGCTCCTCCATCACCGTCTGGTACGCTGCAGCCACAGCCAAGGACAAGGGCAGGCTGCAGCGGGTCATCCGCTCTGCAGAGAGGGTGATCGGCTGCAATCTGCTGTCCCTGCAGGACTTGTTCGCTTCCAGGTCTCTGAAGCGAGCTAAAAACATCGTGGCCGACCCCTCCCACCCCGAGACAAAAACTGTTTGTGCCCCTTCCATCTGGCAGGAGGCTGAGGTCCATCAGGACTACGACCTCCCGCCACACGAACAGTTTCTTCCCGTCGGCAGTCGGGCTCATCAACAGAGCCGGTCCCCCACTGACTGACTATAACACTCCACCGGTCACTCCCCTTCACACTGCACATGCCACTTTAACTGCAATTCATCACTTTGTCACTTGTCACTTTGTCTCTTGTCTGCTACTTGTTTGTTAGTGCACTTTATGCTTAATATTTTTCTTTTTAACTTTTTAATATTTAACATTTTTTAACTTTATTCCCTTGTTTTATACTAACCCATAGCCTTAGCCTTATTCTACTAACCCATTGCATTAGCATTTCATCCCACTTTATTTTATTACTTGTGCACTGTTGTCTTGTCTGTCTACTGTCGCGCACTAACCGCCAAGACAAATTCCTTGTATGTTTGACATATTTTGGCTAATAAATGTTTCCTGATTCCTGATTCCTGGTGAATTAACTGCAATTTACTGGCAGTCGACGCTAGTAACTTACTGTTTTATTTACAGTGCCCTACCGTAATTTACAGTATGTTGTCGTATATTGGATCACAGTTTGTTACCATACGATTACTGTTTTTGTGTTACAAATACCAGAATTTTACCGTTTACTTATAACCGTATACTTTTGCATTTAATTCCCCACAAATTAAAGAAAGACAACCAAACTCATTTCGGTCATAGTGGTTGGAGTTTATTAGATGCCTTTAAGAAAAAAATGTTCGGCATTTGTAACCAAGAACAAAACATAAAATATGCCGCATGTATACAATAATAATAAAATGAATGATAAAATCATTAGGAACAAGGTAAACCAACTGCAACAATACACTATGGAACACTTTCAATTGACCGCAGCAAACGGCTGGCGTTCTTAATCCAGTGCCTCTGTAAAACAAATCAAAATAAATATTTAGAAACACTGTCATTGCTAAAATATTAAAATGACAAAGATGAGGAAGACAACAAGATGTAAGGAAGGAGAATGTTAATCATGAAGACAAATAACACTTACCAACGTTACTTGGAGAGACGAGGCAATGAGAAACTCCCATGTTGAACTGCTCAGGTGTTCTGGATGAACTGAGATTACGCGTCTGACGTCACGTTCAAGAGCAGTCGGTCACGATTAACACTCAAATGACTTTTAGGCAATGAACACTTTGAATGATACAAATATTTATAATCTTTACATTCCGGCCACTGAAATGACAGCAAAGGTGGCGCATGGGATAGGGAGGGCAGCACAAGGTTGGCGGTTCGAATCCTGGCTGCTCCCTGTGCCAAGTTGAAGTGCCACTGAGCAAGACACCTAACCGCCAATTACTCCACATAAAATGATGTCAAACCATGGGCGTTTGGATAACAGTGACAGCTGCATGTATAGTAATGTCCTGTAAGTCAAAGTCATCATCGTATCTCATGAGATACCATCTCATTATGATGACTTACAGGATCAGTGGCTGACGTGGGCTTCCATACATTAACCTACAACAGATGCAGATGGATTGTGATTCACTGCACTTGTATGTGTATTTCCACCACTTCATAAAATATATGTAACATGCAGTTGAATTACGGTAGTCTGCTATTATTGTAAATTGACAGCTATTGACGTTAATTTACAAGCGAGGGATGGAAATTTAACTGTATGTTACAGTTATTATGACATACTGTAAGATACCGTTAGAAATGCACCGTAAATTTACAGCAATTTGTTACAGTGCAGCGTAAAGAGAGTGCTGCTTCTATTGGAACTAATTACGTAACAAACATCACTTTGGGACAGATCTCGAGCTCTGGTTCTCCTGAGCCACTCATTAACACCAGTGAGTGGAGCTGATTCTGCCCTGCAGCAGTAGTCCTCCACATCCCGCCTTTGTTGGGCTCAGTAGAACCCCCGGCAGAGGTGACCAGATCCTGGAGGGCCATGCACGGCCTTGAGCACTCCTTCCATCAGCGATCTGGGCACCACCACCTCCCACTGCGTCTCTCCAGTCGCTAGCTCTTTGCAGCCCCTCAGCAGCCCCCGTCGCGCAGGCGCAGGCCTTGAAAAATTGCACCCACGGCTGACAGTCCGCGGCCAGCTGGTGTGTCCTCTGGTCCCACTGCAGCACATTTCACATCGGGTTTACTGTGATACGCGACCACTCTCTCTCCTTCATGACCAACTTGGAAGCCCTTTGAATGTACAAAACACTGGAGAACTCAAATGTAACGAGACACTCAAACCACATTACAGAGCATACCGATACGGCGCTGCCATATTCAAACTTTGTGCCATGTTTAGAATTATTTCAAGCTAAATGAGTGGCACAGTGTGAATCAGGAACCTTCGTTGCCAAAGTACGTTAGACATACAAGGAATTTCACATGGCAGTTGGTGCATAAAACTGGACAGTATAGACAATGAGACAATGGACAACATGAGAAAATGATACGTTCAATTTACCAATTTACTATTTAAATCTACAGCAGGGGTCTTCAACGTTTTTCAGGCCAAAGTCCCCCAAACCCATGGCGAGATAGAGCAGGGACCCCCTATTCTACAATATGTTGGATTCATGTTAATGTCTATTCAAGGACGATAAATACAATCCTGATTATGATTCTGAAAAATCAATTAAAGTCACACAGGGCTGGTGGGGGGGATACTTAACCAACAACCAAAATCTCTTCATCATCACCATCCACCGTGCTTCTACCATCATACCAGTTTCAGCAAAACCGGACAATTGATCAAATCAAAGGATTTCCTGACGCCCCCAAATCTCAGCTGTTCCAAAGTTCACCGCCCTTACCAGCGAGGGCTTTCCCACCTGTGAGTCAGATTGCTCTCTCCATCCTCCGTCAGCGCCGTCCGTCCTCCATCCACTGCCTCTTGGCCAGGAAGCCACCTAACCAGAAAAGCTAATGCTAATGGCTGATGCTGTGAAAGGGATGGTTTCCCTCATCAAATTCAATCCATAAGCAAACATTTGTATACCATAGTTTTTTATGTCTAATATGAATTGCTGTTAGCTAATCATCATGTTTTGTTTCTCTTTTAGCTTTGACCTGCACACACAAGCACACGGCTGACATCCTCACCCACACTATCGGTGAGTCAATTGACTCTGAGGAGGCATGTACGAACTTATTTAAAACATTGAATGCAATACGTAACTATAGCATTGGCGTTATTCAGTTCATATTTGAGTATTCTCTTTTTTGGTCAGTTTTTTTTATCCAGCACGACCAGCCAGTCTTCCAGCTTGTTGGATGCATAGCTTGTCTGTAGTGGACCGGAGGAGGACATCTAAAGCCTTGTTCTTTTGGAAAGAAGAGACGTATCCTAAGAAGGATGGACACATTCTCATCCACAGGAGAATTGCTTTAGCCACACTGCGCTGCTCCGGATGCCACAAAGCCCGGGCAAGTAAAGCTGATTAACCAAATACACAATCTCTTAATGAACTTCTGACCGCAGCTGGCCAGCATTCCAAGATCAAAGGGTCGTGACCCCGAACAGCAGCAGGCAGACCCATTGGAAGCTGCATGAGCATCATGCTGAGGTCTGGTTGAAGAAGACAGTCCAGTGCCTGACAGATTGCAAGGGGATTACCATGGGATCTGCCTGTGACATTCAAACCTGTAGCTGCTACACCTCCTCTCCCTCAGCACCAGCTGATTCAGGTTCATACGCAGGATCTCGATGGCATAAAGGCCACTGTCACTTTACAACATAGTTGGATGCAGGACGCAGCTATTAGGAATTAATGGCTAAATAATAATACAGTGGCTGCAATGTCATCAGGAATCAGGAACATTTATTACCAAAATATGTCAGACATACAAGGATTTTGACCTGGCGGTTGGTGCGTAACATCAGACGGTAAGACAATGGAAAACAAGACAGATAAGACAACATCGTGCAAGAATTTAATACTGCAAGAGGAATTTAAGTAAAAAATAAAAAGTGAATTTAAAAAGTAAAAAGATAAAGTGCACCAGCAAGCAGAACGTAACAAGTGTAAGAGTACGTGCATGTGGAGTGTGAAGAGAGTGACCGGTGGGGACGTAGAGATCTACAGAGTCTTTCAATCAGAGGATTGGCGGTTCGATCCCTGTCAACGGGAGGCCAATGATAGTAAGCTGTGATGCACATGTGGTTCCTTACATGATATTTCCTGCTATCAGTGCGTGCACAGGTGTGAATGGGTGAATGATGACATCTAGTGTTAAAGCGTTGTTTTTACCAGTTAATCATTGACAGCAGGTCCAGTGGGAAGTTGGACACTTGTAAATAATGATATTGTATTTGCTGATTATTTGTCTATGGCGCCCTACAGAGTTATTATCAACACCAAAATCTTCAACTGTAAGAGTTGACTTACTTACGTTTTACTGTGTACTGATTCCAGGTGTCGGTGTGTAAAGTGAAAGATTGTGTCCTTACCCTCATTCTGACCTTTACACGCGTAGCCTTTATGTACCAGGTGAGGATCAAATTACAGGAACGTCTCAGCGGGCACGCCCCAACCCTGCTCTTCAGCCAGGGATAAAAAAGAAGGAAAGGGAAACCTCATAAGCCTTGAATCCAGAGGCCAGAGCTGAAGAAGATTTGCTTTCTAAATGGATTCTCCGACCACATCAGGGAAGGTTTACCTCCAACCACACAAAGCTGGAAAGGTGAGTACACAAGAGATTTGAGCTTTGCTGAATGATTATTCATGAGTCTGGTGGGGTAGAGGATTGATCGGAGAGCCTGGTTTTCTAGCAGCTATAGATAATAATAAATACATAATTGCTTTGTGTTATAATCGCAGAAAATGAAAACGTAAACCCATCAAACTAATGTGAACATTGTGGTAAAACTGACTTCACGCTAAAGTAAATGAATAAATATGAACACTAATAGAACAAAACGATGACGTATGATCTTGTCCTGTTCTACTTGAGAGTCCACAATTAGCGGAGTTAAATCAGACGTGTGTTCTTTGTGTCGCTCAAAGGCGACCGAGCAGAAATCCAAATGAACAAGTTGAAACACGGCACAGTTTCCACCTCACACATTCCTGTGCAGCTCTGACAGCTGCATGCTGGCGCTCAGTATCACTGCAGAGGCAATTTGATTTGAACTCAAATATCACAATCACAACGTGAAGTATAAATCACTAACCTGCTGTGTATTCCAACTTTGAATGTATTACAAAAAACATGGGATACTTTGAGAATTGATACCTAATATGTAATCCTGTAATATTTGTTCCTTGAGAGCCTTGTAAAACAAGCCACGCGTTTCCCCTTGTGTTTGGAAGGTGGGCCTGAGTCACGGATGTGGAGGTGGTTTGACACTCCTCTGGATGTGGAAAGCACAGAGAGGAGGGAAGGAATGTTGGCCTTCTGTGTCATTCCTGGGTTAAAAGTTAGAAGTGTCAATCCCATTGGCAGTCAAACGGGTGAGGTTGGTACATATGAGTCGTATTTAAGTGGAGGAGGGGAGAGTTTGTAATCCATCACAGGTCGATCGGTTTATGTGACATAGTGAAAGGGCTGCGCTCGATTGCAGCCGGTGTTTCTATAACCTGTCATAACAAAGCCTGCTGTATCTTAACCTCATTTCCACAGGCAGAGGTGGAGCCCTCTACTGGACTCTGTGGGATCTCCAATCACAAGCATGCATTTACTCCATGAGAATGTGCACAAGCGTAACCTGCCAATCAGCAAAGCCCACCCAAACAGCCAGCACTGTCCGAGCAGCGTGGCCCACTTGGTAGAGCGTACAGGTGTGGTACTCGACTGGACTCTATGGGCCTAATGGGTGGAGGAAAATGAATGTAGGTTACTCCCTGCTGCAACATAACATTCATCAATTATCACTGACTCACTCATCTACTTCTTTATGACTTAGATGTAACTGACACAGCCTGTTTCCGCAACGGGGACTGAATCTGAGAATGAGAAGAAGTAGTCGATCTCCCGGTGCTACGATAGGTTTACCTCATTCACCCCCACGAATGGAGAGGAACGATGTCGAGCTGGAGGAAATAATCCAGTTCCAGCCACCTGTTAATCTGTTATTAACACACTTGCCTCATCACTTGTGAAAGTACGTTAAATGACAAGCGTTCAGCTTCAGGGTGTCATCGAAGAAGCTGCGGCCAAAAACCACTACCAGGATCTTCCAAAAACAGCCACCGATGAGGTCTGACGACAGCTTATGTTTATGTTTTTAATCAATTGTTTTCTTAATTCTTTAATGGAAATATTTCATTTAACTGCTAGGGATTTATGCAGGTCTCTTTCATCTTATTTTAGTTGAGATTTCTTCTCCTACAAATGTTTAAGGCGTTGAGTGATGGAATCCCAAGACGTCACACGGCCCACAGCTGTTAAAGCTCCCTGAACCAGATAACTAAGTGGGCCGATTCAGAAGAAAAAGATTTAAAAGGCAGGGCAGTGACATCAAAACTTCCAGAGAAGCGTCAGCAGTTACACCCATCAAGTAGGCGCGTCATCATTCGCTGGCTACGCGTTCCATTTTCAGAGGGTAAATGCATGCTCTCTCACATGGAGTCCAGTGGAGAGCGAGTCAGGAGGAACGTGATGTTCTTCTGTTGGTGACCATCTCTCGGCCTCTCTTCGTAGAAATGGAAGCCCGTGTGGATGTCTCTGTTTCCCTCCAGCAGTGATGGAGTCGGTCGACTGGAAATCCAGGATATGGGAGGTAGACACCCTTTCTACTTCAACCTCTATCTGTACCAATACTGTGAAAGAAAGTTCTGGAAACATCAGAACTTGGGTCTAATTTTCTCACCAGTTGAGGTAACATGATTACAAAGTCCTTTTTTGAAGATCTCTGAGATCAGATGATATTGCGACACAGCCAAACACGTCACACACAAGCAGGCAAATGACCCGACAGGGTCGCAAAGGGGGACTTGAAGTTTTTTAGCCTGTGAAAACCTGTGGTATTATATATTCTCACCTTTGCAATTACTAGGGACTGAATTCTGGGTATCCCAATGTCTACTTAAAAAAAATGTGTTTAGGCCTATTGGTGATGTAGCTAAACTAGATGGAATAGTACTGTGAGGGTAAAACCTAAAACTCATTAATCCCTTAATGGATGGGAACATTGTGTGGATGCCCGAGTTAGTGTAGATCAAAGTCAAGGCAGCCAGTTCATCCGTTCACTGGGTTACAAGTTTAAAACATCTACTAGATACAGAGACAGAGTACCAGCATAGTTCCTGTTGCGCGCTCTCCGTCCGCTGGCGGGCGAATCTGCCGTGAGGGCGATATGTGAAGTCATTCATTTCTGAGCGCCCCCCCCCCTTACCCGACAAACGATCCTTCTTCTCAACGGCTAAAATCAGTTTGGATAAAATATGTGAGCAGGCATCTTGTAGTACTTTCTACACCATTTGCAAAGTTACCAGCCTGCAAAATGTTTTTGTATTGTATCTTGACCCTTTGCCCTTTGACCAGAGATTTGTGCATATGGTTGTAAAACACATTCTCGCATTGTGAATAAGGGTTTGAAATTAGGCTTCGTCTTTAGGGTAAATTTCCAGAGGAAAATGAATTCCCTCTGCTCACTTTCAAGGCACATTTGATTTATTTTGTGCTTTACAGGTCGGCTACTCAAAGACACTTTACGGTAAAACCAGCATATTTAGCACATAAACACAGACTCAGCAATAAAACCAACCAACACAAAACAATCATTAAAAGCAATTAACAGTTTACAACTTTCCTAGTAAGTAGTTCATTTTAAATCCTTCCGCATTCAGTCGCTCCGCAATTTTCTGCCATGCTTTTCTCTCCGTTTAATTACAGCTGCCGTTTTTCCTTTTCTGCATATTAGATGCTTCACCTCCTCATAAGTTTCCATAATTAGTTGCTGCTCAATGGGTGAAAAATATGCCGCGGGCGTCTTCTCCATTTCCACATCAGTAAATGTGTGTTGGATACCGTGGTCTACTTAAAAACTTATCCCAGCGATGCACACCCGGATTGACTTAGCTTCACCTTCTCATCCTGACTCGGCAAACAGATGAAACCGCGATGAGCCGATGGCACTTAAAGCCTAGTTTATGCTTCTGCGTTTTCAGAGTGACGCAAGGACACGCAGACACAACCCTTGCGTGCCTTCTCACACCTCCTTGCGTGCTTGCGTGCGTCGACCCATTTTTCTAGACTAGCGTCAAAATTGTTGGATAATTATTACAGCTATTGTGAATTTTTACGGCCCTCAGCTGTGTACACGTTACTATTGTGTTGCTGTTTGTTTGTCTCTATGAACGGGGCGGGTTGTCGGTTGTTAAAAGACTTCTCTTGTACATCCTGTAAGAGCAGAGCACATTCGTATCAAGGAGCGAGGAAGTGACACCCGGCATGTAGTCAATCAGTATCATATTTTCAACAATCCCCACAATGCAAATGATGTGTAACTGCTGTAGGTGCGTTTGATGTGTGTCATGAAACAAATAGCCCCCAGGTGAATAAAAGAATAATGCCGTTCCCCCGCCATGGTAAATGTCCTGCAGGTGATCATGTGACCGGGGCCAGGAGACACTACCAGCCTCACGTGGACAGGAAGCTGAAGGTGGTCCCACTGTCCGAGCTGATCAGTGTCCTCAGACTCCCCCCAAACGCAGAGGCCTGCCCCATGGTCGGTCTCTCTGGTCGTTGATCACGTTTCATGGATACATGATGGTTAGATAAATACCAAAAGATGCTATCTGGGGTGCTTGCAGGAGAACATGTCAGCATTTTGTGTGGAGACCCGGCTCAGAACGATGGTGTTTGCTGCACTCAAAGAGGAATGCGTCGACTGGGTGGAAAAACTGTGTCGCAGCGCGCTCCAGGTGAGGGTGAAATGTGCTTCCAGGCCGTAAATGCGCAGCATCGTTCGTGGCCAGAATCCTCAGGCAGAGACGACGGACCTCCTACAGCCACGATGCCACAATGCTGCTCTACGCGCTCTTTTCTGAATGATTTCACAACTCGGTGCTTCCCCGCCCTCTCACTCTCTCTCTACCTCTCTCACCCCCCTCTCTCTATCCCTCCCTCTGCTTCCCCCTCTCTCTCTGTCTCTCTCTCAGCGAAGCGTTGGCTCAGATTCCAGTCAGCTTCAGATGGAGGAGAACCAGATTTATGCCTCAGCAGATGAAGGTATTTCTATATTTCTGTTCCTTTTCTTTCACTAGCTGTCACAGATTGTTCAATGGCAAAGCCAGTGGAGCAGGAACTCCTCACGGTTGTTGTTTTAAATTGATGTTGTATTTATTAGCTTGTTTATGTGGACTGGCTTTGCCAAAACTGCAAGTTGTTGCAATGACCAAAGACGTTCTGTCCAGCCTCACAGTTCTTGGTGACGGTCCAGAAGACTGACGCAGCGACGCGCTGCGGCCTGAAGGGGTCATATTGGCTGCAGGTGGGGCGAGAGGCGCTGCTGCTGAGGGAAACTCAGAAGAAGAACATCGTTAGAGAATGGTCGTACGAACTGCTGAGACGTTATGGAAAAGATAAGGTGAGGCTTCCAATATCATTAACATTGGCCGCCTACCATTCATCTGCTCATTGGGTTTGGAACTATCGGAATGTTGACTGGGGTGTTGATTTGGATCGCTGTTCATTCTTAGCCAGAATGCTGGTGTCACTTACATGCGCTTTGTGCCTCTTTCCTGCCAGCTGGCCTTCACCATTGAAGCAGGTCGCCGCTGTGATTCTGGTCCTGGGACATTTACCTTTGAGACGCCGCAGGCTGAGAAGATATTCTCCTCGATTCGGGCTACCATCAATCAAAAGAGTTCAACCACTAGTTTAGGCAACCCAAACCAAGAAGGTGAAAATGTCCTAGCAGCAAAAATACAGGCTCATTCCCCTCTCCCCAAAATACCAGATGCGACCGGCATTGCCGCCATTCTGGAGAACAAGCTGAGGATAAAGGGGAAGGCATCTGCTGCTTCACAAGAGAGTGCACAAGAAGATCTGGCTGGTTCGTCGGAGAGTGTGTCAGTGCAGCCGGCTCCCATCACCCTCATGCCTCTTCCGCTGGTCCCCACGTACGGCAGCCGCAGTGGAGGTGGTCTTGGCGGCCAATCAGAAGCCGTGTATGCGGATCCAGCCGATTGCATCCAATCGGTAACAAAGGCCAAACCGAGCGTGGCTGTGTATGTCGATCCTGCCGGTGTTCTCCCGCTCAAACCCCCCGGCACTCCCTGTACGGACACCTTGGCTCCACCTCCCTCTGATCCCTCAGACCACCCCGATCCAGTTTACTCTGAAGTCTACGACAAAATCAGCCCGGTCCAGATTGAACGGACTGAAATTCAGAGAAATGCAAAAATTGAATGCGTTGCATCTGATGAACCCATTTATAGTGAGCCCATGGCCAAGATAGATGAAGTTTATCTGCAAAAGGAAAGCAAAGCAGACCCATTTGCCCATCTTTATGCACACGTCTGCAGAAGAACACCAGCATCTTCGTCCTCAAACACTTTGCCTACCAGCTCTTCCTCCTCTACCTCGCTTTCTACCAGTATGCCCACTGACCCGTCTCTTGATGATGTCATCTACGAAAACCTGGGCATTATTTAAGTTCACACTTGTTTGTACAGTGACCGCTTGAGACTGGGAGTTCATTGAGGAACTCTAGGACTTATATCTGTATACTAACTAGTATTCTTCTTCAAGAGACACCAAACACCTCATGCAGGCTTTCTAACACACGTCTAAGCATCGCGCTGTAATAACATTACTGGACTCATGGTGGACAGCTGGGTGTGTTATGGAAGTACAGCATTCAGCCTCAAGCTTGTCTAATTATGGGATTTTTAACGTTGTATTCATCAGCCCCTATTGACACTTACTCATTCACCGCACAACATCATTGCAGCTGAGGCCACCCTCACATTAATACTGATACTTCATCGTCAATACTTGATGTGTAAAATCCGTTCCCCTTTCAAAGGAATATAGCAACATCTAAAACACATTTTCAAAAGGCAATTCACTTAATTGCAATATGTATGGGCAGTGATAGATAATGGTATTCTTGTTATGCTATGAAATGAACAATACATTAAATGTGTATGTGATCATGGTTGTGATGTTATGATTAAAATGTCTTCAGCGCTCTAGGACCAGTAAAGATGGAATTAGTATTTTTCACAGTGTTGAGAGTTGTCAAGTCTCTCCTTCTTTTCTTCCAGAGCGACATCATTTGTTAACGTAATGTAATGTGTCCTCAATTTGTAATTATGTTTAGGAAAAGATTGTTGTTGTACATTGTTTCCCAGTTCTTAATAAAAACACATTTATATTGTTAAACCTGACTTGCAGCTACTGCAGGAAACTCAGATGAGAAAAAATGTCATTTTAGGGGGTTCCACCATCAGCCCCACCTTCTCGTCCCCACCCTTAGCCCGACCATCAGCCCCACCATCAGCCCCACCTTCTCATCCCCACCATCAGCCCCACCTTCTCGTCACCACCGTCAGCCCCACCATCTCATCCCCACCATCAGCCCCACCTTCTCATCTCGTCCGTCAGCCCCACCTTCTCATCTCGTCCGTCAGCCCCACCTTCTCGTCCCCACAGTCAGCCCCACCTTCTCATCCCCATCGTCAGCCCCACCTTCTCGTCCCAACAGTCAGCCCTACCTTCTCATCGCGTCCGTCAGCCCCACCTTCTCGTCCCCCATCGTCAGCCCCTCCGTCAGCCCCACCTTCTCGTCCCCACAGTCAGCCCCACCTTTTCGTCCCCACCATCAGCCCCACCTTTTTTTTTTATTTAATAGACTTCTTCAAAATGATTTACAAAGCCTTTTAGAAAACCTCAAATCAGTCATTAACACAAACACACGTGTAGCATTTCATTTTATTCATAGATGCAAGCAAGTTTATATCTTTTACATATAAAGAAGCCACCGTCCGCCCATGCTGTTGGCACACATATGTACAACATGGAGAAGTAAGTCGGATAATTAGCATTCACAGTGAGGTACAAAAGTCAAGATTTGATGGTAAAACAGAAGCAACACCCATTTCCAACATTCAAATGTGAACAGTGATGTTCAGTTCCAAGCAGCACACTGACATCATCAGCTTTCAGTTCACATCGGACGAGGACTGAATATGTTCAGGCAGGATAAACGGTAAATGTTAGACGTGTCTTCATTCAGGCCCCACCTGGTAGCCAGAACCCAATTCGACACTTTGGCTCAAAAGAAGTCTGTACCTCTGTTTTGGGCATCATCCCATGTGGAGATCGGATTCCCTGCTGCCTGCGAACAGGCTTTCATTCTTCCCCTTAAAATGTGATTGTGCTGATTTAAACTTTAACTAAACCTGAAATCATCATCATTCGGCCTTGAACACAGATGGGGGCACTGCTGTGTGAGCCGGGCAGAATAAGCTTGTTGCTGGTTCCGTGGTGCTTTACTTGTGAAGTAAGGAAATCTCACTGGGGTCCCTTTTGGATTCAAATGTGGTGAAAGAACAATAAGCTGAGTTTAAAACGTTCAGAGCTGTGTGATTTTTAACCTAGCTGACACGAATGAGGAAGAGGATGAGGAAGAGGTGGGTGCATCATGACGGGTGGCCAAAGCAGTTAGTAGGTTAAACAACAAAGAACGCCGTGATCACATCACTTAGGACCAGCAATCATTGATCCGTACTCTTGTAAGCCAGATGTTTACAGCGTGGATTTCGTCAAAATGCTATAATCTATTGCTCCGGTAGTGAACAACTGAATGAATGGGGGGAAAAAGTCCAAAACAATACAACAAACAGCAGAACAGCGCCAGTGAAATGAACGTCTTTTGTATTATTTTAATCATTGAAAGTATGACCATTGAATGCATAACCATGCCACAAACAACAACTAGATTCATTGTCTTTTATATATATATACCTAGAATAACATTACTGTATATTCATTATCATGAACTTGTTTGTTTTTACCATTGTTATTTCTTCAGATAATTACCAATGCTGCAAGACTATACACAGTTCCCACAATGGGGAGCTCAATGCACTTACACCAAGAATAAGAGAGAGGCAAAGAGAGAGAGGAGAGGGAGGGAGGGAGGAGGGGAGGAGGGGGGAAAGAGAGAGGGGGGGGGGCTCAAAATGTTCAATAAGTGCACAAAAAACTTTATCATTTATCTGAAGTTAAAAACACTGACAAACATTCATTGTCAGGCAATGAAATTATAGAATACTGTTACTGGAAAACTAGACCCTTAAAAATACTGACTGTATGCAGCCAAGACGCAGCTGCACGAGAGACGAGTCTGGCGGAGTCTCCCTTCACACCAAGTGTGCATTCATTTGTTTTTGTCCAATTCAGCTGCATTTACGACACACAAAGAACCGGTGTGAGCTGTGCTTTACCAACACCATGCAGGAATAAAGGGCATTCCACAGGGTGGACACCCGGCCACTGGCTGTGTTATTGCGTGTTTTGTTGCCTGGCTTTGTGCGTCCGTTTAGTGTCAATAAGTGACACCTCGGGTTCAGCTTGACGAACACCGACTGAAAGGTAGTTTGACGAGGACGTGTCCGCTGACATTTGTGAACACTGGCTTCCGTCCTTTTGGGGTTCAATACAAAAAATATATATATATTATTATCTGAGTCTGAGATGCCATCTTGTGGCCAATTTAGCGTCGTGAAGGACTCCACTGGCTGTTTAATCTTTTTTTATTGCAAATAAGTATTGTTTTCGTTAGGGTTAGGGTTGGTGGTTAGGGAAGTATCAGCTTTAGTTTTTGAAATGTTCATGCCACGTCTAAAGTAGCCAACACAACCACTAGCAGGAGAAAATCATCACGCAGTGAATCGGACCTCATACTGGATGCTATTGCTTTATGTAATAGTTTTCCATTTCTATTTGTGGACCAGCGTTGTGTTGTAAATACTTTCATGTGTGTAAAAGCAGCTCTCTGAGGGAGTAGAGGCTCGACCACCTCCTCCAGACTCTGTAACCGATAGGAAACATTCTCCCCGGCTGCTCACGTCGTCTGTTTCACATATATGTAGATCTTTTTACAGAGTTAATGTAGGTACAGTTCTCAATACTGACCGCAAGAACAAAAAAAAAACACATTTACTTTTTTTTAATTAAATGATTTCACATTTAAAAAGTCTCAAAGATTAAAAGTTGATAATAAAATGGTGAAATGTCAAAGGTGAAAAGTAAAAGAGCAATGAATTTCGGCTCAGAGTGATGGCGGTGGTGGAGAGTGTGTGTGTGTGTGTGTGTGTGCTGGTAGTCTCATAAAATCAAACCCTTCAATAACGAATGTCTTCAACACTAAAACCCTCATCATCATCGTTCCGAAGACGAGCTGAATTCCCCCTCAGCATCTCTACTGGCAGATAGAGAATCCTCCATTCCAGAACATTCCATACAGCCCTCGGATCCGAATGGTGGCCCAACGAACCCTCAAGGAAACACTGCTATACTCCCTCCGTTTATTTCTCCAAATGTATTTAAATGAGAAGTGCCGCATGAAAGAAACCTCGTTTGAGTTTAAAGTCGTTGCCACTCACAGATCTGACTCTGAAAGAGGTAGCGGCATATCAAGTTATCAAGTTGATATCACATCAAGTTTAGGTTTGAACTGGAATCAGGAATCAATTCAGAATCATGGTGATGTTTCAGCTGGTCGTTTTTGAATGTTCGGCTGATACAAAACAAATAGATCACGTAGGATCGTTTATACTGGAGTCACTGGAGCTTCGTCTCCTATTTCCTCACTCCCTCATTCCCTCACCTTCTACGGAGTCAGTACTTTAAATCTCAGGTTACAGCACTCAGATGATGCAAAACACCAAAACATCGCCCAGACTTCTTTCCAAATTCAACCTAATAAATGGATGTTTATTTTGATCACATTAGTGGGAGGGAGCATTATGGCCATTGAGGTAAAATATTTGTAATACCTATCAAGCGTGGAGAGTACTGTATGCTAAAAGGAGATATTCTCTGAAAATAAAGTGGTACATATACAGAAAAAATAAATGTTACTATGAAAAATATTGTTTAAGTGCAAAATAATGATGAAGATAGTGATGATTTTTCTATAAAAGAGCCAAAATTGCTTTACTTTGCAAAGGGATGGATGGATGCCATCAGAAATCCATCCATCCGTCCATCTCTCCATCCATTCATCTGTCAATCTGTCCATCCATCCATCCGTTCCGTCACACACCTTTGTGTAGGCAAACATGAAACCTTTTGTCTGTGCTTTCCTGTAACCTTTACAACAGCATCTACTCAAGATGCATGTGTCACATTTAGTTTTTCCTAGATTTGCCACTTTGAATCTCAAAGAATACCCTTTTAGTCTCATAAATGTACTCTTTTCTCAGACCACTCCCTCGTACCATTAATTGTTATCGAAAGAATCGAAGCTCTCAGGAATGTTTACGTGTGTTTGTGCGTATTTGTATGTGTGCGGAACCACTGAAACACACAATGAATTGAACATTTGAAAGTGACATCACCTTACCGCTGTCCCGTTTGAAAAAAGCAAGGCTAACAATGTACATAATTATTACTGGTACAAAACGTGGCAAGATTTTGAAAAGTGAGAAAGAAAACATTATTTTTTTCAAGCGGATGAGAACATGCCTCTAGTCAAAAGACGTAATACTGTTAACGTGTGCTGTTTCTGAGGACAGTTCTTGCTGGAACTAGAGGGAGAAGACAACGCCCCGTTTCAGTAGGTGTTTAAATGGCCTCCCGGTGGCCTTGTGGGGGCTTTTCATCTGAAAGTTCACAACTAATGAAACTGGGCTCAGGATGAGCAGGTCACATAGAGAAACAGGATGGATGGGGCTGCAGGGAAGATGAGTAAAAAAAGAGAAGGGCAGGAAAGGAAAACGTATCAAAGCTACCCATCGGTACCTGGCAGGTACACAGTTCCTCGGGGATCACATTTCTCTGCATTTCCAGTCATCATAATGTGGCGAAACGACACGACAGAGCATGACAACAACATACAACACTGCCTGCAAAACACCGACCATTCAGCCACATGTATGTGTGTGTGCGTGGGTGCCTGTGTGGGTGAGTCTGTATGTTCTGCGCGTGTCAGCAGACGTTGGAGCTATCGGGCGCCACGGTGGCGTCGCCCGGTTGTACGGCCACCGCGTGGTAGACGCACAGCTCGACCTGGTGTCTGCTGTAGATTGTTGACTTTAGTGTGCCATGCTAACAGCTCAACGCTCCGTTGGTCACCACGGTGACCTGTTTTGGCTAAATATTAGATTTTTTTTTTCCCCTCTGGAAAAAGCATAGTTGGGCCAAACTAACTACACGCTTAAGACCGAAAACAACTGAATTAAAGTTTAAAAAAATCTTTGGGTTCTTCTGGTCATTCTTTTTTCTTTGTGTAATATATTGTATATTTATTGTGCCATATCATACACTGACTGTACATTAGTTCACCAATTTCTTTAGCACCTCTTGCCAGTCTCAGTTGATTGTTCTGCACTTTCACACACCGCAGAGCTACTTTGGGGAGTCGTGGGTAGAACCTAAGAAGGGAGAGGCAAGGCCTCGTAAGCTTCAGGACTTCAGAGCCAAATATCACAACGTTTTTAAAGTAAATTTAGGAAGGTTTCCCTTTTTGGAGCAATTTGAAGAGGACGATCACAAAACGTTGGTGCTTGTAATCGGTGGCGCCATCTGCCAGGACGCGTTGGTCTCTGCTCGTTTTCACGTTTACTGTAAAGATGTCACTTGACACGTCACGTGACGCAAACCAACAGCGTGGGATGCTAAAGTGTTAGCACAGATCACCTAAGCCAAAGATCTACCGCATGCTTTTTTTGTGTGTTTTCATCCTACATCAACAAATTATTCCCGCCTAATAATGTCCCAATTAGTGTCTCTGAACGCATGTTTGTGTCGTCGTTTTGTCTTTGTTTGTACCGTATGTTTCCACTATCCTAAGGCTTTTGTCAGCCCACGTGCGTGTGTGCGTGTGTGTGTGTGTGTGTGAGACGGGTTTGTGTGTGTGTGCGTTGTTCCTCTCGCGGCTGTCTGTCTATGTGTAGGCATTGAGACGTTCTTTGGAGCGTGTGGAGTGGATGTCATGCAGCTCCTGCTCCTCCTTGGATTTGATGTCCTCATACTTCTGCAAACGGCTGGCGTCCTTTAGATAGCCCCAGTTGGCAGCCAGAGCCATCAGGAAATGGACCTGCAGGAGAAGGGAGGAAAAGCCACGGTTGAACCAAGTACAAACGAAATCAAACCTCCAGTTGGTTTTTTTGTGCATACTGACACCTTTACTGGTACGTAAATGGGATCCAGCGTGTGAGACAGGTTTTGATCAGCTCACCGGAAACCCACGTCAGATGTCTATTTCCATCTCATCTGACACACCTGCTGCGTTTCAGTTTTAGAGCATCTCAAACATCCTCTTTATTGTTTACTTGACTGTTAATAATGCCTTCACATGGAGGCAAGATCAAGTTCTTCAAATGACGTGGCATTCAGCCTTGTATCAGGAGCAAATCAAATGACAAAACACGTCATTTCCAGGTCCCAGTAGGGGGCGCTATGACTATTAGTCAACATTGGTGTTTGAAGAGCCTCAGAAATGGAACTTAACTTTGACTCTGTGCCCCGCCACGACAAGCCACATTCCATAGAAATGCAAACGCAAAAAATATTTTCACTGCAAAGTTGTTTTCCCTTCGAGGGACACAATTTGACCTGATTTCACCTGAAGGAGGAGTTTGTTAAAGTTCATAAAGATTAAGAATCCCACAGTCTCTGCTTGGGTCCTCATTAAAGCACCATTGCACGTGTGTGGAGGGCTGACAGCTCGGCGCGGCGCCGCACTTCCAAGACCATCAGACGTCGCCTGCGAGAGTTTCCGGCCTTCCAGGTCATTTTAAAGAGGCTTAAGTCTTGAACGATACGCGTTGCTTCTGTTATTAAAGTGCATTTCAATGACAACATGTGACCGGAATCTTCTGTTTGGTCTCTCTTAGTCTGTGACTGTGCAGCCATTAACATACATGTCCTTTGGCGTGTACAGTGGAACCTATGCACTTCACTTCCCAGTGTGAAAACCTAGGATAATTATGCAATGGTATATTAGTATTTAGGGTTATTGTGGAACACACATTTTGCACATGTTTATATGGTGTCACTAAGTAAAGTGATTTAAAATAAATGATCATTAAAAACCCTCTGTTAGGTGAGGTATCAGGGAGAAAGACAACATTCATTTCTATATGTTACCGCTATTCATTTTTGTCTCCAAATTTAGATAAAGGTTAAACATGTTTTTTTTAATCATATTCAGAGACATCAAGTAAGCATCTTGTTTTTGTGCTCAAAGACAAATTACAGTAATTACAACAATAAGAATAGTAAACATTGGAAGAACAATATTTGGTTGGGATTCCGGCCCTAACGATGTTAGCGGTTTTCATTACAGTGGGGAGAGAAATGATGTCTACAAATGCTTTGTGGGTTAAGACGGTGTAAATGAGAGTTATGGCCCTCACCATGGCGATGACAGCCGCTCCTGCTCCTGCCAGTGTGCACACGAATAGATGGAAGGTTAAGTCCAGCTGCAACACACAAGTTATTTGTGATTGGAGTTTAGACGTCTCATTTTTTTGATCCTAAATGGTATTTGAATGTATCGGTCTTTCCCTTCAAATGTCCTCTTACCTCATTGGATTCACACATCTTGACGAACTTCTCGGAACCAGTACACAACTTCCTCTCCTCAGAGATGGTCACCGCTCCTGATGGACAAAGATGTTAGGGTGTTAAACATTGTTGTTTTGCAAGAGAGCGGATGAATGAAGAACTCTTGAACATTATTTTCCTGCAGCTCTGGTTAAGTAAATGTATTATTTAATAAAATGGACTGACGTGTATTCTTCAATGGAGTTGCATTGTTGGTCAGTGGACCTGTACAGTGTGACCACAGTGGGCTGCTGGAATATAATCCTAGTGTCGTGAAAACGATCAGTGTTGAAACCAATCCTTCCTCAACCAACTATTTCATCCAATGAAAGTCAGAATTATAGACAAATGTTGATCAAGTACAATTATTTTGCTAACAGGAGGCCAATTGGCAGTTAAAACCTTTGGACAGCAGAGGACAGTGCCGCAGGACAACACTAATTCTGTGTCTTCTGGTACTATGTGGACACTGGATATGGCGGACAGAGCTGTAACTGGGTCATGTCAAATTCTGTAGAATCATTACAATATGTTGTTAAAATACAAAATGTATTGATGACATGATTAAAGGTGTGTACAAGAAGGGAACATTCACTTCTTACTGAGTGCTTTACTATGTTGTCTGTGCCATAAACCGCTGTGTTTACTTAATTGCAAAGAAAGTGCAAATCTCTGCATATTTTATTAAGACTGAAAGAAGCATCAGGGCCCGAGCACCAACAGAGTTAAAGCGCAGGACCTACTGAAGAAGTTGGAAGGGAGGACCTACTTTTCCTCTAATATTCATTATCGGTGCTCGAGCTCCCACCTCGGTCGTCGCTGACCAATTCAAATAGCTGGTATTATTATCATTAGGGCCAAACATCGGGCTCCGGAGGCCCCATTGAATCTGGTATGTTTATTAGGAGCTGAGGGGTGAAATGCCTCCATTGTGGCTTTTCATTGAACTGTGTCGCTGTGTCATAGCCGCATGTTTGTATAATTTACCACTAAACACAAAGCTGTTTTTGGTTATAAATTATTATAATTATTTTCTGCTTTTTTGTGGCAAGGGGCATCGATAGCCCACCTGCACTTCTTCAGGGAAGCAGCCCTCGCTTAGACCTTCATGTATGAATTGTAGGCAGATGTATCGAATGTATGCTGCTCTAAATCCAACAGCAAGCCCGTCATTTATTCATGGATGATTTTTTATTCCCAGCATGGTCAATACCCATTCCTCTGTCAAATTTACTGTGGATCGTTACTGGTTTGCAGCTTGTTGATATCTCATTGCGTTTTGGCGACATTATCCAATTAATCGTGAAAGTGCTGGTTAGTTTGTGGCTCCATTGTGGCTCTTTGAACACTGTGAGTATTCCACTGGTAATTTGGTCAAACAGAGGTTTGTACATGGGGTTTGTAAGCAAGTTGCCTGCATTTGGTGGAAGGAAAAATGGGTTCTGTCAGTGATTTGGTATGACAGGGTTCTGATAACCTGTATTTCTTCACTGGCACTCAAAACAACTTCCCTGTAGAGAAAATTCATTTGCTTCTTTCAAGATGTTTGGCATTTGGTTGCGACCTCAATGGCATCATCCACCAAAGATTTGTGTGGAACACCACTGCTTCTGAGGCGAGTCATCATCCATTTCAGAGATGGCACCCACCAAACTGACGCAGATCCAGGCACAGGTTGGCCCCCTCCGTCAGGCTGGTGTTCTGACACATGGACCAAACGTTGAAGTACATGAAGACCGGCAGGCTGGCAAATGCTGTCACTCCGAGCCACACAAGGAAGAACAGGTAGGCCAGGAACATCAACTGCAAACACAGAGCAAAGATACGGCGAGTGACAGATGAGATGGGGTTTGTGTCAGTGATGAGAGACCAATAAGAGACAGAAAGAGCCCCCGCTGACGGCCCGGAGTAAACGGGGGACACGCAACCCGAACTGCCACCGAACGTTGTTGTCTAGATGTCGCAGCCCCCTCCTCGCCTCTCGTTATCACTTCTTCCACTGTTTGGCACTGCGGTCGCAGCACAGTGCATTTAGAGGACGCCAGGTTTGCTGGCTAACGATCGCCTGCTAACTGTCTTCATGCCAATGTGACACCGGTTGCAGCAAACGAGACATGTGACAGGGAGCTGAAGGCCAGCAGGAGGATAACGCCGGGGGGGGGGGAGCAGATGGCCGGTACGGAGGCATACGGGGCTGCAGTTTCTGCTTGATCAATTTGAGTTACTGCAGCAGCCACAGTCAGTCGGCTCCCGCTGTCCTCCCAAAGGAAGAGAGGCGCATGAGCCAGGGTGTCGTTTTTGTCTCATACTGTCTGATGAACAGTAAATCCATCCAATGCATTACTACCCTTTGCCTATTGCCCAAGCTGCTGTGGCTGGAAGTGGGTTTCTTCTCTCAGCCATTAGAGCAGTTGATGGACTTTAAGTTACTCTTAAATACTACGTTCCATTGCTGTTGCTGTATTATTATTATGGTGAGCATTATGTTTGCACATAATGTCAGGGAACACGATATCTCAGGGAACACCTTGAGGGAATTCCTGCACATTTGGCAAAAAGCTCCACTTGACCCTACGGGTGAAATGATTGACCCGCAACTAAAGGTCGAAATCCCCGTAGAGGTTCGTTTCCAATCAATAATATTACGGCACGTGTCCAGGTCTCCCCTACATGTGGCAAGGATTGACAAAGGAAAAATATAATTTTATTAGTCTAATCCTTTAATACACATTACTCCCAACTACCCCCAAAAACATCTTTATCTGGAAGTGTAACAGAGTGATGAGAGATGTTCCTTACGAATGCGGTGAGGCAGCGTCCGCAGGCGGAGATCTTGAACTCCCCGTACAGATCCCTGATGGCTCCGGTGGTGAAGAAACCCTCCACCAGCAACAGCACGCCCAACACAAAGAATCCAGCCGCCAGGCCGTAGATGATGTACTTCAGGATGTCGATGCTGTTGAGGGCGCACACACGCGGACACGCACACGCGCGGCGTGTTTAGGTCATGCTAGATTGCATCTTGGAATGTCATTCGCATGCAAAAGACGGGGTAATATTTAAAGATGGAGGATGAGTCCGGGGTCTGGGTTGGTTATTTTTTGGGATTTTGTTTTTACATTGCGTGGAAAAACATGTATGTTCACTTACATTTACATTTGTGTTACTATTTCTTTCTGTTTATAACAATTATGGCGAACAAAGACGCTCCACTTGTAAATGTGTCCTTTCTAAAGCATGAATCTACAGAATCATGTTCCATTCTGTGTTTCTACTGCTGACAAATTAAGTCTGATTCTCTCGACATGTTTTGATTCACATCGACTGCTGAAAGGCAAGGCAAGGCAATTTTATTTGTATAGCGCTTTTCATACAGGAGGCAGACTCAAAGTGCTTCACATCATAACATTTCATACAATAAAGTGAAATAAAATGCAGGAATTAAAAGACAATTAAAAACAGCAAATAAAATTATAAATTAAAATCTTATTTAAATTGTTTAATTAAAGGCAGAGGTTAAAGTGCAATGTAGGTAAAATTCAGCAGAAGGCGAAGCTGAAAATAAAAGTTTTCAGTCTTGTTTTAAACGTGGTCAGAGTTGGGGCTTAAAGTCTTAAATCTTCAGGAAGTTTATTCCAGCTGTTTGTTGCGTAGTAACTAAATGATGCTTTCCCATGATTTGTATTTACTCTGGGAATCACTAACAGATTGGTGTCAGAAGATCTTAGTGATCTTGAAGGCTTATGTAGTGGAAGCATATCAGTGATATACTTAAACCATGTAGTGATTTATATGTGAGCAGTAGGATTTTGAAATGAATTCTCTGACATACTGGGAGCCAATGAAAGGATTTAAGACTTGGTGTAATGTGCTCACATTTTTTGGTCTTTGTTGGAACTCTAGCAGCAGCGTTCTGAACAAGCTGGAGCTGCCTGACAGTTTTTTTTGGAAGACCTGCAAGGAGACCATTACAATAGTCTAGCCTACTAGTTATAAAGGCATGTACAAGTGTTTCTAAGTCTTGAGCTGACATGAGCCCTGTAGTCGTGCTACATTTTTGAGGTGGTGGTAGGCCGATTTTGTTACTGATTTGATGGGACTCTCTAAAGGACAGTTTAACGTGAGTTTAATAGAAAGCATCAATGGTCCTACAAAAAAGTCAGGGACGGACAAAAAAACGACTACATCAGCAGTAAAGTACATAGAAGATAAGAGATTGACTTTTGAGTGTGACGGGTCTGTGCCGTGATGAGACATGTTTGGCATGACAGAGGGACGTCATGTAATTGTGCAAATCATCGTCGTGTCCCGGTGCTGAAACATGGAAACCCCAAAGTAAAATCTGTTGATCCCCCGCCAAAATAAAGGTGCAAAATGAGTCACTTACATGGTGAACACGTCCAGTGTTTCTCCTGGTGCTCGGACGACTTCAAAGTAGTTTTGTAGGATGGCGACGGTCCCGCTCAGCGCCTCGTGGCCACAGCCACAGAACAAGGCCACGCCCATGTAGAGCAGAACGGTGGCAATGAGGGAGGCCCAGGGCAGACTGCCCACGCATCGCTCACAGCACTCCTTACAGCCTTAACAGCCACAGAGAGAGACAGGGATGTAAGGTTGACAACCGTCCTACACCGGTCAATAAGAAAAACAACTCGAATGTGATGATGAACTCGTGAGGATCCAGAGAGCCGAGGACGGATCCACACACGGTGATGTGAGGTGAGCGCAAGACAACAAGATCAACAAGGTACAAAAGTCACACAGCGTTTAACCAAATATAATCAAATGAATCAGGTCTGCTCATTTATCAGCCTTCATCTCCTCTATGAAGAATAGAAAACACACAAAGATTGTACACATTCACACAAAGGCCCCGCTGACACAATGTGAAGACACGTTTTAATATGACTTTAATCTCCATACACATTCAAAAACATCTCCCATCAAATGAATGGTTTAAATTTAAAAAGAAAACTACCCGAATAGACCAGAGCAGCCACATCATTTCTGTAATGTGATGTTGACGCAGGGAGCGCCACTAAGAAATTCCATTTACTTCCACTGTGTAGAGGGGAGACAAAACATCAAAATCTTGTGAGGTCACTCACATAAAACTAAAATCTAAATGTTGCTCCTGAATGTTTGTTCCAACTGTATTTACAACATGCGTGCTCGCTGGACACCGCAGGGTCCTGCTGTGGTTTTGATCATTTTACTTGATGGTCGTCTTTGTTGCAAGTTCTCCTTAAAAAAGTGGATGCTGTAATGTTACGTAACGACGCCATCAGGAGGCAGGAGATAACACCAAAGTTTTCGTCTTGTGTTCAATGCAATTACAGAAGACGTGTAAGAAATAATTTGATTCCATGAGGATTGTTGCATCTCACTCACTGGTCTGCCTTGCAATGTGCATTTAAAAGGGAGAATTAAACGGAGCGGTGAGGACACTTTAGGGCTTTAATCAAGTGACCGCCACCACATGTGACTGGTGTGAGACTGTGGGCGTCTCTTCAGCCACAGATCCACTCACAGCTGCTGGATACGGCCTCCTAAAAGCACCTCAAGTCTACTCACATCTATTCAAAGTCTTTCAGAGCAGAAATGCTGCGGTCAATGTATTTCCACAAGGAGTTGTGATCTCCTGATTTAGTGCCGTTCCCTCTTATGATCTCACAGAATATGACCCCCCCCCACTTGAGCTCGGTGTTGAAATGACATTCCGCTTAAGGCGGGATTACCCTGCCTTCACGTCCCCTGCTTTCTTCATACGTCTCCACGGCGGACATGTCCGTTTGAAGACGCACGCGCTCTCCGCAGTGAGTCCACAGGCCGACTGGCTGCAGCTCCACGGCGTGTGGACCAGCGATCCCACAGACAACCGCACAAGCAACGCTCTCCCGCCCCCCCCCCCCATCTCTTCCTGTTGTGTGTGAGTCATCCTGCTGCTCAGGTTTAATGGAGCAGCCGTGTTGCCATGCCAACAGGGGTGTGGCGGGAGCTTGCTGACCCCACTTTGCCTGTAGCATTGTCATGGCCACAGTGCGGCTCTGCGAACGTTACAGTCAGTCTGATGCACATTCTCTCACACACACACACACACACACACACACACACACACACACACACACACACAGACGCAGCAGTGAACTCACAGAAAGTCATTTCCATAAAGACCAAGTCAGCCTTCAGCTTCACGATTGTCTCCGTTTAGGGAAAATGTCCAATCGTCCAATTTGGACGTGTCTCTATGAGGCGACTACGGAGGATCAAAGAGGAACATTTCACACCATTTGGCACCGTTTTAGGATTCACGGGCCTCATTGTTCGTGAAATGGGCCTTTTAACGTGCTTTCATGAGAACGTGTGACGGTTCTTTGGAGCGAGGGCTTCGCGTGTTTGTGTCTTGTGTGTCCATTGCTGCATAGACATTGTGCGTTTGGGTGTGTGTTTGTGTTTGAGTGTCCTGAATACATTCATGTTTTAATCCCCACCATGTTCCCGCATGGGGGCTCCGCACCCCGGATAGGCGCCGTGACCCGCTGAAGTGGGGGCGGGGGGTCTGTGGAGGTTTTCTTTGTTTAGAGGGAATGGTTCCAGATGCACAATAATCCATTCGCTGCCCTGTTATTCAAAAACACATGAATGTATCTGCTACATTTAGAGGGGAAACCAACATCATTCTGATATAATGTAATGTGTTGTATCCATTATATCCCTTTCTTTGTCTTTATACAGGCTGTTGTTTACTGCAGCTTTGTGTTATGGTTCATTCATTGCTTTATTAATTCATTTATATTATACATCGATGAAATCTTTTTTAATGTTAAATATTGGGAATGTCATTGCGTACGTTTCTGGTTGTTTCTGTGTGGATGACAATTAAATATAATTTATGGAAACCAAAGTCCGTTGGTCCTCCCAACACGTTGATCCTGCGCTAGAATTTTCCTTTTCACTCGATGTATCCCCACCGCTAGGGCTTGATTCATATCCACATATGTCCGACCTTTTCTTTCTGATCATCCAACGAGTCTCCTCCTGGTCGCCTCCACGACCAGTTTGAGCAACCTCGGATCCCGTTGTTGGTGTTGCATGTTTAACGCACACAGTTGCCTCGCTAGCTGCTCACACCCAACGTGCTACATGAAGACTATGTGCTCTTTAGGGAAACAATTTGTGCAATGCTGTCGGGCCTGATTGTGTGTGTGTGTGTGTGTGTGTGTGTGCGTGTCTTATCTCTGAGAGAGGATTACTGAGGTATCTCTGTGTCTTTCTTTCTGACATACCTGGCACACGCACACCCACACGCTCACATACAGCAAAGACACACACATTCAACTTGATGTTCAAAGGCCTGTTCTAACACAACATGACAAGTCCGGCCTCCCTGCATTCTTTCCACTGAGCTTCAGTGGGGCAAAATGGGGCGGAACCAAGAATATATGATTACCTTTAAAAATCAAATAATGCTGTTCGGTTCAAGTCGGAAGCAGATTTGGAGAAGGTCCTTTTGTGACACACACACGCACACACACACACACGCACACAGGGTTGTGCTGGCATGGACTAATCCCTCCCTGCCTCCTCATCCATCACTCACTCACAGCCACCAGTGTTCTTATGTGATGACATAAAGACAGATGCTACTGTTACCTGTATTATTCATAGATGCTGTATTCATCAATAATAAATACACAAACAGCTGTTGCTGTGGTTGAAGTAGCCAAGGAACCAGCTGATCATTTGAAAAGGTAAAATATATTTCACATGGAGCCGGAATAAAACAACAACAACAACCATCTCAAATCTCAAAATAAAATTATTTCTAAATACACCGACCGTGACATTAGATATTAGTTTATACATCATGTGTTGTTGCTGGATGCTTTTCACCTGCATTCACAGTAGCTTGAGATCAGACTGTGTTGAGTGTTCAGTGTTCAGCTGCCTCTGAAATCACTGTATGAGAAGAACAAGTGGAAAGCGAGCATCCTCCTTCATCCCCGAGTCACTTGATGCAGCTATGTATTTTCTGTCAACAAGGGCTGTGACGTCTGCAGGACCCGTTTTACAGGAGCAGAGGCCACGGAGACACAAAGGGGGGGGGGGAGGGGGGGGGGAGCCCCCGGGACGCCACAGTAATCCCGTTTCAACAGGAGCAGCAATCAGCTGATGTTTAGAGAGGACACTCACAGGGAATGTTTGCCACAGTTATCAGTTATGAAAACACAAACATTTTCTTATAGGTGGTAAATTATTAATATTATTAAATTACAGAAGAAGTTAAAACTAAAATCAGATGCATTGTAGAATATTAAAGGAATGCGGGGCTCAAATTCAGAGGCTAACACCATTTTAATTCATCGTATGTTCTTACTGTTAAAATTAAAATCCCCACAAAAATAGTTTTTGGAGAATTGGCGCCAACCCTCTTTAATACAAATGGTAAAGAGGTGGATTGTGGTGATGTTTCCATCCACAGAATAACCACCTGAAACATTCGAGCTCCTAATGTGTCCCAAATCCACACCTTTATGTAGCCGAGCTTTCTCTCTCTCTGTGCATGAAAAGATGAAAATATCTAAAAAAAAACTCCACCCCCGGCAACAACTCTACACCCACATGTATTTGATCCTTTAGCCGTGATGATGAAAATCTGGTGGCGGCGCGAGAGGGTTTTGTTTTTCCCATCGGGACGAAGAACAGCCCTGAAAAACTTCACATCCATCTGCTCGTCACATTTTGAGATTCTTATTCAGAGAGATGACGATCTGAATACCAAGAGCGTGTCCAAGATGTGCGCAGAACATTTCACAGCAATCTCCCCGATATATTTTGATTTGGGTTATGTGCGTTAAATACATTTCATGACGGTCATTCCCAGAAACTGATGATGTCTTAATCAAGGAGTCGGTTGGACCAACGGAGTGATGATGATGGTTTTTGATGATTACACCCGCTATTGGCCATAATACAGCGCAGTTAGCCAGCGGCTCGTAGTGTCTGAAAGCCGTTCGGCCGCCGTCAGGCCGCTTGTACCGTTGGATGAGCTCGCGTTTTGGAAGGCAACAGAGTTGACTGCAGAGAGATGCAGCAGCTCAGACCTCCTCTGCTTCTTCCTGTCTCCTGCGCCCGTCACCTCTCACACCATCCGGGGGCCCGCAAGTCAATTTGTATTGACCGAGTCCTCATTCCATTAAGTTCCTTTCCATTAGTGGTCATGATAATGAAATGGATACGAGGCAAATACACAAAGTCCACTTTCAGTAGCATGACTGCAACCACCAATAGGTGAGTACACCACTCAGCTCCACCGCAGTCTGTGGAACTCACGTCTGTGGAATACCACATCACAGGTAACAGACAGTGTATCAATTCATTTACAACTAACGCAAGATAATCCATTGAATCTATTGGTTATTGCGATCTTGGTCTTAAGACGTGTGGCTGTGCTGTATAATAATCACAAGGCTTTAGAATTCTACATTTGGCACAAAGATTTATCATCATTAATGACAATTTCTGTGTTTAGCCAAGTTCAGTAAAATAGGAAAAGAAACAGTTAATCTTAGATGTCAAAGGTCACAAGGGCGCACATTGATGAACATTAGGGAAGCAAGGCCTTGTGCACAATTTCACACACATTCTAGAATAATGTGTGGATCCCCCAATGAGACATGTGACAATCACGTTCAATCCCATCACATCCAAAATGAAATGCTGAATAATTCCGTACGCCTCCCCATGTCTGATGTCTGTTTGATAGAATCACACAGTGCCCATCTCTGACCCAGCAGATTCCATCACACAGAGAAACACACCTGCATTTTGTCAGATGTCCTCATCCCATTCATCAAACGAAAAGATAAGGAGAGGGGGGGAGGGGAGGGGGGGGGTTAGAAAGCGATGAATGACGCAGATGTGGGAGGGGAACCAGAAAGGACCAACGGAAGGTGAGAAAATTAAGAAAAAAAGAACTCCCATCTTGTTTACGTGAAACATCATGTCTCCACATCAGGCTTTCTGATTGGTTCAAACAGGTTTCCGTCCAGAAAAACATGAATCCTCCAATCACACAACGGGACACAACTCCGACAGCCGTGTTACCATGGATACAGTGTTAATAGACCTGAATAGTGTGATAAATGCCTTTAATTGCTTATTTTGCTTCCGTCCTCAAATACATTTCTGAATTAGTTGAAGCAGCAAACACGATTTCTGAATGAAGGTAAATGAAGAATATGGACACGCCCATTTTTAACGCTGACAGCAAAAACAATTAAATGCAATAAAAATATGAATGTGGGCTCTGAAAATAACACATACAGACGGAGATTGCTTCTGTTTCAACGTGTGTGATTAGAAATTAGTTTTTAAAAAAAGGGGGGAAAGAAAGGGTGGGGGGGGGGGGGGGGGGGCAAAATAGAGGCTTAGAGACAGAAAAAGACAAACGGAGCAAATAAGACAGAGCTGAAAAGTCTCTATGTGAAATAAAGATGAATGAGGATGAAGCCCCATGTATTAAGTGAGACGGCTAGTGATGGAGAGATAAGGAGAAAATGGAGGGGCGGGGGGGAGGGGGGGGGAGGGGGGGGTGACACCGACAGCTGAAAAAAAGGGAGAGCGAGAGAAAAGGAGGGAAAGGCGCTCGGAGCATCGACAACGAAGCCTAACAAAGAGAATCCCGATGCAGCCATCAATCAGCTCTCCCCTGGAAGGTTTTTCCTCACACTCTCGTACCCCCCACCCCCTCCCACCCCCACCCCTTGCCACTCCCACCTACTCCTCCATCCATCCGTCCGTCTGTCCGGACATCCATCCATCCGTCCGTCCATCCATCCATCTGTCCGTCCATCTGTCAGTGCATTCTCCAAAACAACACCAACCCTGCTGGGCCATCTCCCCCCCCCCCTGCCCCCGTCGACCCAAACAACCTGCTTATTAATGCGTCCCTTCGCAAAAGACAAACATAAAAGAGTTACGTAATGGGCGTTATTGTGGTGAGCAGACGTATAGATGGTTTGCTGCGTTTCCCTTTCGGCTGGGAGATGAAACGATGAGGAAAACGGGTCAACGAAACATACAAAGATTTTTTCTTTCTGCGGGACATGTACGCTGTCTTCTGTCCCTGCCCACTGCACACACAAAGGACCCCCACGGTGTTGAGAGCAACGCATGGACAGGACAAAAGGCACGGCTGATTAATACAAATCAGATGAACAACTACTCTCGCGTCTTACCTTTCTGGCTCTGAGAATCATCCATGTTTTCCTCCATCGTGTCGAGGTACAGTCCCTTTGTCTGTGTGGTGTGAGGCTCGCTCTCCGCTCGGTGTGCGTGTGCGTGTGCGTGTGTGTGTGTGTGTGTGTGGGAGGCAGCGTGTGAGAGGTTTTTTTTTATCTCCCTGTAGATGATGGAGGCTCAGGGAAGTCCCTGTTTCAATTCTCTGCTCTCTCTCTCTCTCTTTGCACTGCCTGTTTGAGCTTTTCTATTTTCCTGTTTCGGTAATTATGGATTAAGCTTTCAATACAGATATTGATTCAAATTAAAAGTTAAATTAATTTTGTATCAAAAAGAGTGAAATCCAACATCCTTTCCTTGAGACCAAGGTATCTCCTTTATACTCAGTAAAATTGGATTTCACTGTGTTTAGAAGAACACTTTCACTTCATAAGGAATCAAGTGTCTCTTTCATTCACTGAATAACGTATTCTGACAAGATCACAGATCCACGGAAGCTTTTATGGAGTAGAAAGAACATCTTGAAAGAACCATTTATATTCCTGCGCTGATCTTTGGGAATAGACTGAAAGCAAACTGCACGAGGAGCGCTGACACAAACAAACCTGTGGTGTGTGGTGGAGTGAGTACGGCAGGTTTACCATCACAAAGGAACCCTTCATGAGCCGTAAAACATACCATCAATCATCCTCCTACGCCAATAAAATATAAATATTAATTAACATTCCACTGATTCCGCAGCCGCGGAACTAAGAACTACAAAAACTACTAGATCTGTTGAACGTGGACGTAAGTAAATGTTTTTTTTTTTGTATTTTGTGATTTAAGGAGGAGCTGGCGCAGGGGGGCTTGATCCCCTCACAAAAAGAAACAGCTCTCAGACCTTCAGGGGGGGCTGTTTTTTAGGGGGATTTATAGTCTCATTAATCACCGTGACCCCCACCCTCCGTCCCCATTACATCCACCCTTCATCTACATGACGCCCTCCTCCATCCCATGACCACCACCCTCCATCCCCATTACATCCACCCTCCATCTACATGACGCCCTCCTTCATCCCATGACCACCACCCTCCATCCCCATTAAATCCACCCTCCATCCACATGACGCCCTCCTTCCTCCCTGGACCACCACCCTCCATCCCCATTAAATCCACCCTCCATCTACATGACGCCCTCCTTCCTCCCTGGACCACCACCCTCCGTCCCCATTACATCCACCCTTCATCTACATGACGCCCTCCTCCATCCCTGGACCACCACTCTTCGTCCCCATTACATCCATCCTCCATCTACATGACGCCCTCCTCCATCCCATGACCACCACCCTCCATCCCCATTACATCCACCCTCCATCTACATGACGCCCTCCTTCATCCCATGACCACCACCCTCCATCCCCATTAAATCCACCCTCCATCCACATGACGCCCTCCTTCATCCCATGACCACCACCCTCCATCCCCATGACCACCACCCTCCATCCCCATTACATCCACCCTCCATCCACATGACGCCCTCCTCCATCCCCATGACCACCACCCTCCATCCCCATTAATCCACCCTCCATCCACATGACGCCCTCCTCCATCCCATGACCACCACCCTCCATCCCCATTACATCCACCCTCCATCTACATGACGCCCTCCTTCATCCCATGACCACCACCCTCCATCCCCATTAAATCCACCCTCCATCCACATGACGCCCTCCTCCATCCCCATGACCACCACCCTCCATCCCCATTAAATCCACCCTCCATCCACATGACGCCCTCCTCCATCCCATGACCACCACCCTCCATCCCCATTACATCCACCCTCCAACTACATGACGCCCTCCTTCATCCCATGAACACCACCCTCCATCCCCATTAAATCCACCCTCCATCTACATTACGCCCTCCCTCATCCCATGACCACCACCCTCCATCCCCATGACCACCACCCTCCATCCCCTTTAAACCCACACTCCATCTACATGACGCCCTCCTTCATCCCATGACCACCACCCTCCATCCCCATGACCACCACCCTCAATCCCCATTACATCCACCCTCCATCTACATGACGCCCTCCTTCACCCCATGACCACCACCCTCCATCCCCATTACATCCACCCTCCATCCACATGACGCCCTCCTTCATCCCATGAACACCACCCTCCATCCCCATTAAATCCACCCTCCATCTACATTACGCCCTCCTTCATCCCATGACCACCACCCTCCATCCCCTTTAAATCCACCCTCCATCTACATGACACCCTCCTTCATCCCATGACCACCACCCTCCATCCCCATGACCACCACCCTCCATCCCCATTACATCCACCCTCCATCCACATGACGCCCTCCTCCATCCCATGACCACCACCCTCAAACCTCATTAAATCCACCCTCCATCCTCATGACGCCCTACTTCATCCCATGACCACCACCCTCCATCCCCATTAAATCAACCCTCCATCTACATGACGCCCTCCTCCATCCCATGACCACCACCCTCCATCCCCATTGTGAAGTCAAACATAGGTATTTCTCATAGAATATGTGTAGAGAAGAGAAGAACGGTACGTAAATTTATATATAGCGAGCACACTTCCAGTATTGTGGATATTCCACGAGAATTTGTATTCTGCGAGTATTTCTTTGAGTAAAGCACTTGGTTTTTGTACCCAGTTGTGGTTCTTCATTTATTTCCTGCGGCTAGTTAGATTTAATACAACAGGAGGAAACCCAGGCAAAAGGTAGTAAAGGGGGTAAAGCTATTTTCCGGGAAAATACGTCATGAGCAATTTAGCGGACGCCCGAGGGAGTAAGAACAGCCGATGGAGGCAAGATCCGGCATTAGTTGGACCGAGTGGTAGAAAGTAATCAACGAACGTGCGGTGCACAATAACGAAATCAAAGCCCTACTCCATCCCATAACCTCCATCCCCATGACGCCCCAGTCCATCCCATGACCACCACCCTCCATCCCCATGACGCCCACCCAGCATCCAGCAATAATTACTGTTATACTAAAAACATTAATAACTCTGGTAAAAATAATAAAAAGCAATCATCATCCCAATACCAGCGTAACATTGTCAGAAAAAATAATGACAATTATAATAAATAATTCCATAATGCAAAATCATCATTATTAATAACACTGACAAAACTGAAAGGCAAAAGAAGACCGAAAAAATAAATAAAAATGCTGTGATATAAAAACACAATATTCAATTCGAAAGACAGAGCTACAATTAATACAAAAACAAGGAGAAGAATTGATAATAAAAATGCTGTCACGGTGTGGGTTATTTCCTGTCTTATTTTGTAGTTTCTGCTTCTTGTCTCCCCGGGTAACTTTACTTCCTGCCTTGTCCTGTCATCCCATGTGATTGTCTGATTGTTTCCACCTGTGTCCAATCACCTGCACCTCCCTAGTGTATTCAAGCCGTGTGTGTCTCCTGTCACTTGTCGCGTCATTGTCGAATGTCCTGGACATTCGACATGTTTCTAGTGTTTCTAGTTTGGATGTTTCTAGTTTCTGCCTGCCTTTTGCCCTGCTTCCTGTGTGCGTTTTTGCCCTTTTGCTTTTACCTTTTTGACTATTAAAGTATTTTTGTTGCTCGAAGTCTGCGTGTGAGTCCTGCCTTCCCCGCATCCCTGACAAATACGTACGAATAAATAGTCCTAACTGTAATTTGAATGTGAATAAGATGGGTGATGTGCACATTTGAAAATACATAATTAATGATGACCAGATGGAGCAGTGTTCTGTTAGTGCTTGTGAAAGAGGTTGTTGAATTTTCCATTGAAATATAACATTTGTGCAGTGTGTGATGTGAGAGGTGTTTTTCTTGGGGAAAGTTACGAGTAGGGCTCCTCTGAGTTGTTGTCATTCGTCTCCAGTGAGCTCAGTGAACAGGATACTGGGAGGAGGCCGCCCACGAAGACCAACAGCAGAGACCTCTCTGCAATTTTTTGTCAATCGGAAAATGAGTTTCAAAAGGCAAATCCCTTTTCAGGTTATTTTTGTATTGCTTATTGCTTTTTCCAGGGGGGACTCAAATGTGACAACGTGGTGGTTAGATTGTCACCAGACGTTGTGCTATCATTAATGTTTTGAAACAAGGATGCCGTTTAATAGACAAATGTTGAATCTAAAAGCGGAACGTCTGTACAAACCTGTCTTAAGATTGGATTGATGGAGAGTAGTTATGCTTCCCTCGGTATATGTGCTGTGACACCGCGGCAGTTAGACAAACTCCTTCTAGACATCACGACTCTGGTTTATTCACATAAGAAAGAGAGTAAAACTAAAACACACAAAAGGCACAATGACTACAAATGAAATGTGTTGTCATTTATGTATTTACTGCTGGTTTATCTACGTAAACCACTGTATTACCATTTACTCCAATTTACTTAATTTATTTGTTTATATGAAGTTTAATAACAGTCATCGCTGAGTATCCATTAACTATAAATATAATCACAAAACTAAACATTGTCACAGAAAGAATGCAAATCAATACGTACCAACAATGCTATCAAAAGGCATAAGATGCAGGCAGACTCATCAGGATTGGAAACTATCGAAAACAATTGTTGTGAGCCACGCTCCTCCTTCTCTTCCTGAATATAAGTCACCTGACAAGTTACAAAGCATTTCGTGTTTCAAAATGAAACGTACTGATTTAACGAACAAAACAGTGGTGGAAAGGTTTCTTCCAGAGTGGCCGGTTTCATTGTTGGTGTCTTATTCGGCAGCAGAATTGAGTGATGGAGTCAGATTCAAGTTCAGACAGTATAATTCAGAATATGTATTCAGAAAGTATTGTTATTTTAACTGTAGCTATTTGGCTCATAGCTGATGTAGGACTAGTGTCCCGGTTTGGGTTCACGTATTGTTTTATTTTGTAGTTTCATGCCTCTGGTGTTCCTGGGTAACTTCACTTCCTGCCTTGTCCTGTCATCCCCTGTGATTGTCTGCCGTGTCATGATTGTTTCCCCCTGTGTCCAATCACCTGCACCTTCTCAATGTATTTAAGCCATGTGTGTCTCTTGTCGCGTCATTGTTGAATGTCGGATGTAGTGTTTGCATGTTCGTGGTTCCTGTGGCGTCTTGTTCCTGGTCCCCGCCAGCATTTTTGCCTCTTGGCATTTTTTGATTTTGAATTTTTGACTATTAAGTCTTTTTGTTTCCAAAAACTCTGCGTCCGGGTCCTGCCTTCCCCCACCACGTGACAACTAGAGAGGCGTTCTACGTATAAGTACAACTCTGTTTACCACTGGGGGGTCCCCATAAGGGAGATGGGTGGGAATGCATGGGGACCACTTGGCCATGTTTGGGCTGAGCATCGTCAGGTAATGAATGACAATGAATCGTGCACTCCGAGGTGAGTAGCTCCACACAAATCCGTCAGGTCGCCTCCTTCGTGAGGTGTTTGTTTTGTCTGGAGACGGTTTTGGTGTTTTCTGTGTTCGTGCGTCTGCTCCAGCCAGCGGCCAGCTGGCTGACATCACACCTGGCGCTGACTTCCCAGTCAGGGGAGGTATTTAGGAGAGGCCCTGACGTCTCGTCCCTGCCAGATTGCTAGTCTCGTTTTGTGAGTGAGACTGCCGCCTCTGATTGGTGATTGCGATTATATGTTAGGCTTTTATTTGTACTTACCAGTATCCTGTTTTTCCCGTTTTTCCGATCTAGGCACCTGGTGGGTTGTGTTTTCCTGTGCACTCACCTGGGCTAATCCACCCAATCACCTGAGGGAGCAACCTCAACTCCCCAGGAAGCAGCTTACAGTGTAACATGGGAAAGAAATGAGAAATTGTTGTTTTCTCTATTAAATAATAAGAAAAAACACTCCAAACTAGAACTTCCAATGGCATGTTTTCCATTTGATGCGCTTCTCATAAAAATAGAAACTTTCTATGACTAAACTACGTAGTTTTAGCGATCACATTGCACTTAAAGCAGGTAAGCTTTTAAAATGGATAATATATGTGATATCATATCCACCAGGGTCTGATGAGATGCTGCAACTTCTACAAAATTGTCAGTTTCCATAAATAAATCCGGCTTCTACATCCTAAACAAAGCCGCCCACAATCTCTGGCATCTCTTCCACTGAGTAAGCTATACTTTCTGTAACCTACGTTGGATTCAGCGTCCAGAAATCAGTTAACACAACATTCCGGTCAAATATAACGTGAGACATCACAAATACAAATTGTTTCCAAGTTCAACTCTTGTGCAATTTTTTTGTAGCATCCTCTCCTTGCGTGAGGAAGCTGCTTGTTCAACAAGGACCAAACCCATTCCACTCCGTCCCCTCAATGTGTACAAACACATGTACTTGTACTGCTCTATTCCATTCTACCGCTCCACCAAAGCTGGTGCATCCTATACTGTATCGTACCCGTACAATTGCGGAAATGTAAGAACCTGTTAAGTGGAGCAGACCACATGACTTCAGGCAGACGCGTTGTTTCGGACTGGACCAGCCGAGCTTACTACACGGCAGACGTATTTGGACAAACCTGTCTCCACAAATGCATCCAACACACAAACCATTCCGTCAACCTTTACCAGCATCCTGTCTAAAGATACCCGCGATCTGCTACAGGGTCCAGATGTTATCGGCGGTGTGGACATACTTGACTGCATTTATTTCATCCTCTGTCAAATTGTCGATCAGCAACGAGTACATATGATTTTATTGTGGACTAATATACGACAACTTGATTATTTATCATCTTTGTCAATCCCACCTTGTTTTCTTTTTTTATTATGTGTCACTATTGTGTTCATGCATGAGTTTGTTTGGATTGTGATACGTACGTAGCCGCTCGGAGCCCGAGACTACTTTCACTGCGGGGCAGTTGAGTATATTTCACTTTAAATTTAGTAGTTCGTCCTCTTTTAGAGTTTTAGGAATACACCAATGGGTGGGCACTTCCAGGATACCCACAGATTATGCTTTTCTTTAAAGAGACACTCATGCTCTGCAAAACAAGTTACCACCCAAAACGCACTTAGCGCTTAGCACACAACCGTTGATGTTTCACAGAACATGCAGCAGACAAGAGGACTTTAAACCGGCCAGCAAGGGTCAACTCTGGCCAGCAGGTGGAAGTCTAGGTCTTTTCTTGGAAACCTACAACAACAATGGTGTCCTCTAAACTCTCATGTTGCAACACAACATAGATTTAATAATCCACATACTCCAATAGTACAACACTTTATCAAACATGGATGCAACGCTCTTCAAACAGCTACCGATCCAAGATAGAAGCTACCCGAAGGCAAAGAGCAGAGACTTGGAGGACATCGAAACGCGTCAGGGCCTCAATCAGAGACGTGAACCGTGTGGAGCAGTGATGGAAAGTTCCACTGTACAAATTCATCAATCCCAGAGGACTCGCTAACAAGCGCGTGCCATTGTCTTACTTCAACAATGGGAAAAGCAGTAAAACAAAAAAAAAAACGTCCAAAAGGAAAAGAAAGAAATGAGAACTGTTTAAGCGGAACTAAGGCGAGGAACGAGATTAAGCAATGAGGGCCAGAAAGCAACAAAATACTGCTACATTGTCTCTTTTTTTTGCAACAGGAACATGATCAAGTGAATCCCGACCCAGACCACATCGCGTGCTCCCCAGGCCCAGCCGGCGTCACCGCCGTCCACAGGCGCCATGTCCACGTCCACAACTACAGACACGTCAGGGAACATGATTACAATTAAACACGAGCGGCATCAAGGTCACGGGAGGACAGAGGAAGAGTGGAGAAAAGGTAAGTGGCCATATTGGCAGTACAGACAGAGGGAGCAGTGGAGCTTCAGGGACACACACACACACACACACACACACACACACCCAAACCCGAAGGCTCAGATTGTGGAACAAAAAGAGGACTGGTGGGAGGACTCAACACCAGCGTCAGATGAGGGGAGGGCAAGAGAGACTCTACAGGGGTAGTGCAAGAAACTAGACAAACAGCCTTCACACCCACCAACCAGGTGTATTCAAATTAAAAGAGAAAAAAATATATACAAATGTTCCACTGTTAATTGACACAGGAGGCGCTCTGTCCTCTACCTGCTTTGCTTGTCCCTCGCAAGAAGAGCGGCAGATATTACAAGACCATTGGCTCCGGACGCGGGACCAGTAAGTGAACTCTACATTGACTTACAAATAAATATTACTATTTAGTTTTATTCTAAGGTTATTGCACAGTAACTCGCGCGACACGGGGCCATTTAGTCATAATTACCAGAGGAAAAAAGAAAGCCAGTTATAATTAACAGCGCGATGAAGCCTCAGTTCAGTTTTGTTGGGTGTGATTTAGTTTCCGGCATATCCACGATATTTCGTTGGGGTCGTGAAGGCACCACGTCCTGCCACTCGCCTCCTCCCGTCTCGCCTTTCTCCGCTGTGACGCGCCTGGCGGGACGCAAGCGGTGCCTCTCGGTCTCATTAACCCCACGGAGGTTGCTTTGAGCTCGGACACAACCAGAAGGTCGGGACGGGACGGTGAGTGAGACGGGTGGAGGAGGCTGTTGGGTGGGGTGTGTTTTACCAGCCAGACGGGACTACGGTTGCACGACTGGTCGACGTTCAACAGGAGCTTCTAAGTTGCCGCAATCGGCCCGAAGCTGCTCCCGAGAGGCGCGCGGAGTCGCGCTGCTCCATCGCGTGCAGCGCGCGCGCCCGGCGGGAGGATTTTTGGGGTTTTTGGATAATCATGCGCGTCTCCTTCGCACGCGGGCCACGCCTCTTCGCTCCTCTCATAACAGTACATAGGAGAAAAAAAACATCATTGTGTGTGTATATACGCATGAAGTAGCAGCAGCCTAGCCTTTGATATGTGTGTATATATATTTATATTTATATGTGTCTCTTTCTAAACGTGATTGGGTTGGAGGTTGGTAACAAAAGGGGTCCGCATGCCTCCATGTTGTTCTGTTGGACATACCGTCAGACCTCACAGGGAGGGGCTGCACACACCTCTGCTCAGGGCTGGGGCTTGTGAGCTGTTCAAATACTGTCGGACATATCAATGCTTTCAAATGGGGGGGCTACACAATCCCCTGCCAAAGGCCGGGGCTTGTGATGCATTCAGGTTCTTGAAGACATATCGCCTCTGCTCCGGGCTGGGCCTCGTGAGGTGTTCAGGTACTATCAGACATATCAGCGGTTACGGGGGGGGGGGGGGGGGGGGGGGGGGGGCTGCACACATCTGCTCCGGGCTGGGGCTCGTGAGGTGTTCAGGTACTATCAGACATAGCAGCGGTTTACAGGGGCTGGCTGCACACATCTGCTCAGGGCTGGGTCTGTGAGGCGTTCAGGTCCTGTCGGTCCCATGTATTTCTGTAAAGATTTAAATGTGGAAAATGTATATATCCAAAGGAAAAGTTAATAGGTGCGGTAATTTGGGTTTTATATTTTAGTTGACCTGAATCTAAAAGCTGCTGTTCTTTAAAGAGCAGCAGCTTTTTTCTGAGCGTGGATCCAGCTCTGCTCAGAATAGAAGAGCAGCTGGTGCACCGGCAGCAGGTGCAGACTGGACTGAGTTGTCTCTCTGCTTCAGAGCGTCACATCCAATCAGACACCATCGCTTCGCTGGTTCTCAGAGAGCAGAGGAGATCCCTCGCCTGTCAATCATGTGTTGGCACGATAACGCCTACTAATGTCAGACTAAACAATAATCGACTTTTGATAATGTAATGTGTAACAAAATGAAGTAGAGTTTAAAGTCTTCTCTGTGCAGTGGACGGACACTTTTTTTCCCACAATGCAGTGCACATAGATAATGGACGAGCTCCACACAGCTTTGAAACATTAGACACCATCTTCCTGTTGAGAGGAGATTCTAGGGCGCAGCTAAAAGACCTACAGAAAGGATGTGGATTCCTCTGCTGGATCGCTCACCGGTGAATAACAGAGTACGTCTTTGTGTCAATACAGTGTAAACATAGTATACTCTGAGAATGTGTACATATATACAGTGGGAAGGTTGTACTGTAAACATAGTATACTCTGAGAATGTGTACATATATACAGTGGGAAGGTTGTACTGTAAACATAGTATACTCTGAGAATGTGTACATATATACAGTGGGAAGGTTGTACTGTAAACATAGTATACTCTGAGAATGTGTACATATATACTGTGGGAAGGTTGTACTGTAAACATAGTATACTATGAGAATGTGTACATATATACTATATACAGCGAGACGGCTGTACTGTAAACATAATATACTCTGAGAATGTGTACATATATACAGTGGGAAGGCTGTACTGTAAACATAGTATACTCTGAGAATGTGTACATATATACAGTGGGAAGGCTGTACTGTAAACATAGTATACTCTGAGAATGTGTACATATATACAGTGGGAAGGTTGTACTGTAAACATAGTATACTCTGAGAATGTGTACATATATACAGTGGGAAGGTTGTACTGTAAACATAGTATACTATGAGAATGTGTACATATATACTATATACAGCGAGACGGCTGTACTGTAAACATAATATACTCTGAGAATGTGTACATATATACAGTGGGAAGGCTGTACTGTAAACATAGTATACTCTGAGAATGTGTACATATATACAGTGGGAAGGCTGTACTGTAAACATAGTATACTATGAGAATGTGTACAACGTTTAACATTATTCAATAAAATAACTACAAAATATTAGAGACATAATTATCTTTCCCCTGCTCCCTGTTTGCTTAACAGTTACACTAGTGTATTCATAATGCTAGTGACATAAATATAGCAACAGCAGTAATTGGACTAAAATCTCAACAACATTAAGTTGGATCAGCACGTACTTTTACAAAGACGTTCGTGTTCCCCAGAGGATGAATATAAATGACTTTGGTTGACTTCACTGCCACCTGGAAAAATATATTTCAATTCCTTTCTACAGCACAAATAACAGCAACAGTTACGCTTTACAGGCGGTAGACGGTGTTTAATATGGAATTAATAATAAACGCAGTGATAGAATTGTGACTGATAATCATACCAGTAGCAGGCCATAGTAGCATTCTTTTTTCTATTATATCAACAGCGCTGGTTGGATTGCTGTGAAATAAAGCACACCTCTTCTTCCTCTTTATTATAACCTCTTTGGACATTTTAATTTTTAGGTCAGAAATATGAATGTTGTCAAATATGATCAAGTACCTGCAAAATCAGTTTGGTGTTGATTAGCAAATGTTAGCATGCTAACCCACAAGTTGAACGGCTGCTGAGGATCCTGGCGCTGCGTCTAGCTCACGCTGTGCTAACGCTCCCTCTCTTCTCCGCCCTGTTTGCAGATGACGTGGCGTGTCGCGATCCTGCTGGCGGCGGCGGCGGCTCTCGCTGTGGGTGAGTATCGCCTCTGTCCGGCACCTCTCATCAGCAGCACGGGAGCAACGGCTGCACGCGTTTAATGTGGATGAGATGTGGCGGTTTCCTTCAGAGGTCAAAGGTTAGGCTCCGCTGCTGATACGGATCACAGGCCTTGTGCAGAACACATTTTGTGTCTTGTGCCAGCTCCTTGTAGTTCATTCAACACCAGTACAACCAGTACTTCCTCCAGGAGTACGAGCCGCTGCCTGGAGGAGATGCTCGTCACACAACTGTCACGTAGTTGGTGAGAGGAGGAAGAAGGTGGTTATAGTAAGAACCTCTGGGCGCAGTGGACTGGACAGTGGCTTTTAAAGTGTATTCCGTTAATTAATAATATGGATATATATATATTTATATTATTTATATCTATATATCTATTATTTATATATATACATATTTTTATATATATATATATATATATTGTTATATATATATATATATATATATATATAATACTCACTCAGGAGCCAAACTGGGTAGAGCGTAACATGGCGGCCCAGAGTAAGAATTGGCTGAAAAAAATGTACCCAAACCCCTTAAATCTGCACGGACGGCGCTGAAATTGCCTGTGATGCGCATACAGCGCCGGCTGCACGTATCTCTTGCAAAAATACAACTGATTAATTTCATAATTTTGTTCAAAACGTGAACGGGGCATCTATGCTGCTGACTATTTTTGCTCTGGTTTCGGAAAGGTTTGTCTGAGAGAAATGACTCAGCTAGTGACTTGGTGTCTCCTTTCCTTTGTTCGCCTCTTGCTACGCTGTGAAAAATGCACAATAGCCCTGTGCAAATTATCTGGAATAACTTAACATCATTTTAGAACTGGAACCATTTTCGGAGCATTTTCAAGCAGATGATTCAATATTGTAGCCAAGACTCTATAATGTTTCAAACGGCGTGAAGCATTCATACATTCGTTGGTAACGAGTACTCGATATTCCTGTTGGAAGACGGTTTTCCGGCTCGGTTCTGCACCCTTTGGGGTTCCCCTGGGGGAAGAACCAAAGGTTCAGGCGCCTTGTTGGGTTCAGGACCCCTGAAGACTCTTGACTGTCTGAAACACTCCCTTTTTTATTCTCCCCAAGCTGAGCCCCACACACGGTGTGTGGGTGCTGAAAAATCCACAAACTGAAAATCCACAAACCACAGGAGTGAATTGAGGAATCCACAATCCTACAGAACTTGTTCAGCTTATATGCACGCACATGTCACCTGTTGCCCTGCACTCACCCAGTGGATAAAGTTACCGCTATTTATAAGTTGGGACACAAACACAACTCCAACCGAACACCACTGCATCTTTCCTATTAGGGGAGAAACATTTAGTAAAAATGTGTCGGTAAAAGACACTAAATGTAGTATTTGACTTCTGTGGTAGAGTCATGAATAAATAAACTAACTTCCCACGGCCATTTGAAATGATCACGTTGCATTTTGTGTCCTAATTGAGTAAATTAACTGCTAATGGTGAATGTGTCTCTTGTTTCAGAGTCCTACATCGTCCATGACGTCAACGAGCGTTTGGCCCACGGCCGGCAGCTGAAGATCTACCTGCCTAAGAGTGCGCACAAGCTGGAGTTCACTCCAGCTAACAATCCCAGTGGGACCCATGTGTACTGGGAGGAGAAGAAATTCGTGTCAGACAAGATGAAGAAAGGTCGGGTGTCAGGGACCGGCAGCGACCGACGCTGGTACATTGACAAGGTGACCCGACTCTGGATGAAGGAACGCGATCATTCAACATCATATGGAATCCGTGTCCTCGTACTTGTGTCCTCGGGACGCTTCCTTCGCTTGCTTCCTTCGCTTGCTTCCTTCGCTTGCTTCCTTCCTGTATTTGCCTTTCGAGTGTTGCTGACCGACTCCCGTCTGAACACACTCGCAGTCGAACTTTACTAAAGTACTATGTGCATGTTTCTGTGTCAGGTGACCTACAAGGACGAGGGGACCTACACCCAAAAAGACTTCTGGAATAAAGAAATCTCATCTGTCAAAGTAGCCGTCACACGTGAGTTCGCTCCAGACTCACATTGGTTGAGAACCCCTTCAGTGAATGACTTTTTTTAAAAATGAATTTGGGCAATAGTTCTTTCTCAAGGCACTATGCTATTGTTCTTTCTCAATATGCGTTTCATTATTCTTCTCCTCTCCTCTAGTGAGACACAACTATGCAAAGTGTGTTGCAGGGGACAGTCTCTACGTCCAGTTAGAGGGCATTATCCCGACCGACGCGACCCTGTCCTTCACTGGGCAGGCGCACAATGTCACACTGGTGAGACGGATGGATGATGGTTGATTGATTCATGATGGATTAACGCTACTATCAATAGATTTTTTTTTAGTTTATATATTATAATGCAATTAAGAGAGAGCGTGACAGAGAAAGTGATTTTTTTTCACAAATGGCCAGAAACGAGTTGTGGCTCGGATGGAAATTCTGGATGGTGCTCTGACGGAGGTTTTGTCCCCCTAAGGTGCGCGATGGTGCTCTGCTGTCCCAGGACCTGGCCGATTATTGGGGCCGGGTGCAGATCCGCTCCTCGGATATCGAGATCAAAAATGTCAACTACAGCGACGTGGGACATTACACCCTCAGAAACCGCGGATACCGGGTGGTGTCTGTGACCCGGATGGATCTGACAGGTGGGTCCTCGTGTTTCACATCGTTTACATTGGCACCAGTGCAGCGGCTCCCCGCCCGGATTGGATGCAGGCTCATATTACAGAGGACTGTATTTTGGTATGAAGGCTTCACATAGTTTGAGCTCTTCCGGTTTGCCCTGCTGCTTGTAAGTGAGTTTGTTCCTGGGTTATTATTCATCTCAGAGGTAAATGTGGACCTGTGGAGACTGCTAGTGCGTTGTTAACAATCCATGGGCCAAAACGGTGCGTTTACTTGATTCTCATGGACAAAAAGAGTGTCCAAAATCGATAATGGCACAATTACACACTCGCGTTGTCCTCTGCAGACCGCCGTGAGAGCACTGGAGGAAACCCTCTGCTGGCTCTGCTCCTGCTGCTCGGCATCCCCGCTGGGATCTGCTGCTGCTGTCGGAAGAAGATTTTCAAGAAGAAAGCCGCCACTGCTGAAACGCTCCAGGTACCGACGAGAAGTAGGACGCTACCCGGAGACACGGCGGAGTTGGTCCGCGTCGGAGGATTCTGACCCCTCTCTCTCTCTCTCTACAGTGCAGCCCAGTCGCCGTGCACCCCCCCCCTGGTGGTCCCGTAGGCCCTTGTCCCCCTTACAACACGCCTGGACAACCTGGAGTGGTGAGATTCTCCCACACTGACACTTGTCTATATTCAGTTGAGTTGAACACAGCGTTGTTATTCGCTGAACTCCATGTCCACAGAGTGGGGTGGGCGGTGGCAACATGTTCAGGTCGTAAAGGGTAATATGTGTTTGAAGCTCTGTGTTGATCTACCAAATTAAAGAATGTGTGTGTGTGTGTGTTTGCAGGCTTACTACCACGGACCAGACCCCAACATGGTACACGACCCGCTACCCAGTACACAACTACAGAGTCTGTACAGTATCTACGCGTCAATATGCACAACATAACGAAGTCTGGACGTGTATCTGTGTGTGTTCTTATCTAGGGTCCTACATTCCACCCCCCCCCTCCAACCGCTGGCCCAGGACAGTGGAACGGCCCCCCGCCCTCCCCAGTTAGTACCACACAAAGCATTTTCAGGAGTTTATCTAGATTTCCAGTTTCCTGCTTCCTCCCTCACTATTTAACTCTGTATTGTTTCTGCCTGCAGGGTTTTAACCCAGCGTACCCCCCCCAGAACCCTGCCTACCCTCCTGCTGGTCCGGCTCTCAACCCACATGCCCAGCCTCCACAGTGGAACGGTCCACCACCCGTTGCCTACCCCACCGGGCCTGTAGCTCCAATGGTACGACCCGTCTCTTTAATTCAGGAACGCACCTCGGGCTGTCCATTCAGTAGTTCCAACCCATCAGTGATCCGAACTACATTGGAGACAGAACAGCATTGGACACAGCGTCCTGGGAGGAATCAAATGTGTGTGTGTGTGTGTGTGTTCTGCTTAGGGCTACGCTGCAGCTCCAGTCATGTATAGCTCTGCACCACCAGCAGCTGCCAGTGGACCTCCTCAGGAGGTTAAGATGGAGAACATGGCTTCCTCACCTGCCGACCCACTGCTGACTACAACACAACAGGTCCATACAAACACACACACACACACACACACACACACACACACAGTATAGGAGGGACTCGGGGTCAAAAGAGTCTCCCTGCACCCACCAAAGGAAAGAGATCATGTGCAACTATAGATATTCTATAGATGCACGAGTTTTGTTGACAGGAGTTTGTGAGAGAAACGTTGTATCAAGACGCTTGTAACATGTTGCGTATAAGGGCCTAGACTTTTACGTCTGAGATGGACATTACATTATAATCATTAAATCAGCTATGCAGCTTATACATTACAATCACTATGTGAGGAGATGAGAATGCTTTAGTTTTACAACCTCCATCAGCCACTGAACATTACTCCACTACAACCACTAAGACGTTCAGAGGTAAATAGTGTTCTGTATTGACGAGGGCAGTTGGCTGTTTTTACTTATATTTATGTACATATGACTTCTGGCCGTGGATACACATCTACTAGAAAGCTGTTGATTTGATCCATTAACTGAAACATCGGCGCGCAGTAATCAGAGCTGCCTCCCAGATGTGGGCTGTGACCAGCTCCCCCCTCCCAATGCACTACATCTGCCGGCAACACGCAATAGTGTGTGAATGAAAGACGGCATTGTAATGTGTGTTCAGGCTGAAGCTGCATCCCCTCCTGTGCCCCCCTCCTCCTCCAACGTGCCCAGCTCTGACAACGCCTACGAGTTCAAGATCGATGGAAAGAGCTCCACCAACTTCCTGTAGGGCTGCCGACTCCTCAACCTGACGATAACAAGTGAATGTCTGCCTCTGGTAGAGGCTCCAGCGACCCGACCAGCTGGCTTGCCGTCACCACAGCTAGTTGGGGGATCACGGGAGGAGAGGAGACAAACTCTTGTGAATTAGAAATGTATGACGAACGCCCTAGAAATAGGGCCGGCTCCTCAAACGAAGAAGACGTGTCCTCATGGCGCATGATTGTTTCCCCTCTGATTCCAACCTTTTTATTTTTTTTTCATCTGACGGGCAAGGACAAGCACGCAATCAATAAAGAGTCCGGAGATTTACCTAAAAGGAAACGAACCACAATAGAGGTTTCGGAGCGCCTTCTTCCACTATAAAGAACACACTGTAGTACCACCTACTCCAAACCGGGTCAGGACTACACTTCTGCTCCCCTCAGTCGTCAGTCCAGGCTGGTTCTCAAGTTGCCTTAATTTTTAAATGTAATTTACTCATATTTCTGTATAGCTGATGCTTTGAATCAGGCTTTATACCATCAGTCAACACCCAGCTACAGTGAACTAGCTGCTGACAAAGAGTGTGGCTTTTTGTTGTTATATAAAGCCGCAATCCTCCCACCCCCCCCACCCCCCCCCTCCTCCCACTCTACATGCCGCTCTCTGCACATGGTAGAATACACAAGACATCTCCATTAGCTTGGGCCTGAGCCCCAGGTCCGCTGTCCCGGTGCCTTTTGACAAACCGCGACCTGGATGCGTCGGCATAGACACACATGGGGGACAACTTAATCCATCGAGGCTTCGACACACGATAACACAGGACCCACCTCCAGGGGCCTCAATGTGCTTCAATGGTGCATTTTCACCACTGATTTACTGGCTCCCCCCAACTGGGGTCCTTTGAGCTCTCTACCTTGATCGCTTTGCCAGGCTGGTCATTCAGCATTAGCTCTGCATTTGGAGACTGATCTATCACTACAGTTTGGTCCACCTGGGTTAGCTCTTAAAGACCCAGGTGTGGCCCAGGTATGAGCAGAAGCCTCATTTCTGACATTAGATAGCATTCCCACGAGCAGAGCTGTACGTAATGGAAAACAATTTAACACAACACCTACCTCTTCTGGGGAGTCTCTGGCTCTTCTTAGGTCAAGACTGTAGGATTTGCGTTGGTCACTGGCGTGCATTGTTTGTAGTCAAATGAAAGCTTTGGTGTGACGCCTGCCTGTTGTAACCACTAACCCGTAGCAATGCTACCAGTGTAACCACTTTGACTGCCTTTCACGTTGGCCTCATGCCTCTTTTTATAGCAAAAAGCGTGTCACTCATCCAGCTTTCGCCTTTTGTCCCAGAAATGTTTCAGTTAAACAGGAAATCGCAGCATTTCTGCAGAATGTTTCCTTCCAGACTCAACGGCCAACCGCAATCAGCCCTGACGTACGCACGGACTTTGAGGCGTGCAGGAACTCTGCGAGGCTTTAGTTCTGTCCCGTTGTCAAAGCGTTGAGTGTTTGAGGGCTCTCTGGTACAGTTCAATCCCTTCATAAACCCTTTCCGCAAGTTACTGACTTAGCCCAATAAAATTACCCACAAGTCATTGCAATAGGACGTCAAAACCAGGATAACCAGTGAACGCAGGGAGACGTAAAAAAATCCGATAATATTTATTCATGAAATATAGAACTCTGTCATTGAAACGATTGACAAAAAAAATTAAAACACTATTTAAAATGACCTCATTTTATGAGGAAAGCGTCTGAAAGACGTTTAAATCAGAGAGTAAGAAATAAATACCCTCAATTGTAAGTCCGATTTTTTGACGTTGTGACGTCACACACTCTCACACCCAACCACGTACCAGGAGACGCCAGTTAAGTCTCAGAGGGGTCAGGGTTTAGGGGTCAGGGTTTAGGGTTTAGGGGGGGACATTGGGCCCAATTGAACTGTGAGAGAAGACCAAAACTTTTCTTCACAGAATATTTCTCTTTCACTTTGTTTATGAAGGTGTGTAAATACACTTCTAAATACTGAAAGTCTTGCATGATATCTAAGCAAATTGGGTTTTCTTTTAAATATTAAACTGGGAAAAACTAATTCTGAAAGTCTGTTTTTAAAACGTTTAGTTTTGCCTTTTTTGTGTCCTAGATCTGATGTTCCTCGCATGTAGCAATGTTGAGATACATTGTTATTCACATAATGTTAAAAATGTGATTTGTGTGTTCAGTTTTGTTTTTGTATATGTAACCAATGCTATTTGCTAAGTGTAGATTTGTTGATTGTTGTGGGTGTTTCAGGTGGAGACCACTATTGTTGTACTTTAGTTCCATCCATCTCTGGGTTATATGCCAATGAAGCTTGTTTGCATACCTCTCATTTTATACCTGCAATGATGATCGTATACTTATTGTATTTAGATGTGTAACTCTTTTGTATAACTACCCAAAGATATAATCATTAAAACGATTTCACAGGAGTGATACTCTGCACGCGGATGAAAGGAGTCGGTTGATAAAGTGTGTACTATCAGCACAGTGACGTGTTACCATCTATGTAGGCGCGAACCACTGCAGAAATAAAGTCCTGTTCGTTCACTATAGACCAAGGAATTCCAAGCGGATTCCTCTTGGCAGAGCAGCAGTTGCTACGTATCATTACAAAATGTCAATGAAGGAAATATTGGACCAAAACAGAAATAGACAACAGTACACTTTGCAACAACTCAGAACTATCTGAACCCAAAGGCCGAATTTTAGAATTTAGTGGAAATTGTCCTGAGGCTACGGCGAATTTCAACCCAAAACAAATGGTAACTGGACTTTACTATTTCTCTTTTTTGGTCTTTAGTCAAAGCTCTTTAACACTACAACCCTTTAACCCTTCATTCACCCATTCATACCCTGATGACAGAGCCACCTGCCCATCAGTAACGGACATTCAAACACTCCTGTGGGAAGCTCAATGTGTGTGTTACTGAAAGATAACGTCTTCTCCATCAATTTATCTGCTACAATATCTCGGATTCATGTTAATGTGTATTTAAAGACAATGGAATTTAAGACATTTAAATTTGTGGGGAAAAAATTAAAGAAATATTTTTAAAAATGTCTTATCAACCAAAAACTTCAGACCCCCCTACAGTACCTCCACGGACCCCTGTTGAACATATACTATATATAAAAGGCTAGATGGCTCGTCCGCGTTGCCGTCCAACGGAGTCGAACGTATTAAACAGAACATTATTCATAAGTTTGCAGTGTCATTACTACATCTCTGACGTAACAGTGTTATGGGTGAGCTCTCCCTACCAAGATGGCCGCTACGTGCGGACGTTCTATACACCGTCGTAAGACATCTAGCCTTTATATATAATATATGGTATAAATGAATCCTCCAGGGAAAAAAAGTCTAGAAATCAGCATGAAAATGAGGCCCAAAGAAAGTAATACAGGAACATTATTTGTTACTCATTGCATCCACGAGACTAAGCATCGGACTGTTCCTGTGGCTTTTTAAAAAGACGAAAATGCAGGTTAAAGTTCTTTGATAATTTCTTTTTAATAAATTGCCAAACAGTGGAATTTATATGCACAACATTGTTAAAAGTGGCCACAAGTGAAAAGAAAACGGAGGCTCTATATCTGAAATGAACTGGACATTTTTCATTTCTTTAGTCTCATCAACCTGGAGGTCAGTCGGGTTCTCGGTGAAGCTTTATTCGTTTTCGTCACACATGCTCTGTTCCAGGGCCTTTGGAAAGATTAAAATCTTTTCGGAATGGAGTTTGTACTCCAAACTTCAGTTATCTGAAGCGAAGCACAGCTTTTTTCTAGAAGATAAATCACAGACCAGCAGAAATACCGTTTACCAACAGTTGGAATATTCAGCATGTTTCTAGGATCTAGCGTGTTTTGAACTGCAGCAGTTTGAAATGTTTGCGCAACCTGGAAATGTGATAAGTCTAATTCATACTTTGTATTCCTCTAAAATAAAAATATTTTCACACGTTAGATGGTGATGGTGGAGTATGTGGAAAATAAACTGAATCCAAAAGGCACACTGAGGAAAAATACAGGAAAAAACCCATCAGCACAACAGCTCTGGTTACAAATGTACTTAAGTAAGTTATCTAAAGTGGTTTCCTCCAAATGGATTCAAAGGATTATGGAAGTAAAGCCGTCGGGACGTCCTACCCTATCCTATTAAATACTATGCCTGTCTACTAGAAACTACCCTTCCATACCCTCCTTTTCTACCATATACTACCCTACCATGTAGTACTACCCTTCCCTTCCCTACAATATACCAACCAATCCTACCATTTACTACTAGATTCAAGTTATTTTTTAAGTACCGGTACTGTGCCGTGAAAGACATTTAGTTTGACTGGTGGTCAAAAGACAAAACGGTGAATTTGAGGCAAAAGGTATCTTTCTTTTGTATTTACCTTTACAGACTGTTGTGCTTGGTGTCTGAGGAGAAGCTGACCAACAGGGAGCAAAGATAACGTGTTAGATAATGTGTGAGATGAGAACATTGATACCATGAACATGCGAGAGCGTTGAATCAATCTTATCGTCTAACTTTCAGAAATAAAGCAAAGAAAAATATTTTTCAGATCAGAACGTTGGACGCGAGAGCTTTTCCGTCACACGTGTCACATTCTGAGGAACTCTTAAGTAATCTTATTGTCAGTAATAAATCACGAGTCATGGAATACTTTTCAAAAAAGTTATAGAAAATCTAAAAACGTACAAATATTTCGGAATTGAAGTTCTAGAAGCCCTCAAGGTGGCGTCAGGACGGAAGAGGAACACTAGAATTCCCCTGTCCCTCCATCACTCCTGTGTCCTCCTACGCCTCTCCATCTCCCTCAGGCGCGTCTCCAGCACCTTCACCTGTTTCTCCAGCCGAGCCGTCTGCCCGGCGACGTCGGGGCTCCCCAGGGTGCCGACGCCCAGCAGCACGCAGACACACACCAGCACGGCCAGCCGCACCGCCATGGCGTCACTGCCCGCGCTGCGGTCGCTCAGGATGAACCCGAAGCAGACCACGGCCACGCCCACTTTGAGCAGCCACAGCGCCCGCCTCAGAGCGGAGGCAACGCATCTGAAGACGAGGGAGATCAGCCAGTAGCCAATGAAAGTCACCAGGAGCCACTGGGCGACGAAGACCACCCCGTCTGGGGTCGCCTCGCTGATGGGAAGGGTGGCTGTGGCAAGAGCATAGAGCGCAGTTCAGAGGTATGCTGCAATACCTACAAGTCACTTTTGAATTCATTTTAATAAACCCTTGTGGGTCACGTTCAAAACAGAGGAAAGCTCCAGTGAGGGAACATCTTAAGATGTTTTTCAGATGGCAGATTTGGGCATCACTATTTACTCCCCTCAGCCCAAAAAACCTGGGGCCTCGTTTATAAAACCGTGCGTAGGATTTGCGGCAGAAGTGGCGTACGGATGAAACGTAGGACGTGCGTACGGACGGAGATATTCAGACTTATAAAACCGAGCGCACGCACGTCCTACGCTGTTTTCCCTTAATAAATCACACTCACTTCTAAATGCAGCGCAGCTTTTGCGGCTTCATGTCACGCCCACAGTTGCCCATTTATAGTCTGTGGAACGCCCACAAATTAACATTCATCGATTGCGAAATCATGACAAACATTGAGAGGAAAACGAAGAAACGGAACTTCACTCAGTGTGAAGTGGAGATGATCACTGGGAGGTGGAAAGGAGGAGTAAAATGCTCTTTGGAGGGCACAGTGTGGACGTCACTGATGCCAAAAAGGTACTCGAGTGGCAAAAGGTTGCAGAGCAACGCTCTGCCTCACGACCTCGGACCCAAATAAAGAAAAAATGGTCTTTCTGGACGCAGAAAAGCGTTTAGCGCGCCATCGGCAAAGTGTGTCTGCCACAGGTGATGAGAGACGGGCGGCAATGATTGGGGATCGGGGGTCTGGGCCAACATCGGCGTCAGGGGGTCGAGGCACGTTTGGAAGCTGTGCCACATCATGTAGCACAGCACACGCAGCACGATTCCGCACACCTTATCAGGAGTAAACAATAACCTCCCTCCAGTGCAGTCGAGGCAGCGCCATCTGCCCTTAAACAGGCCGACGGTGCGCTGCACTACAGCGCCAATCCTTCCATGTGCCACGTCTCCTAAGAACGCGAGATCAGCCATCGGCGTCATTACGCATTGTGACGGCATCATGGCGTTTTATTACCGTCCGTCGGATTGCATCTGATGAGCAACATCTGTGATTTGAGGATGAATTGCATAACATGCCGATATTATTGCAGAACATATTTCACTTTTCTTTTTGAAAATGTGTTAATTTGTATTTGTTTGTTTTACGCTGCAGGTCGATCAATTTGGTGTTCGTGTTATTTATGAGAGGCAGTATTGGCATTTCTTCTACAACAGTCTAGTTTTACACACTTTCCCGCACGTTTGCGTGTTTCTTGCATTTGCCGACGGTTCTCATTTCACCCGTTTTTGTGCGTACGCGTGGGTCCGAGCTCGCGCGAAGGACCGCACATTTTTCCGTCAAGTTTGCTTTTTATAAATTCCAATTATTGCGCAGAGAGCGGCGTACGCCACGTTTACAAATGAGGCCCCAGGTCTCCACCGAACCATTTTATGTGGAGACAATGAAGAATAATATAGAAATGTACCAACAATCATTTCCAATATCAATCAATCTGCTGATTACTCTCTTCATTAAAGGGTTGGTTTGTGAAAGGGTGGAGGTTGCTGAGGGATGAAATGGATTGTAACACAGATGCCACATGCTCCTACTCACAGTGACTCGTCCCCAGTGTTAAAAGCTTTGCAGCGGCGGCTATTTGGCTGCAGTGATGAGTCTAACATCCATAAGTTATGACAACTTAGTCATTTCTCATGTTGTGACATCTGCAGATGAGACAGCTACTCCGCCTCACTGAGGACACGCTGCTCACACAGAGGATGATGGAGCGCCGTACCAAACATGCTGTTGCATCATGGGAGCTCAGCTTCATCTTCGCAACCAACTCAGAGAGGACACATGGTTGGAAACTACGGCGGCAAATCCTGGACATCAGTTGGAATTTTGATTAATTTCTGAATCAAATAATCATTTTGATATTTGAGGTTGGATTTTGTTTTAAATCTTCAAATCACAGTCCCCAAAAGTGATTTTTACCCGACCAAAATTATTTTAGTTTAAAAAGATTATTATATTTAAATGTATTAATATATTGGTTCAAGACCAAAACATTTTCGGGGGTTTGTCTGTTGTGACCTGGTCACCCATTGCAGGAGAGAAGAGAACATAATGTGACTCAAAGCTGGAGCAGGAAGTGGGTTTGTTTAAATCGAGATGACACGATTCTCCTCTTCGCTTCCGTTAACCGGCTTTTGTTTCTCATCTGTCTGATCACCTGACGGAGTTTGTGAAGAAGACACAGCAGACAATCCAGTATGATAAATGAGTATGCACACAGTAAAAGGGAAGTAAAACCTGCAGAACGAATGACCGTTAATGCAAATCAACCTTGCACACGAATGGATAAACAAACAAACCAAAAGGTTTGGGTCCTTTGACCATTATCATTTAAGACCCGAGGACACTGTCCTTATCAATGAGAGCTTCCCCTGGGGGACATGCAGCGTGCGTCCTCCTCATGCTCACCGTGGACTCCGGCAGCCTGCAGCAAGCGGGACGCGTTGAGGCAGAGCACGTTGAGGCCGGCGGACAGGCCTCCTGCCACGGCGGCGAGCACCTGGGAGAAGGCCTGCGGAGGAGCGCGGACACCGTGTGCTTTACTTCCTCCACAGTGTGTGTGTGTGTGTGTGTGTGTGCGAGTTACAAAGTCCACGTCACGTCATATTATTCATACAAATCCACATGTTGCATACTAGCCTTCTCCACTGTTTCTACCTCTCACCTTATGCACCGACCGCACCGTCTGCTCCCCGGCCAGCCTGCCCAGGTAGGTCCTCCCCTCCCCGGCCAGCTCAGCCACGGCCTCCCGGACGGAACCGTAGCGACTCTCGGAGTCTTTCTCCCCCGACACGGAGAGCAACGCGGCGGCCAGCAGCACGCACAGACCACCGAGGAGGGCGCTGCGAGGCGAGCGGCGGGACATAATGGACAAAGACAATGTCCCGATGAGAAAGTGAAAGAGCGAAGTTGCGATGAAGTGAGTCTCTCTCTCCCCCCTCCTCCCCCCCGCAGGTAAACAGGATGCGGAAAGACGGCCGGGAAAGAGCCGGGCGGAGCCGGAGACGTGTGCCCCCTCCAGGCTGACGGCGTGTCCGCACAGAGACACTGTCCCGCCGCCCAGAGACACTGTCCCGCCGCCCAGAGACACTGTCCCGCCGCCCAGTGCTCGTATCATATCTATTGGTCCATATGTTTTATTTCTCATGTTCTCCCACCACAACTCTCCCCACATGAGCTGAAGACCCTCAGTCACTCCATCTCAACAACATTCATTTTACATTCAGGCTATTTGCCATTTTCACCAGAATATGATTTCTTCCAAAAGAAAACGACATATTATGCAGTTATGTTGTGCGAATTTCCCCTTTTTCATATTACTTACTGGCTTTGTCTCTTTTCTGCAGCGTGAACGTGAATCTGTTTTATCATCATAGCTGTGTTTTATGCACACGGTGTGTATGTGTGTATTCCTCTGTTAAACACACACAAACACGTTTCATAAAATGTGTCTCACTGGACACCTTTATTTCAAAAATATATCAAAGGGTTAGTACAACATTCACACAATGGAAACATTTTGAAGTGAAAGCACCAGCTGTTGGAACAGCCCTGCTGGTGAAGAGGAGTCGGCGTTCCTTCCTCATCTGCATGGAGCTGTCTGAAAGTGTCGTCCTATCATGCAATGACATCCCTGCCTGACATGCAGTGAGGTCTCTTCCTCACCTGTGCTGTGTGTTTTTCCTCCTCGCATACACAGTGTTGGTTTTTGTCCCTAGATTCTGGGCTGGAGTGACCTCAAACTCATGTAAGCAAACAGCGGTGGAAATCTACACGAGGACTGCTCCAGAAAAACTGTTTATTTCAGCAGACCATAAGTTTCCACTTTATACTCTCCAGTGGTGGCATTTTAGGTAGCGTTGTGGATAAGCCATGGATACCAGCAGATAGGCAGAATCAATACACATACGACAGGTGAAGTCAGCTTCAGGGGGGAAAAAGGTCTCGTTGGGAAGCGATCCGTCCCCTCAAAGACTGGTGGTCCGGTGATCAGTTCAGGTGGAGGGACGTTACTGACGTGGATGTTGATAGAGCAGCTTGATTGAGAGACTGTGAAACACAGACGGACCGAGTGAACATTGGTGTTAGCAACTTCACACATCAGATCACACATGGGATTTAAAACCCAGAATGGAACAGTGGCTCCTGGCATTTGTCACAAACATTAGCCCGGCCTGCTAACTAGCTCACTACCCACAGCAGTAAAGGAACGCGTCGCCTCTGAGACCTAAAAGCACGTCTGTGGTCACTTGTTGTCGTAGACACAGATAGATGGGCTGGTAGGAACTAAAACCGTTAATACAGAACATCTTTGGAGACGGAATTGACCGTTCTTCAGTTCAGGGGGCCAATGTCTACTGGAGGGGTTATGAGCAGCTAGAAAGGAAGCTTTACCACGGCCATTGGCACAAGCGACGGTCCAGAAAGTGAAGCGTTATGAGAGAGCTAATGGGGGTTGAAGAGATCCCTGTGCACCTCAATCCTAGAAAGCTGGAGAGGCTTTGATCTGAGACCTTGGGCCCACTCCCAGCCTCTGGATTGCCTGACGGTGTCCTTTTAGCCTGTCCAGGGGTGGTACTGGTGTTAGCAGTGACTGGTGGCACTGCGCTCGGATCTGCAGCTGGACTCTCTGAGCAGACGGACACTGGGCCACTTTCAGAGGCAGCAAACGGGGGATCGTTCAAACGATTTTGGCCACAATTTACTAAAGATTCTTCTCCTTGTCAAAGTTTATTTAACTGCTGATTGGCTTCAGATTGTTGCCACCTGGATTAGGTCCTTCATGACTGGTCCCAGCAGAAGGTTTAAATGGTTTAAATGGTCTCTGACGACAGCAAACTAAAGCAAAGAATGAAATCTCCACTGTTTGTGTGTCAGTCTTTGCTCGACAATTCTTATTTCAGTGCCTCCTCTCGTTAAAGTTGCAAACATTGTCTCCCTGCATTCCTTACGGGGTCCTACGCAACTTGTGTAGTGAGTGCAATGGTTTTTCCCCTGTGTGTCGAGCTCTCTTGTGGGGTACCTCTGCAGCTCTTTGGTGCCCTCTGGTTGCCACGGTGATCACTTGGTTCCTTCCTACCACCAGGGCCCAACACTGCGAATGACCCCCGGAACTAAGTCCAGTCCTTTGACGACCAAACTAAGCCATCTGCTAGAATTAATTCATCGGGTCATTTTGGATCCAGAGCTGAATTTGAAAACCGAGCACAAGGTTTTGTCCAGTCGTGGTTTTTGCCCAGTTCAGTCTGCATTTTTATATTTTTAAATATTTCTCTACTTTCTTTACGAAATTCTCTCCTGCGCGTCATTTACTTCTATTACTACTACTCTACTGCCCCCCACTGGCATGAAAGGCATTTTATTACCTGGCCAGCCACTATATTAACCAGGGAACTAGAGTCTATCTACTGTCTCTGATGTTTACACCATAACGCAACATTAAATTACAAACCAATAAAATCTACAGTGGAAAATGTTCTGCCGTTTTGTTTTTTGTTTGATACTACTTTGACAATTCCTTTCCGTATTACATCACCCTCCTTTGCTCTCTTTCAAGCCCCCGGCTGTATGTGAACACTGACAATGCAGATGAATGGGAGTCTTTGTGAGAGAAAGCGTTGCAGTCTTACAGCGTACTGTCCGTAGCAGCGTCTCTGCCGGAAGAGAAGGAAGAAGACAACAGCGGAGATGACCATCTGAGCCACGGTGAAGAGAAGGAGGACCGACTTCAGTCCTCGGCTCAGCGCCTATGAAAGGCGCGCAAGACTTCCATTAGTGTGGTCACAGCGTCACAAACACAACCTGGGGACGAGGAGCGACTTTCCGGTGACAATGAAGTCTGTTCAAGTATAAGCATTGCTGTCTACAAATGAAGGCAACTAGACTGTTGTCAGTTTGTTGCAAACCAGTGATGGAGTAATATGGGAGCGACTAGCACCTTTGATTGAGGTGAAAATCAGTATAATAGTGTGCAATACATTACTTTTTACAGTTCTCCATTGTATTGTTTGCATTAGAAAGCAATTAATTGTGATTAATTGCAGAGATCCGTGCAGAGGCAGAGGCTATATATGGTATACAGAGGGGTGTGGTTCATTGCTTGTTGTCTGTGTGACTGACTGATTATACCTTCTTGTCACTACTTTGCATCTTCGTCCATACTTGTTACTCTTACATTAGTTGCATTATGATGGCGTATTTATGTTTGACTTGTTTTTTCTTATCCGAAGGACAATCTACACTGACGTATTTCAAAGTGTTATGGAAACACGGGAACATGTGAGACCAAATGTGGCAGGCACCAACCGTGGCGTCGTGTTCATCACTACAGGGGTCATCAGTCGTCTCGCACGGCAGCAATGGATTCATGTCCATGTCCACCGAGTAGATGATCACAGCCACCACCGACAGGAGGGCGGACGCCCCGCTCGCTATCAGACACCCCTGCAACTGCAAAACAGCCACAACATCTGTTTAAGGCCTGGAGATGGCGGTAAAGAGCTCGCTCTGAGTCATGTGACACTGCTGGGATTTGAGCTGAGGGGTTTTGGGATGTGTTGAATATTAAACCAATTGTGGTTGAGTTCATATATGCATGTGTCACCAATAAGTAGAGAGGTTACGTGCTTGTCAAGTCAAACAACGTGGGGAAGGGTCCCCGGGGTTCAGAGGAATGTAATAATAACCATACATGTACACACACATGAGTTGTACGTGTCTACAAACTCACAATCTTCATGGTGCAGTGTTTGTCCAGGACGATGGCCACCGCTCCCGCTGTGATGAACTTAGAGACATGGAAGACAGCAGGGAACATTACGTCACCATCTCTGATTTGACTGCTTTTATTTTAACAACACACGATCTACATCTTTAATCTAAATCAAATTAGATCAATGAAACAGAGGAAGCACCGACAGACACTCACCGTTAGCCCACTCCACCAGGGAACGCCAAAGGTGACCACTTCCGTTGCGACAGTGAAGTGAAGAGGAATAGAGTAGGACATGACCATCAGCCCCAGCATGACCTGACTCACCTGGCACACACACACACACACACAGTCAAACTTAGTGACACCAGTGGTCCAGGATCTAGTTGGCTAACTAACTGGCATGACTGTTCGTCACGATTGTCAGCCGGGGATCAGGACGCAAACGCAGACTCGCAGGGTCTCCAAGACAAAAAATATCAAAAAAGGGTCGGGGCACAAACAGGAACCAAGACAAACCAAAACTCTCTCTTCCACATGACACCACCGTTGAGAGACAATGAGAGGGTGAGAGGGCGGAAGAAATGTGCACTCACCCCCAGACTTTTGGGCTCTCCCCTCCGGATGGCGGCGCGTAGAGCCTGCTGCCTGTCACTCAGCTTGACAGCATTCACATCCTCCAGCACCTCTACGGTCAGATCCCTGGAGACTGACACCGCCATAGCCTGCAGAGGACAGCAGAGACCCCAGAGACACCCCCCCCCCCTTCAGTACAGTCTGAGCGATCATCTCATAGAGCAGGAATTCCCAAAGTGGGGTGGGGGCACCACTGAGGGGGTTCGCTAGAGGAAACATGTAATGGTGTAATAATAATTCATATTAAATATAATTTATAAAAAATACACAAAATACAGAGACATGAATTATAAAACTGGTGTTGTTTTTTTGATTTGTCCTGATTCAGAATTAACATGATACAATGTTGCAGTTTCTCCTTCGACGGACTAAATATTGTAAACAAACATCACTCGTTAGCAAACGGTTCTGTCATTGGTCCAATTTGAATGCAGCTATAATCAGACTTTTTCTTTTTAAGTGTGGCTGATTGGCTGTGCATGAACCCAGTTGGGATGAAGTAGTCACCCAAAAAAACATATGTGTGTGGTATTAAAACAGCAACATATAATACAAGACACATTGAAATACACATGCAATGTCATAATTGAATGAAACCAAGGTTTAGGGGACGGTTTTTCAGCATTTTGCCAATAACTGTTTTTTATTATGACATGAATTTGACATAATCACTTACTGCTGATAAAGTAGTAGCGAATATTAATAGTATTGAAATGTACCATAATGACCAATGGATTCAGTGTAGAGTGTATGGTTTTACCGCAGTGGGAATGATAAAGGATTATTTTATTTTTTATTATCTTATTTAATGGTATAGTGAGTGGACCGATACATTGCTTTTGCTATAAAAGAGTAATAATAACTAATAAACTCTTAAATGAATGAAGCTATCGTATTTTTTTGTAAGCACTTAGCAGCATGAGGACATTTTTAACAAAATTACTTGAATTGAAAAAAGTAAGAGTCAAACCTGTGACAATGCAACATGTATGTGTTTCACACATCACGGCTATTCATCAGTGTGTCCCCTCAGTCCCCCCACTTCACATCTTCAGGCAGCTTATGAACCGCTTTGATGTATTGTTGCATCACTAGATCTGCGTTGTGTTGCTTGCATTAAAGCAGAAAATATATAAATAACACATACCCCTCTTTTTTGATTCCATTTTTTGGCAAATAACTGTACAATAACCAAATCAGTAAGAGCTTTGTGCAGCGCAGCTGCTGCTTCCGTTTATGCAGTAAAGTATTGCGTAATGTTGACAGCTCATGTGACTCATGTTTTTGGGAAACACTTGTAATTTTCAACAGACCATTTTATATCAAATTAGACTTTTTAGACAGAGAAAACACACATAAAGGCTGATGCCTAATCTTTAAAATACACAAAATGTCCCAATCCTACCTGTTGTTTCTCTCGAGATGGATTAAGACCCCTGTCCTCCTTTTCTTCAGATCACTTGCTGGCCTCTCGCACGGGGATACGTGTATGCGGACGGACAGAGAGAGGGACAGGGGGGGGAGAGAGAGAGAGAGGGAGAGAGTGAGGGTGTTGTCCGTCCGAGTTGAGTGGAGCTCCTCCTTTGCTTCCTGCCTTCTTTGTTGTTGAGAGTTTTCTCCTTTCTTGGTCAATCAGAAGAACTGTCTCCCCGGGGGGGACATAGAAGGACATCTCCGAGACACCTGCATTTGTTAAACATTCAGTCGAGGTAAGTTGCCAACAAGACACCTTCAGGGGTCACATAGCGGGAAGAAAAGTCTATATTTAAATCTAGGTCGGGGATGTTTGGAAAAGCCTTTCAGTGACATGGATTCCTCTCTTGAGGAATTGATTCCTCTCTTGAGGAATCAATGTCTGCAGTGCTGCATATGTTTTGAAGTGCTTTGAGTTTCTTTTGGAAGTTGTTTTGGGGAAGCTGATGGATTATGGTAACAAATTGGCCAACGATGACCCAAATCGTATGCCAATTTGACTCTTGAGTAGTTACGCCATGTGTGCGACATGACTAGGTCGTGGCAGGTGCATTGGTCAGGACCCCAGGAAGCACAGTGTTGGGAGAGAAGTTGTTTTAATTGACCGTTCTAGAAAAACAGTACTGACAAAGTCCTCGGCAAGCTATCAACAAAGTTGTTTTAATTTGCACCACAGTTTTATACACATTCAAAGACCATCCTCTCGTCCAAGTCATGCTTATTTATTTCATGACTTGGACTCTCTGTCAATGCAGAGCACGTAAAACACGTGCAACATTAGGTGGGTACCACTGGACTGAATGCCATGTGACTATTAACAACTCACCAACAACCAACAGAGAAAAGACGGTCTAGTGATTGACAGGAAACAAATCACACAACAAGACGAGAGACACAGTAAGGCTGAAGGCTGCTTTGTGGAAGAAACAACAGGAAGAGAGACAGACTGAAAAGGCTTATAAAACCCAGGTGATACACAGAAAACAAAGATAGAGAGTCAAACATAGGACATAAGATGGGTTCTACCTGTTATCCTTTTGTCTGTATCTGTTCAGAGCTGTCTGTACCTGTTTGCCCTCTGTCTGTACCTGTCCTTACCTGTCTGTACCCTGCATGTATCGTGTCTGTACCTGTTTGCCCTCTGTCTGTACCTGTCCTTACCTGTCTGTACCCTGCATGTATCGTGTCTGTGCCTGTTTGCCCTCTGTCTGTACCTGTCCTTACCTGTCTGAACCCTGCATGTATCGTGTCTGTGCCTGTTTGCCCTCTGTCTGTACCTGTCCTTACCTGTCTGTACCCTGCATGTATCGTGTCTGTGCCTGTCTGTGCCTGTCCATACCTGTTTGTACCCTGTCTGTACCATGTATGTACCTGTTTGCCCTCTGTGTGCTCCTGTCTGTAGCTGTCTGTACCCTGTGTGTACTGTGTCTATACCTGTTTGTACCCTGTCTCTACCTGTCCATACCTGTCTGTACCCTGTCTGCCCCTTGTCTGTACCTGGACATTCTCTGCTCGTACCTGTTTTCCCCCTGTCTGTACCCTTTGCACCTGTGTATACCCTGTCCATACCCTTATGAAACCTGTTTATATCTATATGTAGGATCACCACCTTTTTACTGCCCCAAACACACTAAATAATGGGGGGCAGGACTGGAAGTCAATACTCACATATAGATTTATTTTGCGCCCAGACCCTTGTGAAGCATGAAGAATGAAGGGCAGATTGGACAACATATACTCAAGTCACAACAACTTCCTCTTTCATGGCAAATCAGAGGGATTACACAAATCTACCAGTCTGATAAACTTGTTAGTAGGACTTCAAAAAAGTTTGCATCTTGGATGACTGAAGTTTTTTCAAGAGTATTGTGAGTACAAAATATCTGACCAAACTAAGGGGCGTATTAGGGGACGCTATGAAACCCACTAAATGTTCGCGTGACTGACTCTGTATACCAAGGGCATAGAAATGTTTTTAAATAATACAATCGGGAAATTAGACATTGTAACAACAATGATAACACCACATTTTGACAGAATATCCCTACGGGAGGAGTAAAAAAATACATAAAACTCAAATTCGCACATTGTCACATGACATCATCAATTGAGGCAATGACCATTTCTTAGCAATGTAGCGTCACATAAGTCGGAGGATTATGTCCCTAACGTGGCCTTCCCCACGTTAGGGGGCGATATAGAGGCTGTAGACAGACTTCGACTTCATCATGGTACCTCCTCGTAGTGCTCACTGGTTTTGATATTTTGACCAGTTTTGTACATTTTTGAGTACATCAAGGGTGTCAAAGTTGGGTTTGAAGGCTGAAAGGCTTCGGGATGCCGGGGTCACAGTTATGACTTCAAAACTAAATAATTACTGGTTTAAATTTGATTGCCCAACTGATGTGTACCCTAAAGGAAAATGAATTGTGTGGGCCTTATCAGAACAAATCGACTAGAACTCAATAGCCCCTTATGGGGCTAAAACCCTAACCTTGAAGTTTTTGATTCACAAGGGGCCCCCACCGCATGACCGCTGGCTGGGGCTAATAAACACAGTGACAAATACGTGCATGAATTAAAACAAGTTTATTTCTCAACTGCCAATTTTTATAATGTTCCTCCCACTTCTGGTGAGCCTTGTCAAATCATGTTTTTGTGTAAACTCAGACTTCTAACTCTCCCTCCCTTGCTCCACCTCTGTCACTCCTCTTCCCACCACCACATCTGCATCTCATCCAACAGCATTCCAGTTTTTCCTAAGAGGATTGCAACATGTGGTTTTGATGAACTAATACCCTCTCACGCTCTCTCAGTTCCCTTTTCCCCCCTTTCACTACCTTGTTTTGGTCTCTGTTTCTCAAATCCTTCCTGTCTGAACAGATGAGCATGCATAATAATACAGATGTTTCCCACTGTCCTTTCCCCTTTCTAGTGTGTCACAATCATGTCTTCTGTCATTGCTGCTCGTTGGGTTTATTCTTATTTTTTCTTGGATTTCGTTGGATTATTATAGGTGTGGAGCTCTCCACTTTGAATCCGTTCCATAGATGTTTGTGACTAACGTAACGTCTCCCGTTTTGCAGAAACATGTCGTCTACGGCTGAACCCAGGTCACGTTTTCTGCCCGCCTGCTTTGACCATGAAGCTGCTGCGGTGAGATCAGGAATCCACTCAGTTTGGGTGGTGCGCTTAACTGGAGTTGGAAGTCTGACTTCCTAAAGATGATAATAGTGTGAAGTGTAACGCCCTTGTGTCCTGTAGGTGGTGACCATCCTCTTAGGCCTGTTCCAGGTGCTGTTGGCTCTCCCACTTGCCTACTCTGAGGAGGCGCTGCCAAAATTCTTCATCCTGCCACTTTTCTTAGGAATTCTTGTACGTACCTCACGATTCTTGTTCTTAGTCTGGAGTCTAGAAATGATTGATTATAAAATGAAGGGAGACAAGGCTCTCTGCTGCATGTTCCTTACTCTGATGAGAGTAAGGTAATGTGTGTGTTGCAGATTGTGACCGGAGGATCATTCACCTTTGCCAATGAGAGGAACTCCAGCAGACTACTGGTACGATAAAAAAATAATTTCAAGAGATTTTGAGTAAACCAACCCCTGACTTGAGTCAGAATGTGTCTGTCATATCATATTATCTAAGAATACAAATATTTGTTGTCTGCCATGTCTATCGTATACAACACTTTATTCCATTAAAATGGGTCTGTAACTACAGTTTATTATGTATTATTGTTATATGCTAAGCCTTTTAGTCAGCCACCCCAAGCCTAAAAACAATAATAACAATAAAATAATACACAGTGTTCACAGTGATTTCATGTTCAAGTCTGCTTCTGTATAATCAGTGTATGTGTGTAAGTGCACAGTAATGGAACTTGACTGTCCTCCTCCACAGCTTCGGGGTTGTGCGTGCAGTAACCTGGTTGGCCTGTTGGGGACACTGATGGCCTTCTGCTTCTACTGCTACAGCCTCAACAATTTCTCCGACACACGAATCAGTGTGAAATCATTCACAGGACAGGCCACTACGATTGTCCCAAGGAATGGCTGGCGGTCAGTGTGCTGCTATCAAACTTGTATTTTTGTTCTTTACTTGACCAAAAAGAAGACAAAAGACCCAAACCGATAGTAGGGAGAACTGGGATGTATGTTCTCGCCGCAGCGCACCCGACCCACTGATTGGAAAAAAACGCGTCTGATCCAAAAGGTCGCTGTATGACTGAGTGGTGGGTGATGTGGAAAAGACAAAAACAGGAAAGCTGAGGGTGAGTTCATATCCCCGCCCCCTTAACAAAGCTATACAGAGACCCCACTGTCCATTCCCCACTAAAACTAGCTGGGAACCAGGGAGAGGGGAATAAAGCAATAAAGCAAAACAAAGACAAAAGCGACACCTGCGTCTCTCAGGTGAGCTATTTTGGACGACATTAAGCCATTAAGCCCGACCCTAACAGAGTCAAGGCAACTAAAGAAATGTCTCCCCCCATGCAGAAAAGCAGAGCTGTAGACCATACAAACTCACCCACCCCTCCACGTTTGCACCCAGACTTTCAGAGACAAATTGCCTCGCTAAGACAACTGTTGAAAGAGAACAGAGAATTCTTGCGGGACTCAGTTTGCGTATCGTCAGAACCGGTCTACTGACAATGCAGTGAACAACGTCATCCACACAACCCTCACGCACTTAGAGGGCAAGGACACCTCCGCAAGACTCTTCATAGACCTCAGCTTTCAATACAGTCCCATCCCACACAAACTCTCAGTAAAACTCCTCACTCTGGGTCGGACACCTGCCCTCGGCAACGGGGTGCTGAACTTCCTCTCACCCCAATCAATCAGAGTTGGCCATCGCACCTCCAGCACAAGAACTGTGAGCACAGGAACCCCCCAGGGCTGTGTACCGAGCCCCCTGCTGTAGACCCTCTTCACATACGACTGTGTGGCCTCCCAGGAAAACACCAGTATCAAGCGTGCTGATGATACCACGGTCATTGGAATGATCACTGGTGGAGCCGAGGCAGCGTACAGAAGAGAGGTGGAGGAGCTTTTGGCCTGGTGTCAAAATAACAAGCTCTCGGTGGGAAGATCTGAATATTTACAATACATGAAAAACACAGAAATCCTCTCATCTTGAGTTTAGGCTCTTACTGCAGCAGGTGGGCAACATTTGGAAAACAACCCCCTTCTGATGGCACGATGTAAAGATTGTGACGCCAACCCGTGTGAAACCAAACGCCGTTGGCCCTAACGACACTACAGCTGAATGGGGATTGGGTTAGAGGCATGGATGCATTTTAGATGACTGCAGTTGAGTCACTTTGGAGCAGATACCTGTATTTAAATAAATGTATGTGTTTCATTGTCTCCTGCAGGCCTACATCTGGAGTGTGACGCTGCTGCTGCTGCTCTATGACATCGGGGCCGTGGTCATGCACTCGCTCCTGACTGTCTCCGCCCTCAAAGCACTCAAAACAGACTGATACGCACACACAGGACACCTACAGGAGGCATTCCACAGCCACTTTCCACTTTTTAAACCACAGAATTGTCCTGATGAAAGTGCTAATCCAGCAGATGGTTTGGTTTTAGTGGATTTGCCGACATTTGGTATAATGTAAAAAAAGGCAGCAAACTTACTTCCCAAAATAAATGGAAAGTTATGAAAGGTTTCCAAAATCAATCATCAATCCCAGGACTGCTCATGAGCTCCACCAACACCCAAAGAAAATAGGAAACGTGAATTAGCTTTTGGGCAGAAGCCACCTGTTTAATGAGATGACAAATATTCTACCAAACACTGAGAGCAAAGCCACAGTCAGTCGATTGGACAGTATCAACTCGTTGCAGATGCACTGTAAAACTGTAAAAAACTGATTATGATCTTAAAATCATGATATATGATATATATATATATATACATATATATATACATCCCACCTGATGGTTGCAGCAGAACTCCCATAGGCCGATTGCCCTGACGGGGGCCGAGGGTGGTTGAAAAAGAGAAAAGGACAGGAGTCGGGGAGCTGAGAAGGCGACGTTACTGAGGAGGAACATGGAACCATGAGGCATCACAAATATATATATATATATATAATATATATATATATTATATATATATATATATATATATAATATATATATATATATTATATATATATATATTTTTTTTTTTTTGATTTGCTGGCCCTTTTCAAATATTTGAAAAATGTAAACTAGATCTAAAGCCATGAATTAATCAACAATGCAGAAAGAAATTGTGTGACCTTTCTGTATAAGGCAGCTTTTTTAATGATAAATGTATTATGTATTAATAGCTGTAATTCCACCGGATTAAACTGGAGGCTCCGCTTGTTGTTTACCGGTTGCCATGGGAAATCGTGGTATCTGAGCTCCATTTCTCATGACATCTTTCATTTACCATGCATGGGCCAAAATCAAACTCCTATCAGATGTTCTGTTCGGGGTGGGTACACCCAGCTCCACATATTACATGTGCTCTATCCCAATCAGTGTCTGCATTACAAACTGTAAATAAACAACCCAAAGTCTGACAGTCATGAGGCGGTCGTCTTAACTCAGCATCAAGACTGGAAGCAGGAGGAAACAACTAGATAAATTAAAGGTTAAAAAAAAAATTACCCGGCCCCAAAAGCCCCTCTAAATATCACCAACTCCCCCAACAAACATTGCTCCATTTCTGTTCGTCTGAATGAAAGAAACGGAATACAGCTATTTACATGCGACTGTGGGTGAGTGGGGAGCACGGTCGTACTCCAATCAGAGGGTTGTGGGTTCGATCCCAGGCCCGGCTAACCCGCATGTCGTTGTGTCCTTGGGCAAGACACTTAACCCAACATTGCTCCTGCAGCTGCGACTACAGTGTGTGAATGGTAGTTACTGATGGGCAGGTGTCACTGTGTGTGGTTCTCCTGTCATCAGTGTATGAATGGGTGAATGATGTCGTGTAGTGTTAAAGCGCTTTGAGTGGTCGGAAGACTAGAAAAGCGCTATACAAGTACAGTCCATTTACTATTTACATGTACTTCCATTCGTTATCATAGACTCCAACACATAGTCCCCCAGAGGCTTCTGAGGAGGCCCAGTCCCAGCCTCACGGACGCCCTCCGACCCATCAGGGTTTACCTCCGTCCATGTTGAGCTTTCCGGTCAGCTTCACATGCTCACTTTGCTCAATTACCCACAAGTCATTGCAGTGAAGTTGAACATTGAAAGCACAGTAACATGTAACAAAAGGTTAACAAAGAGCACAGCTCATGTGAGTTCAGTTCATATTTTTTCATCATATCAGTTAAGGGGATGAGGGTGAAGACATCACCTCATCCAAAGATGGATGTGACCGGTGAACAGGTGGAGCTGATCAGGCCGGGGAAAGGTGATCACAATCAACACAAGGGCAGGAAGTGAGCTGATCAGAAACGAGAGAGAGGTGAACAAAATAAAACAGGAAACCCAACAATGAGGTGTGAAAAGAAGGAAATCATCCAGTGAGATGCTGCATGCGGTTCTGTTCCTCCCAGTTGATGCTGCGTCCTGCCGCGAATATCTGAACGAAATAATACAAACGATTATCAATCATAGAAAAACCAGGAGCGCTGAGATTGGTACAATGTTTTATCCAAGCTTCAACCAGCAGGATGTCTACCACGTGCTGCACAGAAGCCTCATCATCGGTCCTCACTGAGCACGAGTCTCTCATAGAGGTCACCGAGGCCGAAGAAGAGGCACTGAGTGACGTATGTGCCAGTTGGGAGAATAGAAAGTAGTACGTAAAGATGTGCAAATGGGAATTTGAAGTTTGCGTTTCCATTTCAGTGGGGAAACAGTCTGAGAATTACGGTCGTAGTCGCATTTGCAACACTGTAAAACAGCAATAACAGCAAGTCACGCCTCCAAGCTCGGTGTCACTCTATATGTTCCATATTCTCTCTGCATCATCTCTAAAATATGGACTCGTTTGTCAAGGAAGCCGTGACGAGCCGCTCCTTCCGCACGGCAAGGTGACAGATGTTCGGACCGTACCGTCACATAGGGGGTTCCCTTGTATCAGCTGAGAGGAATCCACCATTACCCTGCGACACGGGGGGGCACCGGAGGCCCGACGGGCCCGGTTCAATCCAAATGCTCAAAAATATGTTGGTAAATAGTGTGTATTTATAACGTATTTTACTATGAACTGGGATCTTGTTTCGGTTCAACTGTGACGTTTCAAAATAGTTTAATTGAATCCAAACACCCCCGCAAAACGCCCAACGTGGATCGTTCCTAAGATGGCGGCGGTTTCTGTCAGTCAGGAGTGAAACTTTGCTATTTCAGTGAATATTTTGTTGTTTTTTGACCCGTTTATTGGGCCTAAGTCGTCTGATTATCGAAGTTGGCATTGGCTGAACACGGAGGCGTTTGGTGGTAGCCGTCGGGACCGAGCGGCGTCGTTGTGGGATCCGTTTTTCACCACTAACTCGCTGGGTTTCCTCGAAGTTGACGGTGGCTTGATGCCTGACATTGCGGTCGAACCGACTGTTGTCGTCTCTGGATTCGGTCGACGCGGAACCGACCGGTGAGATTGGACTCGGCCGGGGTAAGCTGGTTAGCGCGGCGGTCAAAGTGCGTCGAAAACGCCTCCCTAGCTTTCGGTTCGGCTGGATTCCTGCGGGTCCCCCGGTCGCACATCCCGTGGACGTGTCACGTCACCTGCCGGCTGAGACACACCGCTGGTGTTGGATGTCACCGCCAGTCCGCGTCGGGCTCTACTGGGTTCGCTAGCGTCGCGTGAGTACCGTGTCCGGTGACCCGTCGTGTTCTGCTCCGTGGCCTGCAGTCGCTTCACTCGGCAGGAATAATGTAACGTTAAACAACTCTAATTAACTGTAGAAAACCGTTTTCTATCGCTACTATGAACCGGACGTGTCTAGTTCGGTCACATACCACTGGTTGGTATTTTATGAAGGGAGTGGCTGCTGGTAACATGTTTGTTTGGACTTTATTTGTTCACAATGGCGCAATAAGTCGGTGACTACCAATGCTCTGCGCTGTCCGTGGTGGCATTTAAGAAGCGGAGACCGGGCCTTTCTCACTGTCCACTTTATGTTTCTAAACATTGTTTTTAACTCTCATTTCCTGGTTCCCTTGTGACAGACCGCCATCCTGGCAAATCAAATGGAGAAGCTCCAGGACCTGAGCCAATCAGAGCTCCAGGAGCTGCTGGACAGCCCAGAGAGGGTGGAGTCTATGGCGCTGGAGTCTGACGAGGTATGAATGATGCTTCACTTTCCATTTGGTCTCCATTTGTGCACTTCAGCATGTTTCATCTTTTCCATAAGGCTGACGTAGGGAAGTTTTGATGTTACTAGTCCTTTCAGGGTGTTTTGTTTTGTATATGTATATTTTGACTGTGGGTTAAATCAAATGAAATGATGAATCAAATAATGCCAATCAAATTTATGTCTTGTTTGTAGCTTATTGTACAGTCCTGGTGGGGGAAGGGAGTAGTTCTTTCCTTCCTTTTAACCAAAGAGGAGATCTGATCATTTAGCAAAGCTCCTATTGTACCTCCACTTTATTCCTACAACTCTTTATTTTGCCATCATACTATTTGCTTAAACCCTCCGTTTCAGGCTCAGTGTTTTTATGTCAATACAACTCTTACATCGTATTACAACAAAACAGTGTCCAGTCTGCCTGAGGCCCGCTGTGTTGGTTGAACAAGCTGCAATTATGTCTCATCGGCTAAAATTTAGGTGGTTATAATTATACTGAACTTCAATTTTTTTTGATTTTCTTAAAAGCTTGTGCGGAAGAAGGTGCTACCAACATGGAGCATACACATTTGCACACAAATACGTTTCTGAACGTACTGAAAAAGCACCAGCTTTAATCTGAAAGCAGGTCTGTAATTGGAAAATATCTACGCTAAATTCACTTCACAAAGGGTAGTGAAACCTTTAAGTTCATTCCATTCAGTTAATAATCTGTTCATTTTTATTGCGATTCGAGATGTTAAAACTGCCCCTTGTTACGTATCCCCCTAGGTCCCCTAGTGCATATCTGACTCTGACCCAAATTAATTCAGTGAGTTAATGTACAACATCATTAACATCATCAGACTTCCCTCTGCTCACGTCTGTCACACAGACTGAAGTGAGGACAGAGCAGCTGCTTTACTTTGTAGAGGAAAGTGGGATCAGTGTAAACAACATTCAAGTTGAAATGCAAAAGAACAAGCCGAGGTCGTGGGGCGGTGAGAAGGTGTTATATGAGTAGTGGAGTCCCCGCTGTGGGGCGACTATACAAGAGAGACGGGAAGCCTCACCCAGACTCACGTGCTTAAGTTCTTACTGATTTACCCAGACAAAAGAGATACAAGAGGCCTCTCTTTGCGTTGGTTTTTGGGGTCTGGGCGGAGCGGCGCGGCCGTGACGTGTAACAGTTTGACTCCATTGTGCTTTTGTCTTGTATAAATCACCTAGAACTGGTCAAATTTGGATTAAAATCCCAGAGTAATTAAAACCAGAGCCCCGAACCACACCTCAGGCTTTGGGGTCTACAGGGCACCTTCAGGTTTAACCCTAGGCTCTCGGTCCTACAATGGGGGCTCCCTTCGGAGTAGGGTACATCGCCATGGGACAGCCCTTTTGGGTTTGAGGCGGGTTGAACTTGCTTGGAAGTACAGGCCTCAGCTTTGTAGTTCGTACTTCTCTGTGATGAACACAGCGAACATGTGTACTGAAGAGAAGGCCATACTAATCCACTAAATGGCTCTAATGTAAAGTCTGATGCCCGTTTCCCCCCCTTAGATCCAGAATATTCAGCTGGAGAGAGAAATGGCACTAGCATCAAATCGCAGTCTGGCTGAGCAAAACCTGGACGTGAAGCCTCGCCTGGAGTCAGAGAAGGAGGCACTGGTGGAGAGATATTCCCAGCTGGAGGCCATCCGAGAAACCTACAGACAACACTGCTCCCTGAGAGGTAGGAGGGAGGGACGAGGGGGGAGACACTCTGCTGTCAGTCTGAACTAACCACAAACACGCTGCTGTCCATCGGTTACTGTCATATTTCTTTAAAAAGAAGACCGCATGGAATACAGATTTGTAATATGTGTAAGGATTCCCCTCTGCCAAAGTCATGTGTAATACTGAGGCAGTGTCTTTAAGGGGCGGGGCCTGAACAAGTGTCCCAGACAAACACTGCTTGTCTTCTCCTGTGTTCAGTATGTGCTGTGCTTGTGTCTGTCCCCTCCGTCAATGTTGTCCTCGTTCTCAGATGGGATGGTGGGTCAGGTGTCCCCAGAGGCCCTGTTCTCCAGACTACAGACAGAGGGGAGCAAAACGGAGGAAGAGTCTGAGGTCAGAACACACACACACACACACACACACACACACACAGTGTGGAATGATGCATGCTTATGCTCAGGCGTCACTGTGTCCATCACATCACTGATGTCTCTAGGCAGTGAAACAATGGCTGAGCGGTTTTCTAGAAACCCATTCAGCGGCTCTTTGTCCCATGAAGGAGAAATGTGCAAATAAACAGAAAAACACAGATTTCAGCTGTGGTGACAAGAAATACAGTTTGTACAGTTTATGTTTTCATCTATTTCTTCAGGCTTTTTGCAGCACTTTATTCTATTTTCTGATAAATGATCTTTGTATGTTTACGAGTTAGAACTGTTTTTGAAGCTGTAGCACTTCTCAAATAGAATCATTTCAGGCCGTTTTATCTGGGAATCGCTACTCAACGGTTAGGTTCTTTATGGAAACTCTTGTGTGTCATAGAACGTTGGCCTCGGTCAGCCAGCGTAAAGCACTGTACAGGCGTATGTGCTTAGACAAAAATAATGTCTGCTCTTCCTTTGGCCCCTGGTCCCTTCGTAAGGCTTTTAAGATCTTCTACAAAGTGCCGCACGATGCACAGATCCCAAGTAGACCTCCCCTGGGTCGGGTACTGGGGCTCTGTGCTCGCCAGTAAGTCGCCGGTTGTGTGTCTCTGCCTGCAGGCTCTAGCTGATGAGTTTCTGGAGGGCTCTCTGTCACTGGACCCCTTCCTCGATCGCTTCCTCTCCCTGCGATCCCTCGCTCACAAAAGACGGGTGCGGATAGAGAAGCTCCAGGAGATCCTACGACAGAGGAGCGAGGGGAACCCCAACACTATGACATCATCGGCGGGCGCCAACGAGGACCCCGCTACCACCCCCTCCCCGTGGAATCAACCGACGACAACGGCAGCGGCGACAAATCCTCAGCTGGCAAACTCCACACCCCAGCCGTCCGGCTACCAAAACGCCCCGCAGCCGGCCACCTCGTCTGCAGGGGGCCTCCCCCCCGGCCTCCCCCACGGTCTCCCCTATAGCCCGTACCCTGCCTCCCCCCCCAACCATGCCCCCGCAGCGGCAACAGGCTCCGTCCCGGGCAACGCCCCCTCACAGTACCCTCCGTACCCGGTTTCCGGCTCACCTTTCGCCCCAGCAGGAAGCTACTCCGGCCCCAGGCCCGCTTTTGGGCCTCCGTCTTCAGCCGCCTGCCCCTACCCAACCCCGCCCTCCTTTCCTACCCCACACCCCGGCTCTGCATTCGGCCAGTACACCCCGAGCCAGCCCCAGAGCGGCCCCGTGCCCTACCCGGCCTCCTACAGCTACGGCGGCTACAGCTACCCGGCCAGGCCGGCGTATTCCAACCCTCAGTCGCCAACAGGGAGACCCATCTACAGACCGGGATACGGAGTTCCACAGCCGTACTCATGAAAGCACCGCGGCTCCTCCGTCTCAATTCTTCCTCTCAAATCTTCCCTCTCTGGCTCTCTCTCCTCCAGTCCGTCTCCCCCTTCGTTTCTGGTCTTCTGAGGTCTCTCGCTTTACTTATCTTTGTTGCACTATTTCTCTCTTTCTCTAAATATCGGTCTGACGACCTCTCCGGCTTACTCTCTTTTTGTTTCTGTCTCTGTCCCCCCCCCCCGACGACCCACCAACTCCCGCACACTAGTCTCAGGTTGTTGTGTTTAAGTGTTAAAACACTTGTATCTTGCCCCTCACCCTCTCACTCTTCCCCTCTTCCATTTCTTCTGTGTGTGTGTTGCTATTTGGCAATCAGAACGTCCTCATAAGCACACAAGTGCACTCCACCTTTTGACACATGCATGTCTCTGTAACACACCCCCCTCCCCCCCGTGTCCAGTGGCTGTCTGTCTATCTTCATTATTACTCATGAGCACAATGTGCGTAGGGAGCGACTGGTGATGGAAGTGACCCGTTGAGTCACACGATGCAACAGAGCTGGTACAGTCGGTGAGTTTAGGATGCACCACGGCGTCGGCAGTAGCTGCTGGTCCATCAGCTCTTCCAGGCCCTCCCATCCGTCGTTATGCATATGCAGGGTCTGTAGACATCGGGCAAACAAACCCACTGCCCCCTTATCCCCCCCCTCCCCGACTTATTTCTGTCAACCAAAGATCCCAGCAGCTGTGCTGTTGGTTTGGCTCGCTGTGCTAGTTGGTGAGCTACTAGCATCGTAGCTAACCGCTAACATGCTAACGACGCTAGTGAACCAAGGGTCTTCTGGTATATTTTCCCCTCTTAAATTTTCCCCAGATGTGTCGCTGAAGAAGGAAGACCGTTCCTTTCTTTGTCCTTTTGGGGCAGTTCCTTGAGTGCTCGGACGTGGACGGCGTGAACACGTGCTCGCAGGGTCGCGTTGGTGTCCTCTGTGAAAGACGTGCCTCTCACTGATGAACCCACGGCGTCCTGGTCTGCTGCCGGGTGGGTCTGTAAGGAACCGTTCCTTCAGTCTGCAGGGAATTCAAACGTACCGCGCTCCCCACAACGAGCCTCCTCTTCAGCTGTTAGCCTGGTATCTCATTCACAGAAACGAATCCCACACGGCTAGCAAGGCCAGACAGGAAGCGTAGTACAGTGGGATGTCTATAAAGCATTACTACAGCGTGAGTTAGTCAGCTAGCTAGCTAGCTAGAGTTAGTCAGCTAGCTAGCTAGCTAGCTAGCTGACTTAAGACCCAGTTTACCCACCAGACCACCGGGTCTGTGTGGGGCAACCACCCGGTCTGTTTATCAACACATGCAAAGTGAACCCCGTGGGGGTCCGGGGGGCCGTGAGGGGGGTCAGCCTGTCGTTCAGTTTGAGCTCTACGGACTTTCACTTCTTTGTAACACTTCTGTGTCCTCATGCTTTCCTCCTGTCCTCCTCCTCTCCATCACTCTCCTCTTGTCATCTGCTCGTTGAATATGAACTGATGCTTGACAATGATAACCAGAAGAAAATAGTTTTATTTCTATAAGTTCACGCTTTCCGTGAGAATACATGTGGTGTGTGTATAGTTTAATGGAGTGAAAATATAAAGTTGGAGCTCAGTTCTGTGTCAATTTAATCAATACAAATAATATCATTGGAATTGAAATGTAGGTAATTGATGAAGGCTCATTATGGATCTTTTAGAGGTACATGCCACCTCTCTAAATTTGTATTACACTGTGGAATAAACATGATGCTGTACTATCTCATGAAATCGTTAACTGTCACATTATTATGATTTGTCATCATAATTTGTCTTTTAACATCTTCTCTCAGCCACTTCAGATCGTTCATAATCGTTATAAATATACAGTTACTGTAGGACCCCCAATACAGACCTCAAACTCCCAGCTCACAAATAAACTATTGGAGGGAATTCAAGTTATTATCAAGTTAGCAAATTAAATTGTGCTCCCGCCTCTAAAATGCTGCACAGCTATTGACATGAAGCGAGGGAGTCTCTGAAGAGGCCTCTGCAGATGGGCCCTGAGCTGAAAGGTCCTCCTGGAATCATAAAGTCATCGGGTTGGACATATATTCCTTCTCTCTGTGTCAGGAGCTTGTACATGGGTTTAGTCGGTGCCCGAGCACATCAGTCACACACTCGGTGCTTTAGTACAACTTCTTGGAATATGAGGTGTGTTTGGAATTTGGAAAATCTCGTTTCAAATCCCAACACTTGATCATTGAGCAGCTTTTCTTCACATAAAACTGAAGCGAAGACAACACACACACAGGTTTTGGAGAAACATGGTTGGGAATTAGATTTTCTACTAAAAGTTTAGATTTGGACACGCTGGATCCAAAATTCACAGAGACAAATAAATCCATGCACAAGCATCAATGGATTAGAAACAATACCATTCATCCTAAATATGCTCCAAATAATATCCTCTAAAATGCGTAAATGATTCGTTAAATATGAATAAGACCGTGGTGCAGTGCCACGGACCCCCCGTGATGTGGATGAGCAGCTCCAGCTGGTCCGAGCGCTTCTGGAGTCGTGCTGTCAGTCAGTCGTCAGCGCTCAGCCTGTGAGAAGCTCTTGATCTGCGATGAAGAGTAAAGGCCAGCTGGCGCTCTGCACACACAGGACTTCTGTATCACCTGTGGTTCAGTGAGTTCATCCCAGACCAGTGTGGTTCTGCACTGCACTTCAGACTCTATTCACCTGGAAGAAAGGGAGGATTCTAGCGGGTCGGTACCGGGGAGGAAGAATGGCAGTATTTTAGAAGCCACAAATGTGATGTTTTAAAACCGTGTAGAAGGAAATTATATTTAGATGGGTTTATCTATACTGTAAATAAAAGTCAGGAATTAATGGATGTCAAGGAGAACTGCTGATTATTAAAAATACTCTTCCTTTTTTTTTTTTTGGGACTGTGACCAATTAAACAGAAGTTGATCCAAAACAAAGAAGTCTGAATCATCATTTCAATAGTCGTTCCTTCAACGTCGCCCAATGAGAAGCAATCAAAATGCTCTCATCTCAATCTGGCATCCTTTAAGGAATGATTTGTATGAATATGAAATTGTATATCCCGGCGCTAACTCGTGTGAAACGCTTAAATGACCCAGCAGTTCTGTATTTTATTCAATGCTCTGCCGGCACGATGGAGCTGTAGCCCTGGTTGCTTCTACATCTGACAAATTAAGATCAACGGAAATCAAGATCCAACGGAAGAATACAAGGCGCAGGGAACTTTGAGGTGCGTAAACGCCACTTAGAGGTGCATGAACGCTTTTTATAGGTGCGTAAACGCTATTTCCAAAATTCCAGTGGTGCGTAAACGGCGTTTATCCTCCACTACAGCCCTGGCTTCATCCAAAGTGGGATGGATGCCGTCCCTCCTGATCAGACCGGGCTCTCCCCAAAACGTCTTCCAGTGATCAACGAAGGCCACATTATTTACTGGGAACCACCTCGACAACCAGCGGCGGGATGACGACATGCGGCTCTGATCAAGAGAAAACTACATGCAACATCGTCATGGTCGTAGTTTCTTGTGTATTTGTAGTGCGTCTTTTGTCTGAAAGCTTTATATCGTAATTATTTATGTATTTATGTGGATCAAAACTGATGAAAGGTGCAGCTGATCTAAACTATTTACATTTGAGGCTACACGCTACCTAACAATGCATCATAGTTTAAGAGTTGATTTATTCTTTGAATTTGCAAAGTAGAATTACTAATTAGTATCTCCAAATAAAAGTGAGAGATGATATTAAAAGTATAAAGTTATGCTGTGTCGAGTAGCCAATGACTTTCTATGACTATTAGAACAGGAACAAAACGCCGCTGATAAGAACACAAAGACCTTCATAGACGAGGACCACGTTACTGCATCTCACTTTCAACCCTTCAACTCTTTGGACATTAGAACATAACATTATGAATAACACATTTTTGGTGAATTAGAAAAATGTGTAGATGTAAATAGAAGAAGTGCTAAACACCATCCATCCATCGTCAAACCGCTTATCCTGCACACAGGGTCGCGGGGGGGCTGGAGTCCATCCCAGCCAACTTCGGGCAATAGACAGGGTACACCCTGGATTGGTCGCCAGCCAATCGCAGGGCAACACAGAGACACACAACCAATCACACTCACATTCACACATCTACGGGCAATTTAAAGTCCCCAATCAACCTGATCCCCAGAGCATGTCTTTGGACTGTGGGAGGAAGCCGGAGAACCCGGAGAGAACCCACGCAGACACGGGGAGAACATGCAGACTCCACACAGAAAGGCCACTGGGAATCAAACCCAGGACCTTCTTGCTGTGAGGCAACAGTGCTAACGACCACGCCACCGTGCCGCCCAGTGCTAAACACCTAAAAGGGAAATGTTTAACATTTTAATTTATATATTTTGTTTTATTTATAAGTGTGACAGAAGACTTGCTGTAGAACAGAATATTGGCTTTGTTGTTGATCACCAAGATGAATCTCGCAGCCTTTGAACCCAGTTTGAGACCCACACGTCCACGCAAGGTGTCCTCGCCACTAACATGTCTCCTTTTTTTCATTTTAACAATCTGTCTGAATTGAGGGAAAGTAATCCCGGCCCAGGATTGTCCCTGATGTTTAAAGTGAGGTCATAGGCTGTTAGATAAGGGCTATGAATATGAATATTTGCCGGTCGTTATCTTTGAGCAGCTTCCTCCCCAACAAGGAAACACTGAGCCGAGAGGAGGGGGACGGAAAAGACGGAGGGACTTTTGGTGTCTGAGACTCCGTAAACCAAAGGCGGAGAGTGACAGAAAACGAGAGTGAACTAAACTAAAACACCATTTTATGTAAAAATATGACACATTGTAGAAGATTTACTTTCAGACCCTTTGTTTTTTCCATTGCTTATTAAAATACATGAATATGATTTTTCATACTGTAAACATACCTCAATTCACATTAATTAAATTAATCTGAAGCAATACATTTAAAAATACAGTACAAATGTGACAATCCATAAATGCTCTTTTAAATTCAAAGTAAAATTTTTAGATTAATTTCACTAAGTAACCCTATTTTTGAGTCCTTCGTGTGTAACAAGTCGCCCGTGTCACCCAGCAGACGCTCGTCACAAGTCCACGAAGCGGAGAGTCACGGAACTCTTCCTCCTACCTCTTCCTCCTTCCTCGCCTCTTTTCGCCATTTCTTATTTTCCCCACCCCTTTATGCCTCTCTTCTGCACGCTTCCTTTGAAGAGAGGAAATCTGCAGTCTTGCACAAGCAGCAGAAACAGCAGCAGAACGGGGATGAAGTGATTCACAGTAAAGAGAGAGAGAGAGAGAGAGAGAGGCTGAGGAGTGTTACACCTCTGCACTGTTTCCTCTCTCGTGTGTTCTTCTCGATCTCATTCGTGTCGCCTGCTCTCCTCCCGTCCGTCTGTCTGTCCTCTTCTGGTTCATTGTTACTGTGATGGATCTCAGGACTGTTGTGACCTTCTCAACCCTTTTACTCGCTGTTGCTGGTAAGTGGACATTACTTTGGGGGAGGTACAAAATATTGAAAAAAAACAGCAGAACTGAGGTTTTGGTGAAGATGAGGAACTGAGGTGAAAATCCACACAATGTTAAAGTGTTTAACCAGCAGAAGGAGGCTATCACTAAGACAACTACACAAGCCCAAAGTGACTTCTATGCGTCCTGAGGCCGATCAATAAGAGGTGAAAACAAGGAGCTAAACATCTGACCAGCGTCACGTGGGGAACCTTACATTCCACTTTCTCAGATTATGGAAATGTTGCCACATAACAGCAGCTTCAATGTGCATCTCCTCATGAACACTCCCACTGAAGGGCCGGTTGTGAGTGCTCATGCTAGCCCACGATTAGCTTAATGCTAGCCAATGAAAGCCTGCCGCTAGTCGACTGTAATGTTAATTGTGACTGAACGTGTTCCCGTGTGGGGCTCCCACTCTACATTTACCTGCAGAAATATGATCACATCACAACATGTTATGGGCGGGATTCATTATCATCATAACAGCCCCGAGGCATTTGTAAAGCACCTCTGGCTCCGAAGTTTAGGATGCGATGGTCGTGGTGTCCACGTGAACCGTGAACATTGCTCCTCAGTTTTGGGGACCTTGGCAGACATGAGGGCCTGTGGATCAGACGGCGCCGAGCGTTGCCACTCGGCACTCGACCAATGGCAATGAAAGGTCACAGGACCGTCGGCGTGCATCACACCTGAGCTTCTCCTGCTGAGAAAGGTCAACTTGTCTGCTGTGAAAACGGGATTTAGAGCGTGAACTACTAATCCGTGGGCACGCTTCGATGCGCTGCATCAGAACGTGTGCCAGCCCGTCTTTCAGCTGCACGACTTGCAACATCAAATCTGAGCATGCTGTGTACCAGACTGTCTATCAGGGGGACGTGGATAAAATGATGGTCACCGTGACAACAAGTCTACATTCCCATTGACCTCAGTGCTGTGCCATGACATCTGAATCTGACATCATCATCAAACTCAGTAAATCATCATCACTGCTTTATAAAACAACATGTTCCAACAGTTGTGTTTTTCCTCATATCGCATTTCCGTCTGTGCTTCTGTTCAAATGGGCGGTTTGGGCCCCGTCGTCGTGGAGACAGCTGCTCATCAGCTGCTACGAGTGAATCCCTTTGACAGCAAAGGACACAGTGATGATATAGTGTTCAACTAGATTACAGTAAAGGGACTTGAGAAAGTATCTCACAGTTAACTTGGTTTGTTTGTTTAATTTAATTATTCAATCTTTATATGAAGCAATATAATTGAGAATTGAGCCTTGCTTTTTGACTTAAATGGAAACTCAACAACGGATCCCTCTGGGACTCAATACGACAGCAAAATGTTTTCAAATGTGCTTGGGGAGTTGTGCAACTTGACCCTCACGAGTTTAATCAGATTTGTAAATGGGAAATAAAATCTCCAAATGTGTTTGTCAGCAAAATAACAAAATTACTCAAAATGCGTACGTTAATATCATAAAATACTTTGCTTTGAGAGCTGAATATACGGCATCAGTTACCACACAGCAGCTCCCGTCAGCCAGCAAATCTACACCTTTGCCAAAATAATTATTTTTACATTTTATATTTTTTCTTCATCAGATTTACAAATCTGGTTACGCTCTCACATATTTACAAATCACTACTACATTGAAGGTCTCATGATATTTGAATTACGTTGTAATAAAGCCGAGCATTTTTAAACAACTACAACCAGTACATTAAATACTCTACTAAATAAAACATATCTACTAAATAAAACCTACCATCTCAAGACATATTTGAAATAATGAAATAAAAGAAAAATGAAATAAAATAAAAATTTGAGTAACGTATTTTTGGGATAAATACACTTTGGATTCATTCTCATCAGTTAGCGAGTTTGTTACTTCACAAAAAATATATATAATTTACCTTGACGAGCTTTAGCTGCTGCACAAAACCAGTTTTTCGTTTTTTCACATTCAGATATTACATAAAAAACATGTAATGTTTAGAGATTACGTGAAATGCAGGAATAATTGAAAATATGTCAGATTTTAGTTTAGTATAACAAATTGGACAGAATGTAATTTTGAATGTACTCAAAAGAATAATTAATAGCAACAATATAATTTCCTGTGTTATATTATGAAGGGTAATTCTTTTACACAATGCGACTTTTACTTTTGATACTTTTATACTCGTAATACTGACATGCTTTTGTAATTCCCATTCAATATTTCCCAGTGAAAGATTCTGTAATTCTTTTTTCTCAGTATTTCAGCGACTCATTTAAAGGTTCTAGACTATTTTGTTATTTTGTTAGATATTAACATCACTAAAACATTTAAAACGTAGCCCTCTTTTGTTGCCAACATAAGCAAAATACGTTTCAACTTGCGTGTTTTACTTGCGTGAAGTGCAAATAGTACTTGTACTCAACTTTATAAAAAGTAATTTTGCAGTTGAGGTTTTTCATGATGATAAAATATCTCAAACATATTGAACCCTACAAGGATAACACACACACACACATTGATGAAGTGCATGGGTTAGCGTTAGGGCTAGTTACATAGTAAGTAAAGAAAATGCAACAGAGTGATTGAGGTGAGTGTCAAATGTTGAAATAAAGCTCAGCCCCAACTACTTCCAGTAATAAAAACCTACAACTTTCTTTATTCAAATGAGAAAACAGCAACTACAAGCAGTTTTCTGACGGCGGAGTAGTATGTAATCACGCAGATAGTTTCAGTTCTGTTTGCGCAGCTTTGAAATCCACGCCACTGAAACTCAGAACCGGCGGAGCTAAATAGAAAGCGGGCTGTGTGGAACACGGCGCCATAGTGACATTTAAGAAAGAGCAACGACTGTTTCTAAACCAACCAGTTTGAAAATTGTTTCTTTAGTATGAACTAAATTTCTGCATCGCCGCAAACCCGATTGGCAACATTTGCGACTGTTTGACGTTATATATTTAATATGGTTTTATATTGTTTCTTTACCGTGCTGATTAGGGTGATAATGTAAATGTGCTTAACACTATTTAATGAACTTAACTTACTCAACTAACATTAGCTCACTAACGTTTTAGAGACGCATGTCTCTTACAACCTTCCAGATAAGTATAATTATGGTATTATTACACAAAGTTTAACCAGGACAAACTCCAAATTCCCTAAACCGGCCACATGGATATTGGCTGTAACCAATGAAGGGGTCCGTTGAGTCCTGGTCAGACCTGCTGTATGTAAAGTCATCATTGGCTGGTCCGCGTACCAGAGGCGGGAGTTAAATTCTTGGAATAGTTCCAATCGCGTCATCATATCATTTGTCAATTAAACACGTCCTTTTTACTGTATGCAACAGTCATTTATTTAATAATAATGTTGATAATAATGGTAAAAATAATAATGCCACAATTTGTTACGCATCACTTTGCAGAACAACGGGATTTACGAGGCTGGAATAAACATCTCGGGACTGCAATAAAATAAAATCTGATGATTAATATATATATATATATATATATATATATATATATATATATATATATATATATATTAATATAAAAAATATATAATATAAAAATCATGGGCGTAACCTCGAAAGAATGAGACATGTTGGGAGTAAAATAATGTGCTTACATTAAAGCTAAAGTGTGACACTTAAAATGATTGAAAGTCTGTTACATTCATGCAAAAGAGTTTGTCTGCAAGAGTTGTGGCGCGCCGACAACACCAGAAGAAGGAAGACTTCTGATTGCACAGCAGACTTTTGCTTTTAACTCACAGATGTAGATCCACTGGATTGAATCGGTTTCAGGCTCCATGTTCATACGACGGCACGGATCAAGATCATCAATCATTCTGTGAGTCGGCATGTCGTCCTGCCAGCAGCTGCTTAGTCGCTTTTATGAAACAGTTGCATCAGCCTTGACTTTAGGACTGAAGCGGACTATGACGGGAGGTACAAACCTTGTGTCTGCTAGTTCCTGCAAAAGGTGGAAATCACAGATTATTAGTGTCATTTTGACAACATGGTATGTCATTTCCTACAACAGCTGCTCACTGTAGTTCTTACCTAAATGTGAGGAAATACAGTATGCACTCTGAGTGATGGGTTACTCCACGGGGAGTATTCGTGGCAGCATTTTGCGTGTACATGTGGGATTGAGTGAAAATAATCTACAGTCCTTGTGTTGATGGTGACGAGGTAAAATCGTTTGGACAACATTAGAGCTGAATGGCACAGATCAGGAGACGTTTGTTCCTGAGGTTCTCCACGTTTCCGCACTCTCGCTGGAAAGGACCACCTTCTCCACATCTACAGCAAAATACATCGGCGGTTTGGAAGATCTCTCCTTTCCACGTGCACGTGCGTTTTCATTGGTTCTCCGCGTGTATCTTTGTTGCGATGCACTTTGTGAAGCAGCCGCAGGGCCAGCAAGTGAGCGTGCAATCGATGGGCCGCATGCAATAGCTTTTCTGGTGTGAGTAAGTGAGTCGACGGTTTCTCACCTCCGCGCTGGAATGTGTTACGAAACTTCACCATGAGGTCAGCAGCACTGTCTGTGGTTCCAAAAGATATTTTGGATGATGGTACATCCAAAAATAAAAATAAAATGAATAGAACCTTTCAGAGAGATGGCATGAAATAGAAATATTATTAATATATAATATTATTAACAGTGAAGCATGTCGTTTATTGACTTATTTTTGACATGTTCCTCTGGAAGGCCACACGAGGTTCGTCATCCAACTAATTCCAATTATATATTTCAATCAAAGTCAAAGGGTGTTTATTCGTGACGAAACAGAGTGGTCACCAATTGACTCACATAAAGATGATATTGGATCGAATAGACCCCTAAAGTGTGTCGCCCGCCAGCCTGGAACCAGTTAGCTATAACGTGAGATCTCTCGCCTGCATCCGGTTATTTAAGTCCGCCTTGTTTTCACACGCCCATTCAACACATTCAGCTCAGGCATTGGCTGAGACCTTACAACCGTGATTACCTTATATGGTGTTTCAGCAGCCGGCTTCCTGTGCTTTCAACTATTGCGCTACAGGTGGAATAACTAAGGGGAATAACAGTTTAGCGTGGAATTCTTTCACTATTTGGTTTGTCTGATCCATAATCCAGTAAGATGCGAGATCAGATGTGACATTTCATTTTTACGTAATGGTGGACTGAGTGATGCTCCTCTCAGCGTGAAACGGATCTTTTGGACGTGTGATCTCCAGACTAACTGTTCCTCGTCTTCCCACACAGAACAAACAAGTGCTGAGACAAACAACACTCACCCGTCGCCCTCAACCACTAAGAACGGCAGCACCAGCCGGAGCTATTCCTCCGGCCCCGTTACTCCACCATCCACTGCTAGCCCCGCCTCCAACCCCGTCAGCCCTCCGCCTGCCCCGGGTCGGCTCACGGTCAACTGGAAGGGTAAATGTGAAGGAGCAGATATCGTGATCCTCCATCACCCCTCCAGCACCACCTCAGCCGTTTGTCACGGCAGTGCAAAGAGCATCGAGAGTCTTCAGAGAATTGTGTGTGAAAACCAGGGAGGCTGTGACGACAAACGTCACGGGGACAAAGGCCCGGACTTGTCGGATGGTTCTGACGGAACAGTGAAGAGGACCGGCTGTGAGACAGTGAAGGTCCAGTGCGCAGGTTGGTCAGCCGTCAGTGTGTGAACGGATGTCCTTTCGTGGTCGGACCTCTTATGCCGCAAATGTGTACAACTAGTAAATGGCAAAAGTAGGTGGACAGCTAAGGCTCTTTGCAATACTTCTGACCACTCAATCACCCATTGACACCCATTGAAACACTGAATACACCTGCACATCAGTAACGAACATTCACAACCACTCAAACACCAATTGCAGCCTACACGAGCAATGTGGAGTCAAGTGTCTTGACCAAGGCCACGTTCAAATGAGCAGGGGATCGACCCCGTGATTGCAGGACAACCTGATCAGTTTACTGTAGGTACCACCGTGGACACTATAGTTCTGTACTCGAGGAACCAGACGACCCGGGAGGTGGACCGCTGTGATGTCTGCTGGCTCAGTTCCTTCCATAGCGTACTGTTCATGAGCAGATGAACGGGCATGTTAATGTTTAGAATAAACGGCAGAAAAAGTGGAAACTATGTATAATGTTCAGCTCAGCTGTAACTTGAAACTGACAAGAAATCCCCTTTTTTAAATGAGAAGAGCAGGCTTAGTGAGTGGGTATTAATGTAGTGTTATGGATGCCTCAGATTATGGTGCTTTTGCACGATGGATGGAGCGTTGACATTAATCTGTCAATGTATTGTTGTGTGTTCCTCCAGTTGATGAGGTCCTCCAAGACGTGCAGAGGCAACTGCAGGCCTACAAAGTGGTGACGGCGTTACTGTGCTGCGTGCTTCTGGTCCTCCTACTGATCCGCTTCACCAGACCTACTGTCAAAGTCCTGCAGAAGAGACGTGAGTACACACACACAAACAGACGCATAGGTTACATGTTGGTATGCGATCGGCGCTTACTGACCTGAAAACTCTTATATCTTCAGATTAAGACTTGTCAGATTAAAGATTATGTCCAAGAAGGGACTGTTGTATTTAAATCCAAAGGAGTCTGTCAGGCTGACCCAATGCAACAGACCGCATGGGTGTGGTGGCTCTTCGATTCTTATTTTAAATGTTGCTAAATGCTGAAGCAAGACGCCAAACGCTGCTCAAACCAGAGTGCAGACAAGAAGGAAACACAAACTTGTAAAAAAGTCTACTACCTTGATAGGAAAAGCAATGTTCATGACACCCAGCACTGACGGAAGAAGCTGATTTCAGGCCCTTGATGGGTCAGTTTGAAAAATGAATGAAATATTGTTGATATTGCTTCCTTGTACAGTTTGTCCAGCCAGGAGGAGAGGTAGGCTGCACTTTATTCTCAACATCGCAGTTGTTGCCACACAGACGCGTTCACGTGCTGACGAGCGCTCGCTGCTAATGATGACTGAGAGAAGCGTCACAGCTGCCGTTTATTTGAATCCCTCAGCAGTAGTTACAAACATATTCAGGGATTTCTTTTGCTGCGTTTTCAGTATCCGACAGGAGACAGAATCGCTGGATCGGCCCAACGCAGAGTCCCAGTGGTGAGTCGTCCCCCCCCCCCCCCCACCGTCACACACACACACTCGATAGGGGTTACCGAGGGATATGATTCGTACGTGAGTTTTCCCCGTGTCCTTCCTCATCTGTTGAATTCACAGGTCAACGTGTGGGTCAAGGCAGCAGCGTTCTCCCCTGCAGCCTTCCTTCCTTCACTAACTGACAAAACGGTTTCATCAATTCAGCCATCGCTCCTTACATAGGATACTACATTTAGATTAAAAGTATTTCAAAAACACAAACATAAAAACCCATTTTATCTGTCTTGCGTTCTTGTCCAGACAATCATGTGACTCTTTTATTCTCCGATGGTTTTTGATCAACATTGTAATGTGTGAATATTTAAGCATCCACGTCCTGCTGCCACTGCAGCACAGAATGTGGACAAATAGTCCACAATGCACAAAGCCCATGTCCCCATGTCTGATTAGTAAAAACTCGAATCACTTGTTGGGAAATAACTGAGCCTTTGTGTTTTTGTGAAACTAAGAAGTCAGGGAGCATCAAGAGAAGGACCCACACCGTGTTGGTTTGGTTCTGCAAATGTAATCTTTTATCTGCTTTGTCTCCATCAAGTGTCTTATCATCGAGGAAAAACTGCAGTTAGAAACAATGACGCAGACAGCAGGCTGTCCTACCCGGGTAACTCGAACATAAACAAACATAAACACAATCTAAAAGCAACAGGGTTGGCTCCCAGCAGTGATTCTATCGGTTTGAACCTGTCTGCTTCCCCCCCGCGTGTCGTCAATCAGCTCTGGAGCGCCTGGCAGTGTTTGACAGCGGAGAGCCGTCGTCCAATAGGAGCAGCGGCTATAACTTCTGACGTGTGCCCTCTTCTTGCATCATCATCATCATCATCATCATCATCCATATGTGGGCTAAAAATGCATTTTAACATTTGACTATTCTTGGAGCTGTTTGTAATGGGAATGTTTTATTATCCAAGATAGTAAAGTGTTTGACTCACCTCTTGACATGCGTGCAGTGGCTGTACTACTACTACTACTAACATCTAACAATAATCAGCATGTACCACCAACCATGTATAGTATTGTATCCAGACTTCATTTAGAATAAATGCCAGATCCCTACAAAAGTTTTGTTCAGATGTGATCATTTAATGGAATTGTTCTGTGGTTGTTAAGAGTATTTTTACATTTAGGTAGTTTAATAAGTTTCCTTATTCTTTGAGCATTTGTGCTAAGCTAACAAAACAATTGCGTAACACAATATTGATTAAATAAAACCTGATTCACCGATATGTTTTTATGTTTTTTTTTCAGTAAAGTTATCTATGTCGTGTTTGACCTGATTTGTTGTCTTGGAAGTAGGTGAATGGAAAAAGTTGATTTAGGCGTGACACACAGAGAGGAGGCGGAGGAGCGAATGAGCGACGAAGGTGGTTACCAAGTGCAGTAATGTGGTTTCCTCTTCCGTTGATTCAACTTCCTGTTTATGTTATTTCTGTCGTATCATTCCCCATCTATTCTATTCCAACACTCTTTCTCTTTCTTGTTGTCTTCTCGTTTTTTTTTAATCCCTCTTTAATGTTTTTTTAATCTGTTTCTTGTCTTCCCTTTAATCTCTCTCTCTGTTCTTATAAAATTAGCTCCACTTTCTCTTTTTGTGACCTGCGTGGTGAAGTCGGGCTGGAGGTTGATTGTTAATTTAAAACCATCCTCACACATCTCAGCCATCAGTGATTGGATTCCAACACAACTGGTGCTGAATACTTGAATGGTAATTTAGAAAAGGTTAGAATGTTAAAGACCTGCCAGTTCCTCTGCCCTGTCATCTGTCAGATAGTACTGGTGGTCACTCCATACATATATATCCTTCTCTCTTTGACTCTTTGTCTAATTTTATTTGAATTGTAAAACATGTGCACTGTAGTGGACTACAGGACTAAATTATGTGTAAACACACGTAAAAAAATCTTTTAGATTTAGACATTTTTGCAAGCAGGATGCAAAAATGTTTGAACCTATTCAGACAAATTTGGGTCAGCTGGATACGCAGTCAAAAAGAGAAATACAAAATTGGATGTTAGGTGCAGGAATTAAACCACAGTCCCTGACTTTGTACCTTACAAGTACCTTGCACGTCTAAAATGCTCAAAAAGTCAATCAAATATATAGGATCACCTCCATTCAGTCAAGGCAAGGGATGGGAGAAAATGACTCAACCTTTTTGATTGAGTATAGGTGTGGCAGATATAATTTGCAAAATGAACTTACTGAATATGTCTCTGCATGGCAAAGACACCAGCATTTATACTTGTATGACAAGCTGCTCAGGTACGTGAAGACAGCAAAGCTGTGGAAAAGCGACTCTGCAAAAACCTCTGCTTCCATCGGGTGGGTCATTTATCTCAAATGAGGTTGTGGACTGAGCTCAACGTGGTACATTTGACCAACTTGATTCATTATTTTCATGCCTATTCTGCTGATATGCAGGAGGATTATGCACAGCTGTATCTGTGGCCTCCAAATGAGTGCACCTGGATCAAAGCAGTAGCTGGGGCTGCTTTATTGATACGTATAGGGGGCCCTATCGAGCCAAATTGCCATTAGGATGAATTGAAATCATATGAAGTAACTACATCTTTAACTCAAAATGTGTTTTCTAAGTTTAGTAACAATTGGAGCACATTTAGTCCCCCAAAAGCACATCCGTTTTGACCTTGAAGAACGTGTTCCCACGGCAACAGCGTAACACAAAACAAAATGTTTTTAATATATTTTAATTACCAAGGCCTTCAGATAAGAAAAGAAAAGAGAGCTGAGCCGGAAGGCAAAGCTCTCGATCTACCGGTCAATCTTCGTTCCTACCCTCACCTGTGGTCATGAAGGATGGGTCATGACCGAAAGAACTAGGTCACGGGTACAAGCGGCCGAAATGGGTTTCCTCAGGAGAGCGGCTGGCGTCTCCCTTAGGGATAGGGTGAGAAGCTCAGCCATTCGCGAGGAGCTCGGAGTAGAGCCGCTGCTCCTTTGCGTCGAAAGGAGCCAGTTGAGGTGGTTTGGGCATCTGGTGAGGATGCCCCCTGGGCGCCTCCCTAGGGAGGTGTTTCAGGCACGGCCAGCTGGGAAGAGGCCCCGGGAAAGACCCAGGACTAGGTGGAGGGATTATATCTCTGCACTGGCCTGGGAACGCCTTGGGATCCCCCAGTCAGAGCTGGTAGATGTGGCCCGGGAAAGGGAAGTTTGGGGTCCTCTGGAGCTGTTGCCCCCGCGACCCGACCCCGGATAAGCAGTTGAAAATGGATGGATGGATGGATGGGCCTTCAGATTGTTTTGTCAAAGTGGGTGTGACAAAGTCCCAAAGAAGAGTTCGTCAAAGCATAGCGTCTAGAAAGTGCAAAAAATAGAGGGAATATTCACACAAAAATAATTATAACTGACTTCCTGTTTCTTTTGGTGCACGGTCCCATGAGAGTTTATTTTAAGTCTCCCTGTTGCACATATGTCCAAAAATTGGCATACATGTAGGTCAAACGGGGTGCTCGGGCTACCTCGTTGAAAACTGCCAGGGGGCGCTATAGAGGCAATTTACCACTTTTGAGCCACAACTCGACATTAGCTTTGTAATGTTATTACCTAGCACACTGACAGTTTAGGAGTTTTTAAATTTGCCAAGGCACCAAAATATCTGCTTGAACTTATGAACTCATGCCAAGACCGTGTTCTCATTGGACAAAGTTTTTCAAAACTCCCAATATTCACCGTGAACAATCATCAAAGTCTTGAGGCTAATCTGCACAAATGTGAGGTTGATTAGATAAAAGCAATAGGATTACCTCATCAAAGTGTAGTCTATCATTTAGATTTTGATTCAAAATCAGTGCAAGACTTTAAGGCCTACACTAGCATCATGAACAAGACATTTTAGCCAAAAATATGATAAAGCACGATAGAGCCTTCGCTCGACTCAGTCGGCTCAAAAACATTTACAGTAGAAACGCTTGCCCAGGGAAGCACAATCCGGTAGTAGGAATTCAAAAAAAAAAAATTTAGATCATAAAATTGTTAGAGACTGTCTAATGTTCTGTTGAATGCCAGAAGGTGTGATTAAACGAGTTTCATTTTAGATTTCATGTAAAAGATTTCATGTAAACTCTAACATAAGTCAATTAAATGTAATAATGAGATAAACGCAGTATCATTGCCAACATAAAAAGCCAATATAAAAATCACCCAAAATGATTACTTTATTTATTTGAAAGCCTAAACTTGATAAGAGCTCGGAAAACTGAAAAGAAATTCAAAATTTGGGCCCGGAGCCCTGTACAACAAACAGAACTGTCTGTGTTGGCCAGGTTCGGTGTGAAACACTTAGAACAGAGTTATCATTTCGTTTAGGGATTATTAATACTCAAAACTAGCTGCTGCTCCACCGTCTCGGCCTGTGCCTCAGGTAATATGAGTATTTTGCATGACTTGGAGGAGCTTCATTTAAGACAACATATTCTTCCTTACACAGCCAGGTTTCTGGCACTGCCCTGTGGCAAACTAGCTGATATGTAATTCCCAAACACCTAAAAGGAGTAAAGAAATGCAACTTCATCATTGTCAACTCTCCATTAGATAATGGGACTTTTCGTCATACAGGTTTGTGAGGGACCAGGGTACGCATGAAGCTGGGAGAGCGGGTAAAGTGGGAAACGTAGGGACTTTATTCACCCAGGATATCTACAAGGTAACAAAATCAAACCGAATGACAACCCAGAATAATTTAGTAAACGCAACATACTTAAAATCAACCTAAGAACTCCTGCAAAAACATGATGGCCCTACTGCAAAACAAAAAGACATTGGGAATTATCTCTCTCTAACTGCAGGTTTGTACTGTGCTTAATTGCAGGGTGTGAAGACATCTCTCCTCTATAGGTCTGATGTGAAGGCTTCTGATAACACCCCTCTTGCGGTTGCAGAATGGAACAGTCCAATTAACCAATTGACCTGTGATGCAGCTGCTCAGTTATTTCCCAGGAGGACGGTCGGCTGTGACCAACTGACAGGAAAATGAAAAACTCTACACCCTAACCCTTAATTAAGACTACCTAACATTTGTCTGCGTGCACGCAAAGAATTGTCCCAATTCAAATATTGATGCGGCGTCGTGCTCACTGCCAGTTGACGTTTGTTGCAGCTGCCACAATGTTAATATGGTATCAATCCATCTATCCCTTTATTTAATGGTTAACTGTGGTTCACCTGCCTACTAAAAGCAAGCTCCCTCATATTTTTGTGTGTGTGTGTGTGTGTGTGCAGGCTTGTGTTTGTGTGTCCATCTGTGTATGAGTGGGAGTATTTTGCCTGGTGCTCTTCTGGTCAGGTCACGATATGAGATGATAATCTGGCCTCATTGCAAATGTCCCATCCAGAAACAATGACAGATGACAGCAGATTACTGCAACAGATTATCCAGCAGGGGATTGATTTTGGAGGACAGAAATTATGGGAGTGGGGGAGAAAGATGAAAGAGTGTGTGAGATATTCACACAGATAAGGACATGTCAAGTTATTCTGGAAAGATGAAAGAAGACACAGCCAGAAGAAGGAGACTTTTGTCCATGATAGGGATCAGATGGATTTCTGCAGTTTCCACCCTATAACTCAAAAGGTACTGAAAAGCATCGTAGGGCTACTTCTGAAACGTGAATGTGTAAACATGGAATATTATTATCCATTTCATATTCTTATATCCTCCAAAGGTGAGCAGTACTGTGGCTCAATGGTAGAACTTTATCGTCCTCTGCAGTTCGATCCTTAGCTCCGTTAGTCCACGTCGATGTGTCCGTAACACTCTTAACCCCCAAATTGCTCCTGTAGGGGTGTGAATCATGTTGTATGAAAGTTGATTATTCCTGATTGGCAGGTGGCACCTTGCACAGGAGCCCCTGCCAGTACCGAGGGGTGAATGAAGACATGTGTTACGTTTTATGGTGATCTTGACACAGCACTGAACAAAAACACCACAGCAGCAACATAGGAAAGAAAAACTTCTCACTTCTCACTGCTGAGCAGCCAAATGCATCAGCTTGGTCAGTGGCCTTGATGCTCTATTTGCACTCTTTCATTGTTTTCTGTGTGAAACCAAAAGCCAGCTTTGCCAATATTACGTTCAAAGTGACATAATGTGTGTGTGCATTTTTTGTGCATTTTTTTATCCAAAGCAACTTTTCCTGAATTTAACTAATTTGTTTTAATGCCTCAATCAAAAATAATGTAAATGTAAATTCCCAACCACCCCAAACTTGTAGCTGTCTTTTTTTATGTGTGAGTGTGTGTGCGTGTGCATGTCTAGGGACTGAGGGAGGGGGCGGGGTTTGATGTGCTCATTACACAAGCTCCGTCGGTCCATTTGCAGCAGCTGTCGAGCTTGTCTCCCACAAGCAACCGTTCTGTGAACCACTGGTTTATTGACTAATGTAGCTGAGCAAACCGTAACTATGTATATATGTGACATTTGCTGCTGATGCATGTAGACAGTAGAACTAACGTTACTGGTACATCAGAGCAAGGTAATTTGTGAAGGGTAAAAGCATTGAATGGACACAGACTTATTTGCATGTTTATGTGTTGGTCAATCATGTGCAGGCTATTCAAATGCTATGTATTTTGCTTTATGGATGATGGTAAATGGACTGTACTTGTATAGCGCTTTTCTAGTCTTCCAACCACTCAAAGCACTTTAACACTACATGACATCATTCACCCATTCACACCCATTCATACACTGATGACAGGAGAACCACACACAGTGACACCTGCCCATCAATAACTATCATTCACACACTGTAGTCACAGCTACAGGAGCAATGTTGGGTTGAGTGTCTTGCCGAAGGACACATCGACATGCAGGTTAGCCAGGCCTGGGATTGAACCGACAACCCTCTGACTGGAGGACGACGGTGCTCCCCACTCGCCCACAGTCACCCAGCTGTGGGTGATGCACGGATTCAGGAAAGGAAAGAGGAGGAAGAGAGAGTAACAAGGAATTTGACCTCTTTCATCTCTCTTGTACACAGAGATGTAAAAGCAGTTGGGGACAAGGACTTCAAAGCCAGTAAAATAAAGGTACAACAGACAGGACATTGGAATCAAGAAAATAAAACCAAAGGTCTATGAATAAGTCACAAGTTTTGTAAATTGTAAACACTAAAAAGTGCAAGGAAATACATTGTAAAAGAATATTTATAGAGGTGATAACACTCAGTATTTACGTTCATACAGAGTGTAGGAACTATTGACAGTGACAGATGTGCATGTTAAAAGAATTGTGGATTAAAAACTGAAATGATAATCTCAAACTGCAGCAGTGGATATTTGGTGTTAGAGGGCTATTGGCAGATTGTGAGGGGGAAACCCTGCAGGAAGACCAGGTCCAGAGCAGTTTGGTTTTATTGTGCATTTCTATTTACTCATAAATGTTGTGAATAAAACATAAAAAAAGATGACAAGATTGATTATTAAAATAATGACATCACATTTCAACAACATTAAATATGAAAGGGCCTCTCTCAAGTACACAATATCATGTAAAAAAGGGAAGTGAAAAATATATTAGAAACTATATCAGGTTATGTTTGTTTGGGAGTTGATTGAGACATTTTCTCGGTCTCTGTCATGGGAAGCTGTCTTAGTAAGTATCCGTTGATGTCAGCGATTTATTCTGTTTTACTGAAACCTGAATGCTTTGTGAAACCAGCTTCCACTTTTAGACCAGGGGGCAAACACAGTCACCTAGACTAGGCTTAAGACTTTCCTCTTTGATAACGCCCATAGTTTGGGCTGGCTCAGATTTGTAGTTGGGGCTGGCTCAGGTTTATAGTTAGGGTTGACTAAGGTTATTAGTTGGGGCCGGCTCAGGTTTATACTTGGGGCCGGCTCAGGTTTATAGTTGGGGCTGGCTCAGGTTTATAGTTGGGGTTGACTCAGCTTATTAGTTGGGGCTGGCTCAGGTTTATAGTCAGGATTGACTAAAGTTATTAGTTGAGGCCGGCTCAGGTTTATAGTTGGGGCCGGCTCAGGTTTATAGTTGGGGCTGGCTCAGGTTTATAGTTAGGATTGACTCTGGTTATTAGTTGGGGCCGGCTCAGGTTTATAGTTGGGGCCGGCTCAGGTCTATAGTTGGGGCTGGCTCAGGTTTATAGTTAGAATTGACTCAGGTTATTAGTGCGGGCTGGCTTCAGGTTTATAGTCAGGATGGACTCAGGGTTATTAGTTGGGGCTGCCTCAGTTTTATATTTAGGGCTGCCTCAGATTTATAGTTGGGCTAGCTCAGGTGTATAGTTAGGGCTGACTCAGGTTATTAGTTGGGGCCGGCTCAGGTATATAGTTGGGGCTGGCTCAGGTTTATAGTTTGGGCTGGCTCAGGTTTATAGTTAGGATTGACTCTGGTTATTAGTTGGGGCCGGCTCAGGTTTATAGTTGGGGCCGGCTCAGGTTTATAGTTGGGGCTGGCTCAGGTTTATAGTTAGGATTGACTCTGGTTATTAGTTGGGGCTGGCTCAGGTTTATAGTTGGGGCCGGCTCAGGTTTATAGTTGGGGCTGGCTCAGGTTTATAGTTAGAATTGACTCAGGTTATTAGTTGGGGCTGGCTCAGGTTTATAGTCAGGATTGACTCAGGTTATTAGTTGGGGCTGGCTCAGGTTTATAATTAGGGCTGGCTCAGATTTATAGTTGGGCTAGCTCAGGTGTATAGTTAGGGTTTACTCAGGTTATTAGTTGGGGCCGGCTCAGGTATATAGTTGGGGCCGGCTCAGGTTTATAGTTGGGGCTGGCTCAGGTTTATGGTTGGGGCCGGCTCAGGTTTATAGTTGGGGCTGGCTCAGGTTAGCCTGGACCAGCCCTTAGATAAGCTGCTATAGCCTAGACTGCCGGGGGGGACTTCCTGGGACACACTGAGCTCCCCTCTACTCTTCTCTGACCATTTAGATAGAAGAGACTACTCTTGGTAGAGTCAGGGTAAGAGGGTGGAATGATTGGGTATATAAAGGCTCTCTCCTTCTCATATGTTTTCAAGAAGAATCGGTGCATATTTTGAATGCATATTAAAACTCTATGTACGGAAAGGAACACAAACTAGCAAAATGACTATTGTGTGTTTCTAAAACATCTGCTGTCTATCAAAATATTTCTTCCGTTTCACCCATTAGCCAATCTAGGTCCTTCATATGTAGAATCAGTGCAACAGTGTTATTTTTTCTATTAAAAGAATAATTTCCCATTTACTTGATACAATCTAATGTAAAGTAACGCAGAGATAGACCACTGCTAGAACAATGAAAATTGTATTAAAGTATCGAATGCAGTTTTACAAAGTAGATGGAGGTTTGTTTAATTACATTTTGAGGTCTCAACCCCAGCGTGGCGGCAGGAGGCCCGCAAGGGGGCGCCGAAGAACGCGTCCTCCGGAGCCAATCACCGAAATTCGGAACACCCACGAGAAGAGACCTATAAGACCAGGCCCGACGCAGCGAGTGAGTTGTGAGGTATTACAAGTACGCGTCTTTGCTGAACCCTTTGTTTCTCTGCCCCTGAATTCCCGTAGAACCAGTGAGCTCCCGTGTATTGACCTTCCGCCTTCTCTCGACCACAAACCTGCCTATTCCCTGGACCAGATCCGTCTTTTGCCATCCCGTGTCTCCGAACCTCTGCCTGTCCCCGGATTCCCCGTTTTGCCTTATCCCTTGAGACCACAGTTGCCTGTCGTCCCTAAATAAACATTGAGAGCTCTGCTCTTGGGTCTGAGTCTGTCTCCAGAGTCCATTCCTTACACATTTTGATGCTGTTTTTTATATTTTTATTCTGCTAAACTCCCCTCCTTATCAGAGCCATTGTCCTTTAAGCCCCTTCTGCTGCCCCATTACCATTCTCACCATACAGACCAACACACACATAGTATGCAGAGACTGGGTGGGGGGGGGGGGAGTTATCAATTACACCAATGTGTCATTTCTCTGTAGATTATACAGCCTTCCTCGTGACTAATCCTGTGACAATCTGGAATAAAGAGCTGCATTTATTCACTACTTGTCATTTTATTTTTTGCACTGCATATGAAGTAACACAGAGGACAAATGTGTTTGTGTCAACGGAAGTTGTTGTGGAGAGTCATCTCCATCAGCATGTATGTTCACGTGACATGTGTCAATAATTACGTAATTACTCAGAAATGTCATCTCTTCAATTAAAGCGCTATAGAAATATGGTCATCATTCATTAAATGCTGCCATCACATATACACCATGTGACAGTAAAGACAGTGATGGGATTTGTAGTGTTTGTCCAGTGTCATATTGGACCGCTCTGTCAGGCATTCAGCTGTAACAATCAAGGGTGGGATTTCACAGTATAATATGTGTGCACAGACACTATGTGTGAGTCTGTAATACTGCACACACGACATACACATTTAGTTTATGTGGGATTATAGTTGTGTGATTGGGAAAGCTACTATCTTCAGGCAGTGTAATACATACATGGACACACACACACACATACACATACACACACACAAAATGAAGTATTAGGAGCCGCAATTAGTTTCAAAGGAGTGACCTTGTCTTTGGCAAAATACTTAAAGATGGACATGAGAAAGGGATCGGGGGGGACGGGTGAGAAACAGGAAAAACCTATAAGAAAAAAACGAAGAGACGTAAAGAAGGGGAGGGGGAGAGTCCATAACGGAGAGGGAGAGGATTACTTTGCGTTTTAGACAAATAAATCTGTATTGTGTGAATCTGGCACAGGGAGGGAGGGCAGAGAGAGAGAGAGAGAGAGAGAGAGAGAGAGGTTTATAGCATCAGCAGACCACCAAAGAACAGCAAGCAAAAATTACATTTTTTTCTTTTTTATAGATAAGTCATATTTGTAGTGAATATTCTTTTATTTCCTGTTAGTAGCAATGATGCGGCTCTGAGAGAAGACAAAAGGAACCACCTGCTGCAAAAATGCCTTGAGGAAAAGATGTAATCTGGAGCTGAGAGACACATACAAGTCAGTAAACGTGTGTGTGTGTGTGTGTGTGTGTGTGTGTGTGTGTGTGTGTGTGTGTGTGTGTGTGTGTAAAGCAGAATTTGATTGTGTGTGTAATGTAGAACAGTATAGAACTGTAATGTGTCATCTAACATATCAGGAGTGATTGTTGTCTTCTGGGAACATAACTCACATATATGTGTTCTGCTGTTTGGTCTTTGAACTAGTGCAGAGCTGAATAACCTACTTCCATGCAGCTGGTGTGTATTAGTGTCTCTCTGTGAGTGTGTTTGTTCTGAGGAGACGCACACTCTTAAAAGCTTGTTTGTTCATAAGCTGCCATGTGTCAATGATGTTACCTGAGGAGGCTCTGATTTTATAAGGACGATTTATGTGCACAGCTATGGAATGCCGTTTTAGTCTAAATTAAATAAATGAATAAATATACGTAAATACATGAAATATGCCTTTGAAATACATCATGAAATAAATAAATGAGGCAATAAATACATAATATTAAATACATTTAATTATTTCATGGTACTTTTATTTCATAGTGCCACTTTTCATCGATCAACATGGGTTTTCTGCAGATACGATTTTGACACATATTGAGGATTTTTTGGAAATACTAGGGCGGATAAGTGCTCTTCAAGATGTATACATAGACGACGAAGTTTTAAATTGTTTAAGACTGATTGAGCACCGCGTGCGTGTGGAAGAGGTCCAAGTTGAAGAAGTCAACATTAGCGCTGGTACTACAAGCACAGGTACTGGACGCCCGCCTCTGGATATTCCTGGATATTGGATTTCTCGGGTTGATAGACACAATTCATTTATTCGCCAGGAATAAATAAAACGGCATTATGAAATAAAAGACTCTGGAAATGAAAAGTGGCATTATGAAATAAAAGTACCATGAAATGAAAAGTGGCATTATGAAATAAAAGTACCATGAAATAATTAAATGCATTTAATATTTATGTATTTATTGCCTCATTTATTTATTTCATGATGTATTTCAAATGCATATTTCATGTATTTATTCATTTATTTAATTTGGACTAAAACGGCATTCCATAGACAGATAGAATAAGGATTTCGAGTTTAATGCAAATTTTCACAATGTTTACAAAATGAAAGGTTTGGTCTATTTAGGGACAATGGATCTATAAACGTAGTAGGGAGACACTATTGTTTGATTTTTATGAGTTAGTTGGTGCACAAAAGTGTGCATTCCTTTTGATTTTACAAACTAATGTTATGCACTGATATTTGGGAAAGATTTCACCCATGTTCACAAATTCCAATAAAGCATACTTTAGTGTACTCCAGAGTACTACTTTTACTACTTTTTTAATGGTTGCTAATGTAAAATGTAATGTAAAAAGCTAAAATAAGTTCTGTTAATGACAGCTTAAAATGTTTAGTTATATACTATGGTAAATGGATTTTTGAACTCTTGTTTAGTCTTCTTACCACTCAAAGCTCTTTAACCCTACATGTCATCATTCACACCCATTCATGCACGGATGACAGTAGCTACCATGCACAGCCACACCTGCCCATCAGTAACTAGCATTCACACACCATAGTTACAGCTATTTGGTGCTAAGAGTCTGCCCACATCGACATGGTAACTAGTGGATCCGGGGATCAAACCGCCGGTGCTGTGACTGAAGAACAGCCCTGCTCTCAGCTGAGTCCACGCTGCCCTAAATATAAAATACACAGAGGTGTCAAACGTATTCACATTCATTACTGAAGTAGAAGTACAGATACTAGGGTTTAAAAAAGACTCCTGTAGAAGGTGAAGTATTGACTCAAGGCTTTTACTTAAGTAAAAGTATAAAAGTACTGGTTTCAAAACTACTTAAAGTATAAAAGTAATGTATAGCGGCAATTTTAGTTTTGTCCCAGTTGATGTTATTACCACTACTGTCACAGTCTGCGTTTGGGCCGTTAGCTTGACGCGTAATGAATCTTCGTAGACAGTTCGTTTTAAAAAGATTTACTTCACAAAACTTAGTTACAAGAAACATTCAGTGCTCGACTTGGCACAACGGTCAAAAAACTGTATTGCTCTGCAGACTGATAAACCTCGACTGGAGAACATAGGCTATGAATGAAGCACGTCAGTCCATTACAATGTGATCAGAAGGCGCCTGCAGATCACGTGACCTGCCGTTGGGATGGTGGAAACAACAACAACAACAACAACAACAACAAATGTATCTGACTTAAACAGATAAAACCACAACCCATTTTCCAGTGACAGGAGTCACACACACGTTGTTCGCATTGATGAGGTAGACTGAAGTGTCCCCCCCAGGTTTACTACGTCATGGGGGGGGGGCACTACTGTTTATAATGATGGGAAACACTGAACTGGCAGCGGTCGGTTATCAAAACATCGGCCAAATAACCAGAATGTTCAGGCTTCATGAGCAAATACAGAATCCCTTTGTGTTCATTTGCAAAGCCGCGTTAAGACACACGTCACTTTATTTAAAACGCTGCTTGCAAGTCGCTGTGTTGTGGCAGACTCTCAATAAAACATTTAGGACAAACCCACGGTCACGAAGATACTCATTTAACGTTACATGAGGAGGAGGAGGAGGAGGGTCCATGTCCAACTTCCCTCCGACCACTTTTCCCACCCGGTGTCGCTCCGATCTGCCGGCGCATCGCGGAGAAAACCAACCGGGTGTCTGGATGCTAAATGTTTATACTTCTCATCCAAACACAATCACATTCACTCTGTCCGCATAGCGCCGTTTATCTAGATGGGTTTTTTGTCTTTGTGTTTTTGAACTGCGACAAGCCGGAAGTAACGAGGCTGTTTTTAAAATGTAAGGAGTAGAAAGTACAGATATTTGCGTGAAAATGTAAGGAGTAGAAGTAAAAAGTCATCTGAAAAATAAATACTCCAGTAAAGTATAGATACCCAAAATTTCTACTTAAGTACAGTAACGAAGTATTTGTACTTCGTTACTTGACACCTCTGAAAATACATACGTGTCTGTTGTTCTTACAGGAGGCTTGCCTTCAAAGCCTGGTTGAGTGTAGCTGTATGTGCTTCTCCTAACCATCTTTCCTTGACGTTTTTCAGAGGTCAGGAAACAGTGGTTTGGGATGGGTGTTAGGAGGCTATTCTCGCCCTCTCGCCTTGACTTCCTGCCCCTGCCTGTGTGTTTTCAGCTATTGTGATCGTCCCGCCCTGATCAAACCCACCTGTGTCTCATCACCATCACCTCCCCAGAGTATTTCGACACCCTGTGTTCCGCCGTCTCTGTACCAGTTGGTCTTTGTCCTCTGCGTTCTTGGTGTTCTGATTGCTTAGACATGTACCGAACCTCTGCTGGTTTTGTACCTACACCTTATCCTGTACTCCAGGTTGTGCATTTACGTCCTGTTTTTGGTTTGGTAAAAGCTCCTCTTCTGACCTTAGTGTCTAAAGACACGCGGCTGCTGATCCAGTGATTGTACCAAGTATACTCATAAACCGCATTATACTCTAACAGCGTATTTGACTGGCACACACTACCACTAACAAAGCATCCGCTCCACCAAACCACCCCCTTTTTCCATTGTCTAGTTGGTATCCCCTCCCACACCAGCACAAGGTTTCCTCTCCACCAGAGAGGCGATTTACATTTAGAGGCGATCCACATGGCCAACGCGCAGCCCGACTTGTGGTTGGGCTTCCAGAGAGTCTCTCCATTTAGATGCTGGGCTTGAGACCCAATCAGATGCATGGTGGGCAGCACCCCCCACCCCCCACCCCCCTTCGGGCTCCAGAGGGGGGCCCAGGTTGCTTATTTTATTCAATGTGCAATAACCCTTTTCAGGTTATTTCATTTAGTGACAGGCTCCTGGCTCTTGCCACCTACGCTGTAGTTTACATTAGTTGGGTGTATGATTTAATATTAGGTAAGCCCTGACCATTGCACATTGGTGCATTTAATTAATGTGTTCACCGCAAAAATCCTACTTGACATTAGCATGTTTTTTTCATACTGAATGAAACAAAGAAATAGACAATAAGTGCCCCTATACAAGAAACCAATACATTGTATGTGTGACTATTTCATTTGAAAATTGCTCTACTGTTTTTCTCATCAAAATATGTTATACTGCTCTGCTCATTCTGAGGACCAAGGACTTTCCTTCCTTAAAGCTGATGAAGACCTGTGACATAAGAAATGGACCTTGGACATGGTAATGCTGAATAGTTTAATGTTTTTGCATCAGATCTTTTGAGATGGCAGATTTCAGCTGGGACAGAAGAGGACTCTGCATCCTGCTGCTCTTTTGGATTTTAGGTGAGTCTTTTATATGGTAATTCGTTATTTTTGTATTTTGTACTTTCACCTAACAAGAGTTAATTACACATCGTGGAGGAACAAGAGGCAAACATATCTTTGAGTAAAGGGGGGCTTTAACTTCCTAAAGAAAGCTTGTTTTTACAGAGTTGATTAATGTTTTTCTTAACTTTGCTTCTTCCTCTCTATCCTTCCTGTCTTATTCCCTCAGTCCCTCCATCCCTCATGCAGCCTCCTCTCCCTCTCTCCCTGCCGGTCCACATGTCGGTTGTCCCTCCGGCCTGGCAGTTCCTCCCTCTATCTCAGGTGGAGCTGGGCCCTCTTTTCTCCAACTTCACCCCCTTCTCCTCCTCCCAGAGCCTGTTCATGGTACGCCCGCCTGGTGACGCCCCCAGACCAGGTTTCCAGGCTTCATTTGGGCCTTACTCAGTTACACAGGTAGGAGCAGACAGAGCTGAGTGAGGTATTTGACTGAGTCAACTGAAAATGCTCACGCTAACTAGCAACATACCTCTTTCATTTTCCACAGCTCCTATCAGAGCCTCTCCTCCCTCTCGCTCCTCTTCTGTCAGCATCTCTCCTCTCAGAGCATGTGGAGAGAGAGAGAGATAAGAGCGGGCACATGAGGTTCAGGGTGAGGACACTGTTTCACAAGCGAGGTGAAAACAGCACCCAAGGGACGTGCGTCACCCTGCATGCATTCAAGGAGACTGAGGAGCACAAAGCCTCGTGTATCACACAGGTGAGGACCTCACCCGATCTCCTCGTGTTTTCCCCGGATCCTTCTCATTTATTCAGTGCTCTCCTTCCCTTTCTCATCTGTCCATCCATCTGTCCCGTTTCCCAGCCCCCTCTAGGGCTCTGCGTGGTAACTCTCACGCTGCCCAGGGATTGGTTCGAGAATCAACACACCAACCAATCACATCTGGATATGGAAAAGTGGCCCAGTAACCCCTACCACCGCCGCTGGATGCAAACCCGAGAACGGCAGCGGAGGGGACATCGTCGCGGCAACGCGGCCAACCATCTGCAAAGGTCTTCCCCTTCGCTGAGGTGAAGGGCTAACTCAGGCAGATGTTATGAACATTTCCAAGTTCAGATATTTAACTTTCTTGATGGAGAAAATCGTAATAGTTTACGAAGCGCTTGGTGCAACGATTTCATTGTGCCTCTTTCAAAGGGACAAATATTTCAGTCTGTTTGAACAAGCCCTGGAAAGAAATGAGCTAAGGCACCAAAGGTGAACTATACGCTTTGATTTGGCTGCAAACCTATATGTTTTAATATGGTTTGATAATGATGATCCGTTGCCTGTGTGACCCATAAATGTGTGCATTCCTTCAGATACCCTCTAGGCTTTGATGAGGGCACTCAGGGCCATTTTCCATGGGCCCTCAGATACCAACGGGCTCCCATCACAAACCAAATACAGCTTTACTACTCGTCCTCCGACATCGTGGCTGACCTACATCCGACACCACCTGGGTATGTGAGTGGACAACCACCATCAATGTCTTTTCGGCATCCTCCAACATTGATCTGTTCCTTGTGTAACCACTCACCCCCTTTGAGTACGAGTAGAGTACTTATGCAAGGCACTGTATTGTCCGTCAATCCAGATGTGTGGAGGACAGAGCAGCTCAGTCCCAGAGGCAGCTCTTCCATATCAAAGCAGTGACTCTGAAGGAGGAAAAGAGACAGCAGAGCAGGACCAAAGAAGAAGAAACATGTCTGAACACGCAGGAAGAGGAGGAGCTTAGCCTGGACCCCCATGTCATGATTCGCTATCACAGGGGACCTGTCGTGATAGGACAGCCCATCCGAGTGTCTTTGAATCTGAGAGCTAACTTCAGTGGTGAGCTTGTTGTCATAAGGTAAACACAAAATGACACCAGTACAAAAACTACCTTCACGTTCTTAAAAAGCTGTCTGGGGCGCTAGCTACCAACCACTCTGAAAGTTTAAATGCAAAATCTGTGTGTCTCTTTAGGCTAAAGGTGAAAAAAGGCTTGGTGTCGATGGTGGCCCAGAAAACTCTGACCTCTGACCTGTGGGCAGTGACCCTGGAGAAAAACCACGGCTCCAAACATGACGTTGTCTCCATCCTGTGCCACAAACACAGCACGCACAAGCACACACACAAGTAGGTCAAGAGTTCAATCACAGTAGCCAACATACTCACTAAACTGCTCATATAGGAATGTGTCTCATGTCTTCGTACACCACTTTGGGTATTCCTCAAATGACTCCACGGTTAATTGGGCGGAGTCGAAGCTGCCTGCTGGCCGGCTGGAGTGGAGACTTGTTGGTAGCTAGCCGGGAGCTAGCAGGGAGCTAGCAGACCCGGAGCTGTCAGGCCAGGAGCTAGCAGACCAGGAGTCAGGGTTGTTTAAATAGTCTCTAAGCCACTAAAGAAAAGCTGCTCAGCCATGGCTTTAAAGTAACTTTTGTCCCCCACGATGGGCCTCTTTGTACTCACCATCAATTTGCTTAGTGGATCGTACTTTCACCAGTCGAAAGCGTGACGGATCTTTACATGCTAGCAGCTCAGTCTCTGATCTCTGTTGCCCTGCAGTCCCACGTCACTACAGCAGGTGGTGTGTCTGTCCGTCCACGGCCTGAGGCGGAGCTTTGGTGTGGCCATGACGGTGTCTGCTAACTGGTGGGTGGAGTTCTCCGGGCATGTAAAGCCCCCGTGGCCACATGGAGCAGCAGTGAGCATCTTCTCATTTGCTGATCGACACATCTTCAGCATCACCCCCATCACAGAGGTACTTCATCGATTCAGTCATTATTTTAATCCCAATCCAGGGTTCATCCGCACACTTTTTGAAATGTTCATCCAATCTGATCTGTTCAAACTGTTTTCTATTTCTCTTGCCTCAGAGTAACACGATCATCAACACAGCCATACTGACCAACCAGCCAGTGTCACTTCCTGTCATTGTGCTGGCCATAGACCATGATGGAAAGGTGTCAGATGTCACGTCTGCAGTCACGTGCCACTCTACCAACGAGAACACTGTCAAGGTGCAACACAATCTGTCAAAGGATCAGTCTGACGATATACGTTTGCTCTTTCACTGTGGTAGCCACGTCCAGAAGAATAGCATCACCTTTGTCCAAGACTCATTAAGTCATCAGATGTAGACTGTGGTTTAAGCTTGACACGGGCCGGTTATTTCCGGCACACCATTATTACACCCCTGAAGGCAATCAATGGTATGAGGCCTTTCTAGTCTTCTGATCGATCAAGTCGCTTGTACACTAAATGTAATTTATCTATTCACACCCTTTCATGAACTGAAGACCCAGTCGTTGGGTTTGAATGAATACAAAAGGTTTGTATGGCAGCTTGGGCTCACAGACTCGCTCTCAACCTCAATTCGGTTGTCAATTCGGTTGCTATGATTGTTTCAGAATTCTGCTGTACGTTGGCTATGATCACAAGTAACTAGCAAACTAACTTCCCAGGCATAGGCTGGTATGGGCTGGCTGACACTTTCAAATCATTTAAGACAGATTTTATTTGGAATGGGGAAATTATACAAATATACTATTAGTTGCAATAAGAGAAGAGTTTGTTCTTCAGAAATTGGGGCCTCTTGTTTTTAAGGAGACTTTTGTTAAAATGAAACTTACCCCAAAGAGACGTATTGTATAATCATGTTCAATTATGTACAAATGATCAAGTTTATTTCGCCAATGTTTAAGCAAACAGTTTTTTTCACAACCACCAGACAGAGAGCAATGTTATTCATAGTGAGTATTCATGTTTTTGTCCATCAGAGTGATGTAAGTCTGAAATGTGTTAACTTTGTTTTTGTGTTAACTGCCTGTTGCCGCTGGAAAGAGGCTAACGAGACTGAGAATGAACCAAAACAGTCGAGATTCTGTCAGGAAAAACGAAACAATCAACATTTGAAAATGAAAAAAGAGGCCTAATAGATAATGTCCTTCAACTGCCAGTTTAATGGGAGTCTTCCCCACTTGTCTTCTGAATGTGTCCTTCATACCACAGGTGTCCAGCGATTGTTCCACCCTGTTTGTGGACGGCAGCGAATCGGGGCTGGGTAACACCTGTGCAGAGGTGGAGTTTCTACTGGGTGTGCTGCGGGGCTCCGTGTGTGTGGAGGTGTGGGCTCCTTCAGTGCCCCTGCGAGTGTCCTTATCAGACCCCGTTCTCAACGCCATCGATGGCTGGAGCCACTTCACAAAGACGGGGTAGGACACGGCCCCAGTGTGTCTTCATTGTGGTTTGTTTAGCGTCTTTATAGTTCATGCAGTAGAGCAATACCTTGTTTCTGTAGCTTTTCTCCAAAGGTGTTTAAATAGAAGGCCATCATGAATAGATTTAGAAGAAAGGCCGTGACACCGAGTCTTTTACACTATTAAACTTGTGAAGCCTCAACGTAATCTCTTTGTGACCCTGTGATGTTCTGAATACATTTTCCTCACTGTATCGCTGTAGACAAGATAGGATTTTTTAGTGCCATCATCAGTCTGGCATGGCTTTCAAAAGTTCAAAACACAAACCGGCCAAACAGACCCCAGCAACAAAGAAACACAATCCAACAGGTTTAGATGTAACAGACATATTGAGTAAACATATTTAGGAGAAGACAAACCTAAACTTGAAGCACCAACTCTGAATCCAAATCTTCAGCCATGGGGTTCCTTGGATAAGCAATATAATGTTGCAGGATGATTTTTAAATATCACCCCTCTCGGTCAATTACTTGTGGTGTGAAAGCATTGAGTGTGTATCCTAGAGGTGTATCTTAGAACCCATGTCTCTCTTTATGTGGAACTCAGAGGAAAATTGCTCCATAGCTCTACTAGAGGTCATAAACTCCCACAGGAAACCTGATATGTTTGCTGGATCGATTTTCGAACAGATGGCGACACAAGAACATCAATGTAGCGGCTCTCACAGGCAAAATGTGCATCCTGTCTCTTCAGGTGTGTGCCGGTGTATCAACGCTCCTCTCTTCAGGTTCTGACTCGGTTCACAGCTCAGGATTCTTATGGCAGAACCACACACCTCCTGGGCTCATCTGATTGGTTCGTGGATGTTACGGACTTGGTCCGTAACTGGCTGAGAGTAGAGGACCCTCGAGTGGCTTCCCTTGGCGCCCACAACGACCTGATTGGTTTACATCCAGGAAAGACGTCGCTCCATGTCAGTGATGGACGCATATCTATCCCATTGAACACCTTCACCCAACTGGGCATCACCATTATTATCATCATCATCCTCCACGCTCTCTTTCTCTTAGATCGTCTCTGAGCAGTGGGATGGCGTGCTGGGCAGATGTGACATCACTGTGACCTCTGACCCCGTAACTCCTGGGGACCTGTCTGTGCAAGTGGTCAGTGGCCTCGGCATGTCAGTCACGGCCAACCCAACGCATCCTTCCATTGTAACAACCACAGTAACTGCCTACAACATCCTCTACAACCATCATCAGGTGACTGACGGGCGATTTATGGTGACTTATTGCGGCGGTAGTTGCTCATTGGTCGAGCAGGTTGTCAATCAGAATATCTCAAAGGTTGTGCCTACGGTGCATGAATGATGGGACAATCTACCAACCGATATCGAATTTCTTCCTGGTACAAACAAAAGTGTTTGCAAGTGATGGCAGACACTTCACCTTCTTTCTAGATGAATGTTCAGTGATGAATATGAAATATGTTGTGTGGTTATTAGTTTAGTTATTATATTTAACAATGGATGCGTTTGCAGAATTATGACTGAAAAGTATAAAAAGATAGAGAAAAAGATCAGTAAAGGCCTGGTCTTCTGTGGAGTTATGGTCAATTAAATTAGCTAACTTTTGTTTATTTAACTTGACATTGTGAAACATTTGAGAAGACTTTTCAGACCCAAGTTTATTCCCATTCATTACCCTTTGTGTATCTGCAGGAAGCTTCTATCAGTGTCTGGCTCCAATTCAGCGATGACACCGCCTCCCTCCTCTCCTCCTTTAGTGACCTCCCCTTCTTCTTACGTCTCTCCTCATTGGCTGAGTCCGTGGTTGTTGTGACGCCCGGTTCCAGCCCACGTATTTTTGCCCAAGGGGATGGAGGCGGGCCTTTACTGCCTGCAGAACTTTTGGTTTCTACCTGCACGGACCAGCCAATCGCCTCCAACTCCATCAGCGATAGGGATTGGACGGTCACCGGTGGAGGAAGCGGCACCAGGAGGCTGGCAAAGGGATCTGGTTGGATAAGAGTCAACCTAGACTTGGGCTTCCTGCAGCCAGTAGGGGATAAGGACGATGATGGGGAGATGTTTGAACTCGACATTTCAGGCGCGCCGGATGAATCCGACAGCATCTATGCATCAAACTTTGATGAGGACAAAAGCGAGAATGTAAACAGCGATTATTATGACAAAACCAGTGGGAAGACATCTGACATACGCTGGAACCAGGTGGGGTACGGAGAGATGGTCAGTCGGAACAACCTGGAAAGAGCTATGCTGACGCCCAGCCAGGAGGAGGGCGCCGTGTACTTCTCCCCCAGCCAGGAGAAAGACGGAAAGCGGGAGGAGGAGGCGGAAGGTCAAGGAGCTCGAGAGCTTGAGGTCGGAGTGGGTGCCGTCCTCTCTCTGCTCGGTCTCTGCGCTGTCCTCTTCCTGGCAAACTGTCTGCCCTGCGCCCTGCGAGACCGGAAGAAGACAGCCATGGAGAACGAGAGGGAAGGTGAACCAGAGGGAGGTACGAGAGAAGATGAGGAAGACGAGTGGAATAAAAGAGACGGTGAAGAGCAGATGAAGCAGCAGCATGAGACCGACAACAAAGAGTATCGTAAAGAGGTAGAGATCATTTGCTGATGCATGCACAGGCCCAGCTGAAGTGTAGCTCAAACCTGGATTCAAAAGTAACACACAGGTCATTCATGTAACGGCACACTAATGTTCCTGTCATATTATGCTATGAGATCATTGGAAAATGTCCCTTCCCAAAGGACGTTCTCACTCATCACGTTTTTGAGGGAATCATATTTCCTTCTAAACTGAAAATTAACAAAATACTTTGTTAGCTTTATGGGCAACCAAACTACTGTGTTAGTTTTAAGTTTAATGTTTTGGCTTGAGATGAAGACAGTTTTGAGACACAGGACACAAAATGCAACAAAAGGACAGAAGACGAACATTGTCCTGGTAAAGGTCCTCTGCTTTCTGACCGGTCCTCCATCCTCACCTGCTCGCGATGTCAACTCTTTGAAACTTATCTGCGATATCTTATCTGTAATTTGCAATGCAGTTGTGTTGAACGGTGATGTCATTTGTAGAAGACGGGTCTTAGTACTTTATTCAGTATCGGGCTGTATGAATATTGGGCGAATGAACAGCTCACGACTGGTCACCTTCTCCACATCGAAGAGATTGTTATTCATGATTGTAGGAGATGGGAGAGAACACTTTGTTTAATACAACGCGAGTTCCTTGGGACGCCTCTGATGCTGCCTCACAAATCATCCTCAGCGTCCGTTTACCCACAACGCCACGCGTCTCTGTGTGAGAGCTCACAGACGCAAACATTATTCAAGTAATTAGCATCCTGAATCCAGTCGGCTTGTTCTGTCATGCTTTCTTGAGACCGCGTTTCGTGGCGCCGCACTGGAGGGTTAGGTGTTTGTCCCGAAGAGAAGTACTCTTATTGTTCTCTTTTTCCTGTTCGGACCTCTTAAACCTTTTTGTGGCACAGAGACGTTTTAATAATAATCCCGCAGATGCAATAGAATGGATCGTTTTTAAAAAAGTACAATAATGCAATAAACTAGAAAATGCATTTCCTGCTGAAAATGCATTGGAATGCAAAAAGCTGAAAGCTGAAATGAACTTCAGAAAATTGCTGAAAATACAGAAAGTTGAAGGGAATTAAATTACAGATATTAGAAAAGCTGAAATTAATTTGATATTGCTGAAAATACAGAAATGGGAGAAGCTGAAAGGAATTTCAATAGATTTGCTGAAAACAGCTGAAACAAATTTGAGAAATTGCAAAAAAATGAAAAAAGAAATGGATATTAAAACATTGCTGTTAATACAGGCATAATAAAAGCTGAAATTATTTTAAAGAACTGCTGAAAATACAGAAATGTGAGAAGCTAAATTTCAGTATTAGCAGTATTAATTGAAGTAGCACTACTAGTTGTACTAGGGATATTAGTAGTTGTTGGAGGTGTGGGGGTGGGGGGGGGGCAGAATGTTTGTCCTTCAAACTATTAATCGATAGACCTCATCACAAACACTACAGTAAAATTGAGGGGTTATATTTTAAAATGTTGGCATTGGAGAAGGTAGAAGGAGAGCACACTATGCTTAATGCATTCCAACAATAATTCAAATACTAAGCACGTTCTAAGTCATAGGAGGGTTAGTCCAGGAAGAGGCCCAGCCTTTGGGTGAGCCACTCCAAGGCCTAAAACCAGCGCTGCTTCATGGAGGACTGCAGAGGAACTATCCAAGGGTCTCCATGGTAACGGGAGAAGCAAACCACAACACGATGGAGACCCTTTTTTTTCCGGACGGTCAGTGATTGCTACTAATATTTGTGAATAGTGACAACCGTTCCTAGAAAGCAGCACGCTGCCGACACGTCAGGACCCGAACAAGTTCATCTGCCCAGGAGAGGCTGCTGCTTCCTGTTGTTGTGCTCAAAGCTGTACTTGATGTACTTGTACTTTTCCAACACGTCTGCTGGTTGATAACTGTACTTCCTGTCTGTTCCCAAATTAGAATAAAAACAGATAATACAGAAACGCATGGTGTCCCTCTCATTAGGGGTATTATCACTTGTTCTCAAAGCTGTTACACTTCACAGCTGGATGGAAATATGGAAAATGGTTTAGGATGTGACGTCAAACAACAACCCAACTGGACATTTGTTAATATAAGTGTGTATGTATTTGTATACATGTCGATATATGTACATCTATACATGTAAATGCTGTAACTGTAAATATTTATATTTTTGTATACAGTACACGGTTTGGACACTCCTGCTCAATCAATACAATGAGTACATTTTCTATCAAAAAACATTCATTTATGCATTCTTTGAATACTCCTTACTGCACCACCAGTATTGTTTTGTAAAACGTTGTAAAACGCTGATTGACGGATGAAGTGGACTGATCGTCCCACTCGTGCCCAGAAGGTTATTACTCATGCGGAGCTCAGCATGTGCATGCAGGTCCTGGTGCAACACGGAGTAAAGATCTCACTGGATGGAGGAACTCTGACATGCAGTTTGCTTAGTGAACAGTCCTGAAGCAACAAAACCAAGTCCCGTCCTCCTTAATGAGGCAGATCTTGGTGTATCTTCATCCTACAGATGAGCATGCGTGCAGGGGGGGGGGGGTTGTTATGTGGCCATGATAAGCAGGGTTCGAGGATTCAGGTGGCCACAGGCAGAAGGACATTGTAGTCATTTCCTTCCATAACTGCAATGATGCTGGTGGCAAAGGTGCTTCCCTTCTTCCTCAACTTCTCAAGGTCAAAAGGTCGTATCAGCTTTGCTTCTGCTACTTCAAAAGCTTTTCATCTCAGGTTTGAAGGCCTGGCGGATCGTTTGTTTTTAGGCTTTGCTGTGTTAAATTGGAGCAACCTCAAACAATCAGTATATGATTTAACATCTTCTGCTTTGATGGGGAGAAAATTAATGTCAGCAGAAGAAACTCTGTGCTCAATGAGGAGGCAGAGATTCAGACCAGTGAATGGTGACCAGTGGCAACACTTCCAGAATGTCATACGGTGAACGTGTGTCTGTACCAGGAACCTGAGTCTGACGTCTGTACATTATTGACCAATCAGGTCAAATCACGTTTCCTTCATCACAGCAAAAACTCACGCTTAGCAGGACCCTCTGCACGTCCTATTCATGTCTGCTGTATTGTTCTGGATGGGAATGTAAGTGGACAACATTTTAGAGACACACTATAATAGCATGCAGGCAAAACAATAACTTCTATAATAAAGATTGACCAAATGAGATGTTTGAGAGGATTGTATTTATTTCCAGTCAGCTTCAAACTCACGAATGGAAACAATTGTAAATGAAATTTTGATATATTAATTTAAGTCAACATGATTCCTTTAAAGAAATATTATTAGTGCTGGGAAATTATAATTATATAATAGTATAAAATGTCTAAATGCAAGCTACAATTGACCAGCAATTGCATAAAAATCTAATAAGAGCAATAAAAATAGAATACAATTTAAAATAGTTAATTTAACATTTTAGCATGATGTTTTTGTTGTTTCTTAATGAAAGTTTATTAATCGCTGGATCTTAGCTCCAAGCTTTCAGTCGATTCAATTCCTTTTCAGGGCAACGAGGGCAGCAGCAGTAAGGTAACATTAAATGCAATATTAAACCGTATGACCTCTGCTTTAAGCTTGCGTACATCCTGCAAACCAGCACACACCTAATAGCACCTAACCTACTTCACTTCTCACCCAAACAGCCAGTCTTGACCCCCCCCCCCCCCCCCCCCCAAAAAGCACGAAGACCGATAAGGACTCTATTCAACTGGAAGACAGTTGCCGTTGTGCAGGACGGTGGGGACACAGAGGCTGAGGTTCCTGTAGACAAAGTGGAAGTTGTGAGTCCGAGGCCGGCCGTGGAGCTCGGCTTTGATCCGCTGCGGGTGGGTGTCCGGGGCCAGCTGCTGGCTGGTGTCCGTGGTGACCAGAAACAGTGCGAAGGAGTCCGGGTCCGAGATGTTGAACTTGTAAGCGCACAGAGCGCACACCTCCTCGGTGGTGGTGTGCGGGTGGACGATGAGGGTTTTGGCCGTGCAGCCAGAGTCCACTTCCTGCAGGGCTACACGGAGAAAGTCCTACAGGGGGGGACATAAAGTCCAGCGTCAACATTTGGAAGTGATGGAAATATAAACAATGAAGGACACGCAAAAAAGACATGCAGTGAAAGCCAAAGAACAAAACAATCCCACGCATTGGTTTCACGGGCCACCAGAGGGCGCTCTCCCCACAATGCCATAAATAAAAGTGTGGCTCCTCGTGCTGTAAAACAAGTCCTGTGTTTGCCGAAAGGTAGCGGCGCTCATGCTGAACGGGACGTTTGGATTATTGGCTTTTATTTTAAGAAACGGTGCAACTCACTGCCTGGATGTTCAAGTCGGGTTCAGGTCAGGTGTGATACCTGGAAGTTGTCGACGGACTGCGCTGCGCGGCTGGCGGTGCGCCGTTTGTGCCACTGGTGCAGCGTGCTCTTGACCTGAGACCTCAGGACCTCTGACGACTGAGCCTCCTGGAAGTTCTTGATGAGGGCCATGGCTCCATACGCGCTGGTCAGGTAGTAGCCCCCTGAGAAAAGGAACCCAAACTGAGCTCGCCATGTAGAAATGAAACCAGTGGACTTTACAAGGGCAAGAGGTGAACACTTCCTCTTTTGGAATCGAAACTAATCATATCAGGATGCAATCAAGCTCAAGGACACACACACACACACACAAAACACTACGTACTTTGGCACGTACAGGAAGCTCATGGGAGAATTTCTCCAGACAGGTTGACGCAGAGAGGAAAATATTTCCTTCTGGGAGGAGTCGGACTCCTTTTATCCTCTGAACCTGCGCCAACCTTTACAAATCAAACACGCTGGACTTTCCTGTCAATGTCGAAAGGACTTTCCGGCCTTTGTTCAAGGCGTCTCAAAGAAGTCGGCTCCGCTGAGAAGGCCCGGTCCTCCACGGTGTCACAAAAACCACAGAATCACAAGAAAAGTCTTCAACGTCTTGTGCATTCGTTTGAGCCGCGCGTACCAATAAGCGTCAGCAGTGGGGAAGTTGCTGACCATGGTGCTGCAGTAGCAATAGTCACCTCATGAAGATGCTGCAGTGACGGTTGGGGCACTCCAAAGTGCTTTAGGCTGAACCTTTCCAAATGTAAAGTCTGTCATGGATCGTACCCTGTGAGTAGCTGTACTTCGTCCTCAGTGAGACTGTCAAACTTAAAATCACATTTAAAAAAAAAAAGCACAACCTTCGACTGGTGAGAATGGAAATGTAAATAGATAAGAAAGAGCTCGACCCTGCTCCTTCCACAATGTTAGCTTTCCGTGTGCTATCGTTACCGTCACTCTGAAAGAGTCACTTCAAAAAACAAACCCGAGCTACGAAGCGAACAGGACTCAAACTGGGCCGTTTGTTCCTGTGACAAAACCAAGAAGGCAAAAAAGACTCAATTATGTAATAAAAGTGGCACTTAAAGAAAAGGCAAACAAAAAAAAGACTTCAAAAATATATATTAGACTTCAAAAAGCCCGACGATTGAGTCATTTTGATCCAGTGTTTCTATGAAAATATTGAAGGGCAGCTTTAAGACGAACAGAGGCTTACAGATCATCACCTCACATCACAACCACGTGACAGTGATGGTCAAGACTTCTGATACTCATATGAATACATAAAAATGGACATGTTTAACGACTCTAGCCCTTCGTGCTCCGTCCTCATCAGGGTCAGCACTTTCACAACGTGTTCATCTGAGCTTTAGTTTGTCTACTTCCTGTCTAAGGCAAAGACGCCTCTCACTGAATACAGTTTGAATGACATGACATCGTTTGACCCTGGCCCCTCTGTGGTGTTACATGACAAGAAGGTCATGGATGAGAGATGGAGCCGACCAACGGGACCTACCTTCTCCTTGCAGCAAGGACGGCTCCAGCAGCTCCATCGTGTACTGGATCTCTACGTCCAGCTGAGGCATGTCGCACTGAGCCAACACATAAGTCAGCATGGGCAGGAAGTCATCGGCGCCAAACATCCTCCCTGGGAGGAAGCAGATCAGTCAGCGCTTTAAACACAACCTGAGGAATTAGGTTCACAAACATTTAATGCTCCTGAGAGAAGAGACTTCCTCTGCCAGGGTCAACGCACAGAGGAGGTTGCATGTCTACACTTTGAAGAGGGGCAAAAAGGCATAACCGTTTTACTGAGCCATGCAGGGGGACGCTTCTCCGTACCTGAGTTATCCTGCATGATGGTGTAGATGAGTTTACACACACGCAGCATCAGTGACACCTTTTTCTCGGGGGAGTACATCTTCCTCATGTTTAGGAACTTGTGGCGGATCTTGCTGATGGCCTCGGGGTCAGGAGGCACGGCCCCGTCCGCCCCCATCTCCTGGGGCCCCTTGGTCTTAACCACGGCCAGGTTCTCCCTCAGCTGCTGTGCAGCTCCGCTGCTCACCTGTGGAGAACCACAGAGGTCACCAGGAAGGACCAGATACTTTTAATGCCCCTTCATCTCCTCTTCTGAGAATGTATCCTTTTCTTGTGAGTGTGGGAACCTGGTGGATTATGATTGCGTGGACGGTGGAGAAACCCAGCAGGAGATTCAACTCATCGCTTACCTGGAAGTCCTGTAAAGCCTTCACGATCACGTTCTTCAGAGGCTTTAGGACACTCTTGTGCATGGCCTTCTCTAGCACCTGGTCTGGAGAACACGACAGTGACACACACGGTTCACATTCACACAAACAAGTAGACACAGAGGAATAAACCTTTACACCCAACTGTGCAGTTCCAGAGTGTGAGGTGTCACAACTGAAGTACAGTCAGCTCAGGGTTCAGGAGTCAGCTGACTACATACTGAGAAGCTAAATCTCAGCTGGTGAGGTGCACTATGGGAGATGTGGTGCTGTCAAACAGAGGTAGAGCATCGCAGTGAGTGTGCCTGTTAGGACTGTCCACGTCTCGGCCTCTGGTGGACATGGAAATCCTTCAAGGCGATTATCTGTAGCTTCATTTGATTAAACACAGGTTCATAGGGAGGGATACAATAACAAAAAAGACATGTCCCAAAAATGAACACTTTCACTTTCACTGGTTTGAAACCACATTAAGGACTAGTGTGCAGGGTGTAATGGGGACTGCCACTGACTGCCCCTTCCCCACCTGGTGGACGCTACACCCACACCAGCAGGGTCATGCTCCCACTTAACAACGTAACGCGACCATCTCTGCAGAGACCCCGTTTGGTTTGTCCCTTCTGGGTTGCTGTAGAAACATGGCGGATTCTGAAGAACACTCAGTCTCAGGTTCAGGTTGATTTGAATGCAAATGAAGACATAGTTCTGAATATTATCATACATTTATGCCAATACATCCCTTTAAATGCTACACACTGGAAGCCTCAAGTGACCCAAGTGATAACTGTCCTCAAAGTGAGGTTTTACCACATTTAAACAGGGTGTGCTTTGTTGTTTCTCCACCCTGACGGAGCCAACTTGGAACCCATTCAGCTGGACCTCCACAACGACCTGCTCTGTACCTCCCTCCTACACACATGGCCTTCAAATACCCTCCTCCCTACCTCAACTGTCTACATGTCGCAAATGCACAACTGGGAATGATCACGTAGCAGCATCCCCGCCTCCGGCTCGCACAAGCAAACGCTTGCAACAGGCGAGCGTGCACAAACAAGAACCCTGCTCTTGTGGAGAAATGGCTAACTTTATGGTCGGGGGGGGGGGGGGGGGGGGGGTGGATTTTCCCTTCAACAAAAAAACCCTGCACACCGGGTTTTGGGTGGTTACCGAAAAAAAGCACGGAAAGGAAAAAAAGGGGGGGGGGGTCCGAGAGACCCCACTGACCCTCATGTGTGCACAAGAAGCAGCACAGGAGAACACACACACACTTTCTGACCGGACTTCCTGATTCCCTCCAGAAGGGCTCCTTTCCTTTGGCCCTCTGCCTGTTCAAAGCGTTCCTCAACAAACTGGACGAGTGATAAAAAAGTTTTCTGATCTTCATCCCAGAAATGACAGCCCCCCCCCCCCTCAACAAACACTCAAAGTCTGGTCTCAACCACCCACCACCGCCATTGTCAGCTGTAACCTTCCTGTAAACACAGAGCGCAGACGTAAGCTGCACTCTTTCTCTATTTGAACTCATTCTCTGGGAATGCAGATAGTTTCTTTTCACATGGAAGAATTTAGAACAATTACTTTGAGACACGTTCAAACAATCAATAAGGCCTCAAGCGCCTCTAAAAGGAGTTCAATCTGATTCTATTTCCATAGTGTCTTCATATAGAATCCCATGGGGAACGTTTGAGTGTGACACACTTAATGTGCATATGGGTGGTCTGTCAGTCACAATGGACCTCTGCTCTGTGAACAAGGCTTTTCTGTTATGGTTTACAATGGACAAGGGACGTGAGACGAGTGCAAAGACACTTACACATTCATGCAAATACTCAAGTGGACAATAATCTGATTGGAATGAATTGTCCCTTTGATGGAGTAGCTCACCTTTGCAGGCTTTAACTTTCATAATCTCGACCTCAAGGAACAAATACAAGACTTTAGACTGGATGTCTAAAACACAGCACACACAAGGAGGTTTCACCGAGTCGAGTCGGTTTCACAGCTTTCTCAGGCCAACTCACCGATCTGGTCTTCAGGTATGAGTGACTCTAGAAGGGGGTCCAGTTCGGAGCTCTGGCGCAGGTAAGCCTTCATCTGGGTCATGAACTGCCTGACAGTCTGCAAAAAATCCAGCTGCGAGGTGCAACAGCCTCGGTTCTCCTTGACAACGCTGATGTAGTCCTGGACCAGGGAGCCAAAGTATGAGCCTTTGTCCGTGGACAGCTCAGCGATCCGTTTCACCGCCTGCTTCTCAGGGCTCCTGAGGGAGCCCAGCATGCCGCCCACCTTCAGGAGGTGTGCTTTGAGTGTGCTGGGGAGGACAAAGGGGTCAGCACTTAGACTGACGCCAACCTTTCGCCTCCGCGCTTTGAAGGACGGACGGCAGCGCGTTTCCAGGTCGGCCTCCAGACTGACCCCATAGTCTTTCTCCTCGAAGTCTTCTTCTCCGTCCTCGTCTTCACTGCTGTCCTCCACTTGACGAGTGAGGCGTCGCGACGAAATAGGACCCGGGGAGAATCCAGGGTAGTGCACATATTCCATTGAGCCAGAGGAGGAAGCGGACATGCTAAGGTCACTGAGCCTCTCCTTAGGAGTGGAGAGACTCCCAGCATTCTTCTCCAGCAGCATGCCGACGGGGAGGGCAGGTGGAGGCTGGCAGGGCGGAAGCTTGGCCCGGGACAGAGCTTTGGCTATGGTCTCATCGTCCAGGGCAATGTGGCAGCGGTGAGCTTCCAGATCAGGTTTCCTAGGCTTCGGGGAGGGCGGGTTTGAGGGCACAAGGGCTGGTGAGATGGCGGTTTTGGACAGGCCACTATGCTGGGAACCCATCGTGGGTCGAGGTGGAGCCGGGCGCCTGCTGAGGGACGGCTGCGCTCTTGTAGATGCAGTAGAGGCTTTTGGCATGCTCTCAGTTCTAGTGGTCGCTGCCGGCGGTCCAGGTGGGGGTGGAGCAGGGCGCCGGCGCGGCATCTGGCGAGCTGGTGGAGGGGGAGGAGCAGGGGGGCGTGGGCGAGATGGCGGTGATTTGCTGTTTGGTTGGGTTTTGTCCACGTGCCGCTCGCTGCTTCGGAGCGGCTTCACGGATGACGTCTCATCGTCCAGGTCGTTACAGGGCTCCCTGACGCACCAAGGGGGGTTGTCCTCACGGCGGATGTCCTCACGGCGGTTGTCCTCACGGCTGTTGTCCTCACGGCGGTTGTCCTCGCGGCGGTGGTGGCGACGAGTCTGGGTAAACCGGGGGTCGACGAAGCACAGAGGACCACTGGAACGTCTTCTCTCAAGAGGAAAAGAAGGCGGGGTAGCATCGGAGCGCAGGGTCAGGGGTGCCGTGTCCCAGAGGAGCCCCGGTGTGTCCCGGCTGTGACCCTTCGACCTCCCTCTCGCCGTTAGTTCGCTGGGGGCTGAGGGTACGACGGGGACAGAAGGAAGTGCGCCGCTGACTGCACAGGGCAGAGCTCCAGGAGCCTGTAATGGAGACACAACCACATCAACCGTCTGGAATGTAGACTCACCCCCCCCCTCAAGGCTCAGCGTAGAAACCAGGAGACCAGTTAGAGAAAAGGGACAAATGAAGAACTCACAGCGTTCTGACAACTATTTCTCAGCTCCGTCCTTCTCCCGGTTGTTGCTGGTGGGCTCGACCAGAGTCACAGCGTGCCGACACACAGCCAGAGACAGAGAGGGAGTCGCCCATGCTAATCAGAGTGGGAGGGCACAGCACGCCGCTACAGCTCCTCCACCCTGCTGGTCTTTTCCTCTCCCTTACGTCTACAAGCTACGGGGTAGTTGTAGTTCTGTTAAACTAAGTTACTGTAGTTACCAGTGGACCTCATTCAAATGACATTCTGCCCTTTTGTTGACAAAGAAAAGCAGTTCTTTTTGGTGTTGCTGAGTCCATCCATTGAATCTAAAGGCAGGCCACAAATCAGGCCACTAAAATATCTCCGCGGGGATTGCAGCATACGCCCAGGGATGACTTCCGCGGGCTATAAATGGAAACATAACTTTTGCATTCCATCAGCCATAAAGGGCTGTGACTCATCTCTATTGTAGTGCCTCGGGGTGTGGAGACTGCATGCGGGTCCATGTGAGCAATGACCACCTGACACTGCAGCCTGCAGGCAGCGCACTCCATAAAGCATGTTCACCATTAACATTCATCAAAAACAATTCTCAAATCAAAGCTTTTGATGCTTCCGTTAGCACACACAGCACAGTAACGGATTTGCACAACATGGATTGGAAGCCAACAGAACACAAATCAAATACAACAGAATTGTATTGTAACATATTAACCAGAACACTGGTGGAAATCCCCTACAAGTTAACCATTTGTGACTTTAGTGCTCGTCTTTGTGAATTGGCTCATTTTTGTAACGAGACTCACCCGTGCAGAAAGGACACGAGTGGCGAGACGCTCGCTGTTTGAGTTTCACATGTGCGTGCCCAGATTCACCAACATGTGAGAGGTGTTCCAGTGGAGGAGGAGGTTCCCTTAACGACTGCATGGGTCAGCTGAAGGACGCTGGTTTTAACTCGTCCAATGGAGGCAGCAGTCATTTCAGTGCATGCTTAGGACTGATAAAAGCTCCGGCGGGGCCATAGAGGAGGTTGTGTGACGTCTGGGTGTCCGTTACAACACTAACAGCTGTATTCATTCTGGCTACAGGAGCGCCTCCTCAGCCGTCGACTCCCTACCGCCAAGCCACTGGGACAGACTCAAATGGGACTACTGAATCACAGCCACCAGGGAGGAACGACATGTCGGGCTGGTGTGGAGTTACTCCCACGTCCAAGCACAGCAGGGCAACTGTTCCTGTCGGTCAGTACCCGTGTTGTGTCAGCGCTCGCGGGTAGCTTCAATTTCCACTTGCCACTCCCTCCTCCTCCCCCACACTAAGCTCGGGGCTTAATGTCCAAGGCTCCCACTGCAGGAAGCTGACTCACGCCGAACCTGGAATAACTTCCAGAGAGAAGTGAGGCGAGCTGCCCGTGGAACGGACCTGAATGCTCAGCAGAAGGAACACACAAATACTGTCTGCATTGTCTGTTTGCCTGTTTAGTCCAGTGTTAGCATGTTGAAGCGCACAGGAATCAGGAAACATTTATTGCCAAAATATGTCAGACATACAAGGAATTTGTATTGGCGGTTGGTGCGATGAAAAGGACAACAGTGCCGTATTAACTTTTAACTAACTTTCAGTCTCGTATACTTTGGCCTCTTTACTTTTTGTTTGATGAATTGAAGAGAAATGAGTAGAGGCATTTGTCCTGCTGCACTGGAGCTGGGAGGCAGTTAGCCTAGCTTAGCATAAAGAAAACACGCTAGCGTAGCTCTGTGTACATTCCTAAATCCTCCAAGCAGCAACCGCAAAGATGCTTCGTATTGTCAAATATCAGACTTCTCTGAATCCCGATAGAAGGGTCCCTCCGTTATTGCTCTACAACACAGGTGTCAAACCCATGAGTTGGAGTGAAAAGTAGCTCGCAGACCATTTCTGTTGAAATGTGAGATAAAAGTGGGCAGAATCTAAAATGAGTTTGCTCTACAAGTATCCTTACTATTTACTATGTCCTTTTTTCGGAAACACCTGCTGCAAAACCCGGCAGCGGCTAGTTAAATAATAATCAGAACTATTCATAGCTGAGCCGTCTCCTCCGGTTCTTTCGTTGGCCTCTGGGAGTTGGAGTGTAAAAGGCATCTCTAAGAGAAGATGAATGAATGCGAGGGAGAAGATTAGAAATACTATATACTATGAATATTTGTATTTTGGCAGTAAGTTAAACCCACAGGCTGGTGATGTGATGGGCGGATTATTTACCTGCTAATACAGTAGAACCGCCACCAGGCGAAACAGATCGGCAAAGCAAATCGCAGATTCCTCGAGAGAAAAGGATGCAAACAAAGAAAACGTTTACTGACTGGATTACAATTCATAATATGGACCCACGTCAGTGGTAGCGGCTCAGAGGCTGTTTGTATTTGGAGCCTTTATTCGGTCACTACAGGGGATGATTAAAGAAGTCAGGCCTTTTCATTGATAAACTGAGTTCATTCACTCTGGTCCACACTAAATATTTCAAATAATTCATTCAGAAATGTTGTAGAAACGTTCAAGGTCTTAGGAGGTTAAACTTACTTTGGCGGTTCCTGTCTTTTTCTTTTAGTACAGAGGCTTGACAGCGAGACTCTTTCCGGTATTTGCAAATATAAAATAGATTGTTATATTGAGGGTTTCTAAGGGATGAGGTCTGATGAATTGATCCCAGACTTTTTAACGTAGTGCTATCAGTAGGCCAAAATCTTTTCTCAATTTGTCCTCGAAGATACTACATCTCCACTGATTGGTAAGGACAGGTTTACTGAACCTACAATGCCTTCTGCTTACTGGCCAGTGTGATATGACTTCGCAGCATTTAGTTTCAAAGGCAGATTGTCTGCCTGCATCCAAACGTAGTTATTGGTGAAATACACTTTAATGCCTTAGCTTTCAAACTTTGGAGAATCACTAATATCTAACTGAGGTTGTGATGGTTTTATGGATAATATCATATTACGAATAGAAATGGATCAAAGTGAGCTCAAGCAGGGGAGAAATATCACTTTCTAAGTCCGGTAATGGACCCAGCCCACGTAGACCGTGAAGGCTGGGTCCTCATGAGGATGCAGCCGACCAAACAAGCTTGTTATCACGCTCCTTACCGCACTTGCTCTCTCTGACAGGGAAGTGGCCGACTGGACATCCTGTCGGATCCTATTTCCGACGCACAGACAGAACCTTCCTCTGCAGAGCGGCCGACTTCCTGACCAGAAAACCCTGAGGGTTATCAAAGAGACAAGGGGTCTACAACCGTCCAGACGCATTGGCAGTTGTATCCAGATGGTTTCCCTCACCCCAGGAGGCGGATTGAGGCGGCTGATTGAGCAGAATACGGCCGGCCTCCTCTTCACTGACGGCCAGCGGCAGCTACACCCGATGGGTTTGACTCAGCCTGTCCAACACGCCCATCCTCCTTCCCAACGAGTCATATGCAGAATCCCGCTCCCCCCACAGCGGGCGGGGGGGGGGACTGCAGGTAGACGCCGCTCGAGAGAGAGTGGAACTCTTTGGCCATCTGCTGGTGAGAAACTGGTGCCAGTGGTTGGAGGCATTCGCATACACCAGCAAACTAAATCACAATCAACAGAGCGCAGATCTTGTGGCTCATCAAAAAAGCTTTCAGACGCCATAAAAACAACACTAAGTCAGGTTGGAGATAAGAGGAAGCGCCGCCTTACCCTCGTAGATTTGTGGGCTCTTCGTTAGTTGTTGGAGAGGTCTGAACCGTCTCTTTCTGCAGCTCCCGAATCTCAGACGCAAACGAGTCAGCGAGGGACACCAGCAGCGTTACTCCAACGTGAAGGAAGCCATAGACGGAGGGGCTGTGCTGGTCAAGTCTGGAACAAAATGCAGGGTAACGCCTGCACATGCAGTACGCCGTGCTCCAATGCTGCACACCACTACTTCTGTAGATACTGTGGTCATGTCATCGATGTTTAGCACGGAAATAATAGCATGCAGGATTGTGTCTTCGCATGGCTTTTAGCCCACAATTTAAACACTGATGAAAGATATGCAATGTGTTTCACTCAGTGCCTGCTGTCCAATGGGCTCGCAGAATACAAACAGGAAGTGTAATGGAACCATTTAGGAATGTTAAGGATAAAATGGTAGCAGGGGAAAGACACAACGCAAAGCTACACAGGTAACAAAGGGTAGATTAATTGTGAAAAACATGTTTTCCAATCTTGAAGAGCAGGGTTGTCAAAAAAACAGTCTACAAATTAATACCAGGAACCAAAAACAAGGATCGGGTCATTTGGGAAAATAGCAGGCGGTTACATGCAGGATAGCGAGGGAACATATTGGGGAGCAAAGATCCACTGAAAAAAGGAAGAAGCATAACAGACTAACAAACACAGAGAGGGGACACTGAGGCCGTGTCTCATTTGATTAGTGCACAGTGTGCACAGTGCATTAAGTTGGACCGCAGCATTAAGTTGTCTGTCCCTATGAAATCCAGATTAGTGATGAGGGAGATGGAATATAGGCTGCTCATTAAAGGATTGTTTTGTTGTTTAGCATATACTTACTTACAATACTTACAAGCCGACTTCTTTTCTTTTACGTAAACTCAAAAAGGACCAAAATTAACTGAGCTAACTAATCCTGTAACTAGTGCCAGATGAATGTAGCCGGGCTAATGATAAAGCTTGCTTATGTTTTATAGACCCAAACCAGCTTTCTGTTGCTGTGTTGCCTTTCAGGCATTCTCTTTTTCTGTGCACTACGCATCACTTCCGGTCGCTAGTTGGTGTCAGTAGGCTACAAAAGGCCATACGATAACAAAAGCTAAAATTGCTGAAATTACAGAAAATTGAAGGAAATTTTAATACATTCGCTGAAATTACAGATATTAGAAAAGCTGAAATTAATTGCTGAAAATACAGAAATGGAAGAAGCTGAAAGGAACTTCAATAGATTTGATGAAAAAGCAGAAATGAAAACGGCTGAAATTAATTTGAAAAATTGCAAAAAATACAGAGATGAATATTAAAACATTGCTGTTAATAGAGGGGTAAGAAAAGCTGAAATAATTTTAAAGAACTGGAAATACAGAAAGGGGAGAAGCTGAATTTCAATAGATTATCTAAAAAATACAGAAGTTGCAGGAGCTTTAAAACTGTCAGGCACCTCCAGCTTGTTCAGAACGCTGCTGCTAGAGTTCTAACCATGACCAAAAAATGTGAGCACATTACACCAATTCTTAAATCCTTTCATTGGCTCCCAGTATGTCAGAGAATTCATTTCAAAATCCTACTGCTCACATATAAATCACTACATGGTTTAGGGCCAAAGTATATCACTGATATGCTTCCACTACATAAGCCTTCAAGATCACTAAGATCTTCTGACACCAATCTGTTAGTGATTCCCAGAGTAAATACAAATCATGGGAAAGCATAATTCAGTTACTACGCAACAAACAGCTGGAATAAACTTCCTGAAGATTTAAGACTTAAACTCTGACCACGTTTAAAACAAGACTGAAAAATGTTATGTTCAGCTTCGCCTTCTGCTAAATTTGACCTACATTGCACTTTTAACCTCTGCTTTTAATTAAACAATTTAAATAAGATTTTAATTTATAATTTTATTTACTGTTTTTAATTGTCTTTTAATTCCTGCATTTTATTTCACTTTATTGTATGAAATGTTATGATGTGAAGCACTTTGAGTCTGCCTTGTGTATGAAAAGCGCTATACAAATAAAATTGCCTTGCCTTGCCTTAAATGGATTAAAAAAAATACAGGAATAAAAGGGGAATAAAAAGAGGTTTTAAATTGTTTGTAGTAATATTAGTAGTAGTATTAGTTATAGTTGTAGTTGTGGTATTAGTAGTACTGGCAGTAGAAGTAGTAATAGTAGGTTTAGTATATAGCAGTAGCATCAATAGCAGTAGAAACAGCTGGAATACTAATACTATTAGCCATAGTAGTATTTGTAATAATATTAGTAGTAGTTATAATATCAATAGGAGTAGAAATACTAGTAGTACTTTTTATCATAGTAGTAAGAGTAGTACTCTTGCAGTTTGTCAGTTGCAGTGTCACTACTAGGTCGTAATAGTATTTTTAGTACTACTACTAGTAGTATCAGTAATAAGAGTACATTTAGCCTTAATACCAGTTGAAATACTCGTAGTAGTGTTGGTTATGGTTGTCGAAGTATCAGTTGTAGTAATATTCTTAGTGTGTGTAGTAGTATTTTGAAAGAGCAATACGTATTTCAATGAAACCGCTTCATTCTGAGCTTCATGGTTAAGGTACAGATAATATTGAGGCCGGGTATTAAAACTCGATTTTCTGTGACCACGTCTGCGTGTTGCAAAGTCTGGTAGAACTACCAGAATTAAGGTGAGATTTTATAGTCGAAGATACCAGACGACACAAGATACTGGGGGCAGTTGCAGCTGGCCGAACCTGCTGGGAAAGCACAGTCCCTCAACCCCTTACGTCAGCAAACCACCACTGCAAAAAAACAACTCCCTCCCTGTTCAGTTTCTGCTATGGCGGCCACACCCGGCTGGCTGAAGTCTTTGGCCAGTTAGTTTCAATGTTATACTGTACCAATCAAACTCAACACGCACGTGCACAGATAGACGTGGTGGTGCTCAAGCACCTGCCCGTTTGCCCGGGATGAGAAAAGTGCCCCTTCTGCTGGAGCCTTTTTCTCCATCCATCCATCCATCTTCAGCCGCTTATCTGGGGTCGGGTCGCGGGGGCAACAGCTCCGGCAGGGGACCCCAAACTTGCCTTTCCCGGCCACATCCAGCAGCTCTGACTGGGGGATCCCAAGGCGTTCCCAGGCCAGTGCAGAGATATAATCTCTCCACCTAGTCCTGGGTCGTCCCCGGGGCCTCTTCCCAGCTCCTCCCTAGGGAGGTGCCCAGGGGGCCTCCTCAACCAGATGCCCAAACCACCTAAGTGGCAAATAGATTTGCTTTTATTAACCCTAATGCTTTTTTTATTTGATTTAATTTAATTAATATTAAATTGAGATTTACAAGAAATACTGCTTTAGCTTTAACAGCAAGTGTGAATACAACTGCAAAATACGCTACTTCTTAATTATATAATTTGCGATCAATGACGGTTAACTAATAAATATATGTACACACACACACACACTTCACTACAGCCCACCTCGCTCACCTTTCTGGTGACTGTTTTTTCTGATTTGTCAGCTGATGCTGGGAGGTAGAGGTGGTGGAAATGTCACACTATGATACTTTGATGCCCATTTTAACACACCCACACAATTGTCACAATATTGGAGGCAAAATGTACTCAAAGGGATTTTTTACATTTCATTTTTTATTGTAAATAAATCATTTCAGTGGCTCGCTTTGTTGCTACTTCTAACTCGCTGTTGAACTAATCATCAGTGCAGTGACAAGCCCATGAAGACAAGCAGAAGTGGTTTGCTTCTGTAAATCAGTTTATTGCTAGAAGACCTCTGGGAACGAGGCCGACATCTTCATCACTGTGCCCAGAAGTCGTCAACACAAAATAAGGATTTACAAACAATCCCAAAGACATGAGCATAAAAGGACAGTGATCAGCTAAACAGTAACTGTTGTAGTCCTACATTCTAAGAACAGTATAGACGTCCAATAGGACTGATCAGTTATTAGCTGGGCCTCCAATAGACATACGGAGATCTTGGAGATGCATTCAATTACACACAAAATAATCGGAATAATGAAAGAAGCATGCAAACCGAGCGGTGTGTATCTGAATGTATATTTCACCTGGGGACACTCCTCCTCCTCCTCCTCCTCCTCCTCCTCCTCCTCCCCTTCTACACGGTAAAGGACCCACACAGCTCAGCAGCGCTCTCTAGTGGCTGGATATTAAAAACTCTATTTACTGTGACAGTTCCCAATGAGAATCCTTCAAGTTACAAATTAAATTACATTTTAGTTGACATGCTGTTAACAAGGGTGGGTTTTTTTTTTTGGCTCAAGACGAGCAGTTGTTTGAGCCTCAAATAGACGGGATGGCTCAAGAGTTAAAACTTCCCTCAACTCCAATTGTTTGTACTAATATACAAATGCTGCAACATCTTTCCAAACTCTACAAAACTTAACTAATTGATAAAGCGCTATTCCTAAATATAAACAACATCAAGCCAGTTTCCAGTACTTGGATTATATTTAGTACAATGTACATTCCAGTAAATACACCGTGTCCGTCCAAAGGGCTGAGACTGGTGGTCAGACATGATCCTTGAATAAATTAATTCATAAATAAATCATGATTATGTCTTCCCAGTAGCAGTCATGTCTTGCCTTCCCCCTAGAGACTTTGACACACACACACACACACACACACACACACACACACACACACACACACACACACACACACACACACACACACACACAAGCAGACTGTTAAGTCCAAATCTAAGATTCATACTCCTATTCTAAAAATACTTTTGGCTTTAAGAAGTAACAATTAATACACTCAAACGGATTCTTAAACATGTACACGAGATCTTACTTCTAGAGGGAACTTTAAATTCAGTAGTTCTATGTTGCAGTACCTGTAGACGCTTTACAATGATAAAATAGTGTTTGTAAAGTGACAGTGCTGGATGTCCGTTCCCTATGCGTCTGTGTCATCACACGAAGCCCTCGTGTGTCTGCGCGAGCCGCGTGCTAAACGTCACACTGTCGGTGCAAAGCTACAGTGGACCTGTGAGTACAGCATGCTGGGACACATCTGGACCACAACACCGCAGTGAAATATAGAATGACGTCGCCGGATCATCGGGCTCAGCCAGCCTGAGGCAGCGGTCCCGTGTATCGGCTAATCTTATGCTTATAGACATATACACACACACACAGAGAATGCCAGGTTTGAATTCAAAATACCTAAACGGGGTGTGCTTATATCCAAACCTTTACAAAGAGTAACAAAGAATGTCCTAGTGCAGCGTTTCCCCCCCCGTCGCTCCAGTCAGTAGCAGCAGCAGTGGAGTCCTTGCAGCCCACTTCCCTCCAGACGGACGTTTGGCTCCGCGAGACATTTGGAGGCCGTCTGTCTCCCTCTCTCTCCACGCGCCTCCTGTCCCGTCCCGACAAACTATCTACAGTTCTGCTCTATCACACCAAAAGGTAAATCATACACATTTTTCTATTTGAAAAACAAAAAGGTGGGACTTGTTTTGGAGGCGCAGAGAAACTGGAAGCCAGGCGAGGTTTCCTCCATCGACCAGAGGAAGCAGAAGACGCAGGAGAGGAGCGCGAGGGGAGCTCAGTGGATGTCTCTGCACATGGGGAGGTTGACGAAGATGAAGACGTTGAACTCGATGAGGATGGAGAAGCACAGAAAGACGGCGTACAGGACGAGGCAGGCCAGGCCCAGTCGCCAGTCCAGAGTCCATTTGTTCAGATGGACGCCAAGGACCTGCAGACCGCAGGGACAGACGAGGTGGAGGAGAACAGAAGGGGAGAGCGGAGGGACGCTATTGAAAACGAGTGAAGCAAGGTGCTGGATAACGGCCTGGTCTGCACCTCCACTTGCGGGTGGAGTTTCGGGTGCAGCACAACAGAGGCCCGTGGAGCTAATGGCAGCGCGTTGGGGTTAACTGGAGGACCGCTTCTCTCTGCCACTTACTAACAAGCTGGCCTGGGTTTGCTTTGGTGGTCTGAGATTGGAGGCCTTTGTCATTTCCCAGCCAGTACATCCTTGATTCCTTTCCTAACCTCCTCTGATGCATGAGCGAAGGATCTTTTCCAGCAGTAGACGCCCTGTTTGACGTTATCCCAGCTGTCTGTCACGTCTCATTTATAAACAGATAATATACATACAGTTTTGGTTTAGATACCAACCCATTGACTGTTGATGATAATAGACATTTAATAATGACTGAACGCTTTCATCCGATGTCCTTATTGCGCATGAATAAATCATCATGTCTCAGAAAGGCTGAATAAGAACCACAGAAGGCCGCTGTTACAAATGAACAAAAAAGTGTTCCTCACCGTGACGAACACTGAGGCTAGCAGGAGTCCAACGGAGAATATGAGTCCTCTGCTGTTCAGGTAGATCTGAGGAGGTCACAACACACATTCCATGACACCTACTCCACCAGCGCGATCTCCCCCCCCCCCCCCCCCCGCTCCGCCCTACGGCCCCCCGTCCGTCCGTCATGCACGCAGCCCCGCGGCACTCACGTTGGAGCCGTAGTCGACGCAGAGCGTCTGCAGAGTCCAGGGCAGGCCCAGGCCCACCAGGATGTCGAACACGTTGCTGCCTATGGAGTTGGAGATGGCCATGTCTCCCAGACCTGAGGCGAGGAGGTTCAACACTGTCAACGTCTGAGCAGTACGCCGTCGTTTCCGCCTCCTGTGTGTGTGTGTGTGTGTGGTTGTGTACCTTGCCGTGCCACTATAACACTAGCCATGCAGTCTGGGACGCTGGTGCCTGCGGCTAGGAAGGTGATGCCCATGATGACGTCCGGAATGCCCAGCGTGAAGCCGATCACAGTCACCTGAAAGCAGACATTTACTCCTCGTGTGTGGCTCGGCAGGGAGATACAGCACCCGACAAAAGGTTCCTCACAGCCTCGTCTGCTACGAGGGGAACCTCTGAGATGCTTCGCTCAGGACGCAGTGGCGTAGCTCGTGATGTGATGAGGAGAAGACGACAATAATCGAACGCAGACCACAAATGAAACATCTGAAATGAGGTTCCGATTACGAGCAACCGCAGTCCCACAGATCTTTGGGTCTGTGTTCCCCATCGTTCGCTTCCCGAACCTTTTCTGCTCCCCCCCCCCCACACCTCCCCCGATCAAACAAAAATAGGGTTATTCCATCTTTGTTTTTAATTATTTGCATTATAATAAATGAACTCTATAAAAAACGTGTTTTATTTATTTCTCCCCTTGAAACAGTTGTATTACATTTTGTAAACACATCTTCAAGTAAGTTTACTAAATATTCTAATTAAATTTGGGAACGCTGCGGTCTTTCTCTCTCTCATTGCCTCTCCTTGTAATCCGGCCGCTGTGGCCACACTTTCACTGCCGTAAAGAGGCTGCGGACTGATGGGACTGACCATCCAGACCATGATGTATGAAAGGCCAGCGATCCACATGGTCGCGGTGAAGAAGGAGACCATGAACCATCTCTCCCAGCGCCGCTTGGCACAGTTGGGCACGGTGAGGAACAGCAGCAGGGACAGCGGCCACATCGTGAGCCACTTGAGCTTGTTGAAGACCCCGGCTGGAGGGACGGGGACACAGACACGGTGACGGCCTCGGCTCTTTAAAAACACGCACTTATTTGTTTCATTTCAAAATGTCCTCTGTGCTTTACCTGGAACTTTGAAAGGCGCCAGGGGGCCGCTGTGCTCATCCTCTCCCTCCCCTTCCCCGTCGTTCTCGTTGTTCTCATTGTCCTCATTTTCGTCCTCTGGCCTGTTCCCGGACTCCAGGCGCTGAAGCCTACACCTCCCGTTCGGACCCTGCTCAGCTCCACCCATCCCGTTCCCCAGACCCCGCCTCCCCTGAGCCCTGGCGGCGGAATCATGGTCGCCATTGTTGATGCGGTTGACTTGAGTCTCAGTGGTGTTGATCACTCTCTGTCTCTGGGAGAAATGATAGAGCATAAGTACAGACCACATGAAAGGAACACACACACACACACACACACACACACTCTTTTATCCGACCATAATACTTCCATAAGACGTGTTGCACAGCTGTGGTTTAGGATCAATGGTATTGGTGAGTCCCAGTTAACTACTCAAGTTTCTTTCCATTTGTCTATATGCAAAGAAGAGGAGCTTCTTTTATTTGTTGAAGTAGAATTTGATGTTCTTTTCTTCCTGTTTGTTGTGGATTTACGTCCAGACTGCAGTCTGCTGCAGACAGGTGTCTTAGAATCACTTCCCCTCCCTCCCCTCGTGCTCAGACTCTCTTAAATAACCCCATTGTTATTGTGTGTGGAGGACATGTACTTCGTTGATGAGCATGCGAGAGGCCATGGTGAGGCGGGTTCTGGGGGAGAAATGGCTGGTGATCATGATCCTCATGCCGGCCTCAGGGAAGGACAGCTGGTGGGGGTACGCAGACAGCAGCTCGTCCACCATCAGCACCGACGGCTTACAATGAAAGTTAGCTGGAGAACAAGAAAAAAAAACACCGTCAGCTGTTTTAAGCACAATTAAACCTCAGCCAATTATTATCAAAAAAAAATAAAACTCCTGTTCCTGCACCATTCCTGTCTTAACGTATGAGCGTGTGTGTGTGTGTTTGGGGGGAGGGACTCCGCTTCGATTGACAGCTGGGGGCCGCTGAACCCAGTTTACACGCTGGAGTGATGGATTATGCAGAGCGGCCTCTCAGCTGCTTCCTTGTGCTACTGCGGACCGACCCAGTCGCTATCCGGAACATTTCCACTGTGCAGATGACTGACCTGGCTCCTTGCTCGCAGTGAGGCATACGTCTCATTCATTAATCATTGATCCATCAGGTATCACCCTCGGCATCAGGACTGATAAGAGTCGGAGAGGTGCAGCTCTAAGCCATAGGGGGCTCAAGTGATAATTTGTCTCAACAGCAATAGGCCGTCTGCCAATCAGATCCCTCAAAAACCCTGTCAGAGAGACCGGCATGTAGACGGGAGCTTGGTCTCTCCCCACACAGGGATTACCTCTGTTGAGATCAAAAGGGCCAATGGTCCGGTCTCGGCTGGCTTGCAGAAATCAGACGCAGATGACGGAGCTAGCCGCGCTGAAGAAAGCCGTAGGCTAGAAGGATGAGCACAGGCCCGAGGCAGCATCTTGTGCCTCTCTGTTATGATGCTATACTTTAGCTTTGATCCCAGAGACCACTACAGCAATCCGTGGAAGTTCTGGGCGGCGAAAACGGTCCCTCTTTCTACAGCGGAGGACCCAAATTACTTTCCCTTTCCACCTTTCTGGTGGCGCATCTCTGGTGGGGAACCCGGGGAGGATTCACAGGCAGGCACATCCACCGGCACGGTTAGCAGAACCAGATGTCACGTGAACGTGGTCACTTTACTGATGTGCCCAGTGTCAGAGTGGGACTCGGGGTCTGGTGGCTCTAAAGCACCATGAGAATCTCTACGGTCAACCCACAAAGTCGTCCTCCCTGTCTCATCCTGGAGGTGGAACACAACCGGATGCCTTATATGTCTGCCCGTGTCGGTGTGCACTGGGGATCGGCTCAGGCTCACAGCCCTGAGTGACGCGCGGCAGATGCGGGTACCTTTCTTTAACAGCACTGCCGTAGCATCACACGAGACGTTATCCTCCAGATCGGTACTTCCTGTCAGCCCGTTGGACAGATTCCCAGAGCCCCCCTTCCGGCGGTCGAAGTAGCGATGCGCCCTGCCGTTGAACCTGGCAGTGACAGACGAGGAAGACGGGGGAAACAGCTTTTACAACCGGAGGCAGCGAATCAGCCGACTGGGGGTGGAGACACTCACTTCATGATGAGGATGTAGACTGCATACATGAGAATCAGGACAAGAGACTCCCACCTGCACACAGACACTTGGTCAGCTCAATGTTCACTAATTCACTGTATACATACTAGTCGTGGTTTATGATTACCCACCAGCACACCTTCTCATCGTAGATGAACTAAAGAGACAAGAAGACAAAGAGGTGGTTAGTGAAAGCGCTCATGAGGTCACAGATCACAGCATCCACATGTTCACATAAGCAGTACACATAAGGTGTCAAAATTATAGTATTAGCAAAATAACCCCATTCAGTAGTGTCATTCATTACATGTGCGACATTGGCTTGGTGAATGACATGGTGTACTAGGACCGGTACAGAGGGGACTGGATCTGTTAGTTGTCATGTGTGGACATATTCATACCCTAAACAGGCCTTTAATGAATCACAGTAGGTACTCCTGAGTAACTAAGCTCTTACCGCAATGAGGGCGATGATAGAAAAGGTGTAAAATATGGAATCCCGGAGAAGAGCCCAATGAGAGAGCTTCACTGCCTGCAAAGAAACCAGACATAGGAAGATGTATATAGGAAGATATATATATTATACAGTCTAATAGCTACACGTCTCCTCCCTAGAGTTCATACTCTGTTGAGCCACGTATTCCTATTGGCCTAAGTAGTAATTGCTTAAAAAACTTCAATGACAACATTCTAACAAATTAGAGAGGAATTTCATAGTATTCTGCCCTCAGCCAGTGCCAATCTGTCCTCGGGTGAAGGAACCTTGGAGGCAGCTGTTTGTTGACAGGAAGTGTACCACAGTTCTTCAAGGTAGCTGTAATTAAACCTCTTCTTAATTAGGAAACCTACTCGTTTGTGTCTGTGAGTGGTGCTCGGTGGCTTCGATGACCACCAACATTGGTTACGGAGTTCCACAAGGTTCTGTCTTGGACCAATTTTATTTACATTTATATATACTTTCTAATTTTGATCAGAATAGACTGCATAAACTTTCATTTTTATGCAGACGATACTCAATTGTATCTATGGATCAAGCCAGCGAGTTAGATTTCGAGCATGTCTTAAGGACGTCAAACCAGGATGACCAACAACTTCCTGATAGTAAGCCTGCTCTGGTATCAAGTAGGCCAGGAGGTAGATGGGTGCTACTTGCCCTTTAAGGAGCATCATCCCTCCTACAAGATGTCCGCCGAGCCAACAACTATAGCTCCCAGAAGGACTCACCACTCACCAAGGTTTAGGTGGTTGGACCACCTGATTGAGGCCAGACTTAAGTTTGGCCTCAACAGAAGGAGAGAAGGGGGGAAGAGAGCACGTTGCGTGAAGGAACACTGAGAACTACTGAGAGAGAAATTCTGAATCAGAGCGAGGAGAATGGAAACCGAGACTCTCCTTGAGATTATTGTTCCTAGAGTCTTAAAGTTGGATGGGAGCCAGAGCCTTCAGTCATCAGGCTCCTCTTTTGTGGAACCGGCTTCCACTTTCAGTCCGGGGGGCAGACACACAGTCACCTCATTTAAGATGAGGCTTAAAACGTTCCTCTGATAACGCTTATAGTTAGGGCTGGCTCAGGTTAGCCTGGACCAGCCCTTAGATAAGCTTCTATCTGGAGTATTTATGTTTTCTCTCCTGCCACGGTCCCGCTTACACCCGCTGTCATTTTTATCATTGGTCATATTACTGGCATCATAAATCTTCTTGGTGGTCACGTCTGATGGTGGTTATATCTGATGGTGGTTGTTCCTGTGGTGGTCCTGGTTTACTACTCGATATTTGAATCATTTCTACGTCTGTTCATTCTGTTAACATGACATCCATGGTCGAGAGGGATCCCTCCTCTGCCGTTCCCCCTGAGGGTTCCCCTTCTCCCCGGTGACGGTTTTGTTTTTCCTGTGCCGAGGGGGCGGTTTCAGGACAGAGGATGTTGCTTGTATACAGATTGTTAAGCCCTCCAAGGCAAATCTGTAAATCGTGGCTGTACAAAATCAATTGGATTGAATGCAGCTCTGTGAAACTGAACCGCAGTGGTGTAAACAGGGTTACCGAATTACCATCCTAAAATACACGATGCAGTGAGTCACACTGTCCCTCTCCCTCTCCTACACAGAGCTCACACTGCATTACGTGTGAGTGGAGGGCCAGAGATCACATCTTCATTGAGACACTCCCAGCTGTGGAATGGTTTGCCGCCGGGAGGCGGAGCAACGTGCAGACCAAAGATGTGAATGTTTTCTTGTGCTCGCTTTCCCTCAACCTGAAACTCCCACATAAAAAGTGTGCAGTGAAATGTTTTAATCCTGAACTTTGTTCTTTCAGAAGGTCACATTAAATATGAGATCTCTGAGATAACCTGAGGGTGGAACACAGCATGAAATATTTGAATAAAATCTACATCATGTAGATGACATTTCAAATGAAGCCTTATCCTGGTGCAGTCGGGCTCATGGACTCTTGCATGCATAAATCAACTTGTGTGTGTGTGTGGGTGGTCCTGCTCCTCAGACAGTACACATGGGTGCTTTGTCCCACTCTGGTCTTTGGCTGAATATTAAAAGGTGACATTCACAGTTTGAAATGCCAGCAGGTCAGTGTGAGGATCAGCTGTAGCTGTGACATCATACCTGGCCGGCAAAAAAGCCACACACACCGATGATGCAGAGGATGTTGAAGACAGCTGAACCCACGATGGTCCCAACACCCACGTCGCCTTTGGTGATGAACACACCTGAGGAGAGGATGAGCAAACACACACACACACACACACACACAGCATCAGGGCTCCATAGAGAGAACACACGATGTGTTGTACACTACTTGACATTTTCAGTGGCAGCACAGAGCTGACAAACAGCTGTCACAAATGCCATCAGGAATGCCATCTATCTCTATCTCTCCCTCTTCCTCTCAACCCTACCTCTCTCTGTCTCTCCCTCCCATCTAAAAAGAAACCACACATCATACGTGTATAAACATTTCATTTTTAAATACATATTCTATTTGCACTGACAGGGATGTGAAGCGCTGTAACAAATTGCTGTAAATTTACGGTGCATTTCTAACGGTATCTTACAGTATGTCATAATAACTGTAACATACAGTTAAATTTCCATCCCTTGATTGTAAATTAACGGCCAATGTCATGAATAAACAGTAAAAGCAGTCAATTTACAATAATAGCAGACCACCGTAATTCAACTGCATGTTACATATATTTTATGTAGTGGTGGAAATACACATACAAGTGCAGTGAATCACAATCCATCTACATCTGTTGTAGGTTAATGTATGGAAGCCCATGTCAGCCACTGATCCTGTAAGTCATCATAATGAGATGGTATCTCATGAGATATGATGATGACTTTGACTTACAGGACATTACTATACATGCAGCTGTCACTTTTATCCAAAACGCCCACGGTTTGACATAATTTTATGTGGAGTAATTGGGGGTTAGGTGTCTTGCTAAGGGACACTTCAACTTGGTTCGGGGAGCAGCCAGGATTCGAACCGCCAACCTTGTGCTGCACAGCACACCCTCCCTATCCCATGCGCCGCCTTCGCTGTCGTTTCAGTGGTTGGAATGTAAACATTATAAATATTTGTATTATTGAAGGTGTTCATTGCCTAAAACCCATTTGAGTGTTAATCGTGACCGACTGCTCCTGAACGTGACGTCAGACGCGTAATCTCAGTTCATCCAGAACACCTGTGCAACATGGGAGGAGTTTCTCATTGTACACTGATGGATCTAAGGTAGTGAATGGTGGTAGAGTGGGTGCAGGAGTGCATGTTCCTGAGTTCAGTGTGAGTATCTGTCAAAGAGTCACTGATAATGTGTCGGTGTACACAGCCGAGATGGTGGCTATGATCATTGGGTTGAGATGGGTGGAGGATGTGACACCATGTAGGGTGCTGATATGTTCAGACTCAGCAGCAGTGTTGGAGCAGTTATGGATGGTAGGTCTGACAGGGAAGACCTATTGGGAGAATTGATGGGGATATTGCTGGGGTTGGAGAGACAGGGAGTAGAGGTGAGGTTCTGCTGGATTCCTGCGCATGCTGGAGTGGAGGGTAATGAGGTGGCTGACATGGGGGTAAAGAGTGCTGTAAGGAGGACTGAGGTGGATGTAAGGGTGTCGTTAGGGCGCAGGGAGGTTAAGTCGTTGATACGGGAAGCAGGGATTGCGGAGTGGGAGAGACAGTGGGGTGAAGGTGGTAAAGGGAGGCACTTCCGGGGTATAAATAGGTCAGTGAAGGAGGTTGGGGGAATGATGGGGGCAGGAGGAAGAGGTAGTGTGAGTAGGTTAAGGGGCACAAAGGGTTGAATGGCACGCTGAGAGTGGTGGCAAAACATGACACAGGTTTGTGTGATAGATGTGAGGTGGTGGAAACAGTTGAGCATGTACTGTTTGTCTGTGGGAGGTATGATAAGGAGAGGGTGGTGTTGTATGGTAGTGTCAGGGAGACAAAGCGGGGCTGGGACTTAGGTGGGGTGCTTGGGGGTGGAAAAGGGAAGGAGGCAGTAATGAAGGCAGTATTTCTTTTTCTTAGGAACACGGGGCTGTACAGCAGGATATAGAAGGGAGGCCGTAACCGGCCTCACACTCCAGTGCAGTAGGTGGCGGTTTATGCACCTTTAAGTTGGTGCGATCTGCCAGTAAACGAAAAAGACGAAGAAGAGTTTCTCATTGCCTCGTCTCTCCAGTAACGTTGGTAAGTGTTATTTGCCTAGCATGATTAACATTCTCCTTCCTTACATCTTGTTGTCTTCCTCATCTTTGTAATTTTAATATTTTACCAATGAAAGTGTTTCTAAATATTTATTTTGGTTTGTTTTACAGAGGCACTGGATTAAGAACGCTAGCCGCGGTCAATTGAAAGTGTTCCATAGCGTATTGGTGCAGTTAGTTTACCTTGTTCCTGATGATTTTGATTCATTTTTTTAATTATTGTATAAATGTGGCATATTTTATGTTTTGATCTCGGTTACAAATCCCGAACATTTTTGTCTTAAAGGCATCTAATAAACTCCAACCACTATGACCGAAATGAGTTTGGTTTTCTTTCTTTAATTTGAGGGGAATTAAATGCAAAAGTATACGGTTATAAGTAAACGGTAACATTCTGGTATTTACAACACAAAAACAGTAATCGTATGGTAAGAAACTGTAATCCAATATACAACAACATCCCGTAAATTACGGTAGGGCACTGTAAATAAAACAGTAAGTTACTAGCGTTGACTGCCAGTAAATTGCAGTTAATTCACAGTAAAATTTGTTCAACTTTACGGTAACATACAGTAATCTATTTTACGGTAACATAGTGTAAAAAACATTTACGGTATTATACCGTAAAATAACGGTAAATTCCTGGCGTCCTTGCTGCCAGTAAAATACCGTTAATTTACAGTGAAATTTTTTAGAGTGTGTACAGTTTATGTGGTTGTTGTGCAGCATTCATCCGCAGACATGCTGGTTGTTTCTATTGATATTGTTCTATTCTTCTGGCCTGTATGAATGTGGTTTCTGCTCCTCCCTGATGTCTTGGATCAAGGTGAATACCTATGATGGACGTGAAGAGCTCAGGAGCCGAGCTGCCAGCGGCCATGAAGGTCGCTCCTGCTACGTCCTCGCTGAGGTCGAGACGCTGCAAGACAAAAAACAAAAGCACAGTATTGCTTTAGTATTGGGTTGAATGAGGTGGTACATGTATGAGCTGTGTCGCTTTATTTCCCATGTTAGATAGAAAGCTGTACACTATAACCACGGCTCACAGCCTGATGGGAGAACGTCACATCTATTTAAGTTGTGAAAATGTCTTGAATACATCAGACATCTAAACTGATGCTAATCCTTTTTGGTGTCTGGATCAGAACATTACTCTGTCATCATGAATCTACTGTAGTAAAACACCAGCTATGAAGGATCTCGTACCACCACACCTCAACACATCACCGCTGTCCCTTTGTTAAATAAAGACTACAAACTTTAATATCAAACATTACAAATTCATATTAAAGATCTGAAATCGAGCGCGTAGGACCGTTGAATCCTCACATCCATACCTCACACAGCTTCTCCAGCGAGGGCACGAAGTAGTCGTCACAGACGAGGGCCAGGGCACAGAACATGTAGATGGTCTGCGGAGAAAGAGGCGGAGCATGAAAATATGATCAGATAGGATGCGTCGCTACTTCTAATAAGCTGGTTACCACCTCCCACGTCTCTCCTGTGGGCCCTGGATAAACACATGGACACGGCTTCTGACCTCGGACCTGGAACCAACACTATGGGGCCGAATTAAAGAACAGCGGTATTATGAAGCCGCAGCCAAGCGTTCAGGTGGACATTCTGAATTACCTTCACACAAAGACAGCGTTGATGTGTTGAGGCTCTTCTCCCAAGTGTTTCTCTACCGTAGATGTGTAGAAACAGACGGGGGAACCAGCACGGGAGCAAGTAATGTATATTTTAGACAGAATGGACATATGTATGCTATATTTAGCTGCACCTTGCTGCCAGGCAGTCCTTTCCATCAGGGAACTGGGGGCCTTGCATCACACCACTTTGGTGTGTGTTGGTTCAGGGTCACCAGAGTCACATGATAACACGAAACAGGGAACCGATGGAGGCAGCAGTGTTCTGGGAGCAGACGTGTCCTTTGGACTCAGTACTCACTACATCCTCTTTGACGTGTTTTATTCTGCTGCTTTAAGCCTCTCAATATTGGATTTGTATTCTTAGGAATTTTATAAATAAACAGTAGAAAGATCAGGCAGCGTGTTTGATAAATTCACTACAAAATAAAAGTTTTCTTCCGAAACGTCAGGATTCATTAAGACGGTAAAAATGTACCGTGTGAAAGCTTTTTAATGGGTTCTTTTCCTGGTGTGTTATGCAGAAGAGATTAAAAAAACTCTGACACCACATAGTAGAAGAAACAGATGGACTGGAGATGAGAGAGACAATGGCAGGTACTGATGACAGGCCGACGGGGAATGTGTGAACAAAGGACATGAAGAGAATATTTTTCACTTTGTAATGAAGAAAGCTTTCAAAGAAGAAGCTTTTTTCCTATTGAGTCTTATTTTACACCAGTTTCTCAGACTGAGCCACACACCTGGCTGTGTTGGTGTGAGATGAAGATGTGTTCATTCAGGGGGAACCAGCACGGGAGCACAGTAAGGGTCAAAGTTCATAGGTTATCCCGAAAACTGGATGTAACCTTGAGAATTGAGGTGGAGATGTTGCGGCGAGTGAACATGTGAGTAACACGTATGATTGTGCGTGTTTGATGCTGCATGCAGACAAGGTCATAGTGGAGGTGTGGCCTTTGAGAACAGATCTGGTCTAACGAGTATTGATGCTAGCCGAGTTGGAGTGACAGCTGGGATATTAAATTCAGCTTGATCGCAAAGTGATATTGTTCAATGTTGGTGTTTAGTCAGTAGGGGGTTCGGTTTAAGGCACAGCACTGGTGCCTCATTGGACGAGAGCCACAGGAACCCCAGGGAATCCCTGTGACACGGCCATGTCCAATTCACATATTCATATCTATAAAGGGGGAAAAGTACAACTACGTATCCTAGAAAAAGTAACCTCCGTTTCACCCTGCATTGCTGGGAAAAGCTAACTCAGGGGGGGGGAGGGGGCTGGGTGTGAGTGTGGCAGCTCGGCCCATCTGGGAGTTCTTAGTGCTCTGTTCGTGTGCCGCTCGGTTCCCCGGAGACGCTGCTCTGCTGGATGAACTTTCGTTACAGTCGGCCCGCAGAGACCGTCGGCGCTGCACAACGTGGGTCCGTCTGTGCCGGAACATTCTGCCCGTGAAGTGACAGCAGAGGAGCTGCATCGCTGCAGCCGGGCCATGCAGTGGGTGAGGACTATTTCCAGCATTGTATTAATCCCCATCTGATGCTTCAGGATCAGCAGGACTTTGATTGAAAGCTAATTGACGAAGAAGTGCAGCCCGCGGACTGAAGATTAGCCAATCAAGGACGTGGGGAGGGACTAAAGCAGGGCTCACTTACACACAGGACATGCAGGGCCACGGCTCCTTCGGTTCTTTCTTGGTGGGTGAACAGGTCTGTGGGGAACTCGTGCAGAGCTGAAAGAGAGAGACACACGCTGCAGGGTTAGAACCGGGTGTGTGGGACAGGACACACACTCTCTCCATGACTTCCTCCCCTTCCTCTTATGGCCCCATACTCGTTCTTCCAGACTGCCAAGACTGGTGACAGCAGTGACTGCCCCCCCCCTCCCCCCCCCCAACCCAGGATATGGGTTAGGATATAAAGGCTGAAATCAAAGTGAAGCTTTGAGCAGACGTGTGGGTGTGTGAAAGGTCAAAAGGCAAAGGTTATTACAAGTTGTCCTGAAGGGGACATGTCTGCTTTTCATTCCTCCAGTAGCTGATAAAGAGACATTCAGCGTGGACCAACTAGGCCACTGAGAGACGGGGGACGAGGGACTGCGGGGCTCTAATGACTTGACAGAGGGCATGACGGCACCGAGTCAGTTGTTTATCATTCCACCTACGTTTGGGTTCTTTTCAGCCTCAATTCCCTCGCAAAATGAGAGCAGAGAGAACAGTCCCCTTCTCTCCCACTCTCCCCTGGTTTGTCCTACGTTGACCTATTTGCTATCTTCACTGTCCTCCTCTGCACTGTGTTCCACTGCTCGACGCAACCAGAGCAGCCCGTGAAAAGACACACAGGGCCCCCAGCAGCGGAGCGGGGGGCCGTCCCACAGCTGGACGTGATGAATGTCTGCTGTACCGAGCTGCCAGCCAGCCCAAACTCAGAGACACAATGAGGCCTAAATGTGGGTGAAGGCTCCCCAGTGCTTTTTACAGCTGGTTCTCGGCCTCCGCTCTCCTTCACGTGCGTCACATGCACGGTAGAGCAGCGGGTTTATTTTCGCTTAGCTTTGGTGAGTTTAAAACTGCGTCCTATTACGTCACAATGTCGGTTCGAATCCAATCAGTCGGGTACAAAGTAGAAATTGGAAGTAAAACTAAAAAATCACCAGAAAAACAACAAAGAAAACAAAATGATCAGAGTGCTGAAGCTGAATGTCTCCTGCAGATGATGTCCTCAGGGACCAGGAAGTACATGTGCAGATGGGACGCAGCCTCTAAATGTGAATCACTAACACATGCTCGTGGTTTTCTGCTACGCCTCATTCTTGTTCTAGGTTAACTAGGATTTTTCATACCGCGTCACAGAAAACAGAGACATATATGAGAAGACAGAGTAGAAACAAAAGGGACAAAATGATCAGTGTCAGTTGGCATCATGTCTGAATGCTGGGCACCGATTACTATTGTTGCGTTTTAAATTCCCTACGGCCATTGCTTCTTCAGAGGAGGACTCAAAGTTGGGAACGCTCACACACCTTTGTATTGCCAGTTGTGGTGCAGGAAGTAGCCAGAGTCCCCGCTGTGACTGGGCGACACCGGCTAGTTTCCAGCTTTTCACATTTCAGATTCCATGTTTAAATAGGCTGGACTGACATCGTAGTCACGCTTTCATCACGTCGGGACACTTGACCGAGCACACCCTGTTCCACATGTGTCACTCCTGGAAGCTGCTCGTTCATGGTCTCCTGATGAACCGAGTGAGGGTTGAGCAGGAGGTCCAGCTGCCCTTCACTCTCTCTGCTACACACGATGGTGACAGGTCACCAACTCCTCCACTCATGCTCCTCCAACTCCTCCACTCATGCTCCTCCAACTCCTCCACTCATGCTCCCCCAACTCCTCCACTCATGCTCCCCCAACTCCTCCACTCATGCTCCCCCAACTCCTCCACTCATGCTCCCCCAACTCCTCCACTCACGCTCCCCCAACTCCTCCACTCACGCTCCCCCAACTCCTCCACTCACGCTGCACAGTGTTCAGCGTAAGGCCTTCACACAGCTGTGTCCCTGTCTGAAGAAGGATAGGACAAAATACTGTGAATATATACTTCAAACGTGTGTTGTTGTTAGACCTCCTATCCATGGGGAAAGAGCTCCATCCATTACGATGAATTATTTCCTATATATATTAACTGCGTAAAAATATTAGAGAGTTTTTGCATCGTTGCTTTTTCTCACACGGAGGTTCACCATCAGGGCACTGATCACCGCGTGCACAGCATCAAATGGTATTTCCTGTGTGGAGTCCGTGGCGCTGGAAATGATGCATTGAACATTTTGTAGATCCGGTGTCCACTATGTGGAGAACACACACACAAATTACACATAGTGTCGCTGTACATCACGAGGAGGTCACACCGTGTATATTTCATGTAGATCAGGTGATTAGGTTGATTTCCTGAGGTCACTAGGTGGCGCTATGACCCAATATGGGCTCTTATGTTTAAAAATATTTCTACCTGTATAAGCCTAAAATGTCATATTGTCATATTACCTACGACATCATCATTCAAGGTATCGTTAGTTAGGTACCAAAGAAATATGGCCATCGAAGGCCGTGGGAGGAGTTTGAAAATGTTTGTCTAAAACATGTGTTCTGAAAGACAAGCAAATATCTTGTGTCCACCAGGCTCTTTGTTTTCCTAACTCTCTTAAAGAGGCAAGAGTTAACCCACTCCTGAAGAAACCCATCTGAAGAAAACAACTACAGACCGGTCTCTCTTGAACTGTTGAACGTGCGATCTTTCCCCAACTCTCCTCCTATCTCCACCGTAACAACCTCCTAGAACTCCTAGAACCAGTCAGGCTCTCCTTGCTGTCTCAGAGCAACTCCACACTGCTAGAGCCGCCTCTCTCTCCTCTGTCCTCATCCTTCTGGACCTCTCTGCTGCATTTGACACAGTAAACCACCAGATCCTTAATTCCTCCCATCAGGAACTTGGTGTCTCAGGATCTGCTCTCTCCCTTCCCTAATCCAACCTTGATAGCCGCACCTACTGGGTTACCTGGAGAGGATCTGTGTCGGAATCTTGACAGTAGACAGTGTAACAATAGACAATAAGACAGCAGTGCACAAGTAATAAAATAAAGTAAAATGAAATGCTAATGCAATGGGTTAGTAGAATAAGGCTATGGGTTAGGATAAAACAAGGGAATAAAGTTAAATATTTAAAATAAAACATTAAGCATAAAGTGCACTAAGTAACAACAAGTAACAAAGTGATGAGTGACGACAAAGTGAAAAATGACAGTTAAAGTGGCATGTGCAGTATGAAGGGGAGTGACCGGTGGAATGTTATAGTCAGTCAGTGGGGGACCGGCTCTGTTGATGAGCCCGACTGCCGACAGGAAGAAACTGTTGGTGTGGCGGGAGGTCTTGGTCCTGATGGACCTCAGCCTCCTGCCAGATGGAAGGGGCACAAACAGTTTATGTCCGGGGTGGGAGGGGTCGGCCGCGATCTTTTTAGCTCGCTTCAGAGACCTGGAAGCGAACAAGTCTTGCAGGGACGGCAGATTGCAGCCGATCAGCCTCTCTGCGGAGCGGATGACACGCTGCAGCCTGCCCTTGTCCTTGGCTGTGGCTGCAGCGTACCAGACGGTGATGGAGGAGCAGAGGAGGGACTCCATGATGGCCGTGTAGAAGTTGACCATCATCGTCTTTGGCAGGTTGAGTTTCTTCAGCTGCCTCAGGAAGAACAACCTCTGCTGAGCCTTCTTGGTGATGGAGCTGATGTTCAGCTCCCACTTGAGGTCCTGGGTGATGATGGAGACCAGGAAACGGAAGGAATCCACAATAGTGACGGGGGAGTCACACAGGGTGATGGGGGAGGGTGGGGCTCTGTTCCGCCGGAAATCCACAACCATCTCCACTGTCTTCAGAGCGTTGAGCTCCAGGTTGTTCTGGCTGCACCACGACACCAGATGGTCAGACTCCCACCTGTAGGCGGACTCGTCCCCACCAGAGATCAGTCCAATGAGGGTGGTGTCATCCGCAAACTTCAGGAGCTTGACGGACTGCACTTATTGAAAGTTGCTTTGGATAAAAGCGTCAGCTAAATGACATGTAATGTAATCTAGGACCTAATCATGATGTTCCCTAAAATAATGACTGATTACCAAACTATCATCAAGCACGTGATTACAATCATCATAAACAAACGGGTACCGACATGAAATCTGAGCTCTGCACTTAACCCATCTTGATCCACATCATCATTCTCAGCATCATCATTATTATCATCAGCATTAGGAGCAGCAGGCTGCTGTGGAGCTCAAGGGCACTTAGGCACGTGGCAGTAGGAGCCCGAAAAGGAGTCGCTCTGCCCCTGAGCCGCGGACTCCTGTAGGTATTAATGGGATAAATAGAAGATCGCGATGCCCTTTCATAGTCTGTCCTTGTCTGTATACAATTCATTCTGCAGAGCAGGGAGACCACATCCAGGAGGCCCAGTCGTTTGCACTCACATCCGCCCACTTGTTTCATTGACATCACAACTCCTGCTTGGGTGCCGTATGAAGCGCGCTCTACTGTGCTCAGACAGTGAGGAGCAGCGTGTTTAAGTAGCAGAGAGCTGGGCGAAACTGGCAGCCTTCACCTGGAGGAGCTGCTCTGAGCCAGTGGTAATAAAAAGAGGAAATGCGCCCCGATATACCATTGGATCCAGTTCGGGTTGATGGTTGAGAGCGCAAGGCTGAACTGAAAGCTCAGCAATAAGAGAGGAAGCAAAGAGAGAACGCTAAGTGGCCCCCAGCTACACCTGCTGGCTGAAGTACACACACACATAAGGCCAGAGATCTTTCAACTCACCCTCTTCTTCTAATCTGTGCACCACTGAGCAGTGGCAGTCAATGAATCAATCATCAACAGGCTTCACATTGACCGGGGACCCGTTGTGCCTCCGTGTGCTTCATTCTCGCCTCAGATACTGTATTCCAAGATGGCGTCCCGAAGGTTCCAGTGTGCGTCCTAGGATCATACACTGGCTAGGCTCGTAGGCTTCTGCCTTTTGGGCCCACAGAGGATGTGAATATGGACCAAGCTGTTTTATTGGCCCTAATGGATCAGAGAGTCCTTTGAGAGTGAGACAAATATTCTACCATCAATGCGGGTAGGTTATAGAGAGGGGAAATGAACATGCATACAGTGCTTATGGAGCTGTCCTTCACTCATCCATCCGGTGGGTGGGT